TCGGTGTCGAAATAGAACCTCTAGGATTTGAGGCCCATATCTACTCTTCCCTGCCGCTATCTTGACCACTTCTTCAGAGACTGGGAGATTCTCTCCTCGGTGTCGAAATAGAACCTTTAGGATTTGAGGTCCATAATGTCCATCATTCCCTGCCGCTGCCCTGACCACTTCTTCAGAGACTGGGAGACTCTTGCCTTGTTGAATAAGAATCCCAAGGATTTTAGGTCCATAATGTCCATTATTCCCTGCCGCTGCCCTGACCACTTCTTCAGAGACTGGGAGACCCTTGCCTTTTTGAATTAGAATCTCTAGGATTTCAGGTCCATATTCTCCATTATTCCCTGCCGCTGCCCTGACTACCTTTTCAGAAACTGGCAGATTCTTCCCTCGGTGTCGAAATAGAATCTCTAGGATTTCGGGTCCATATTGCCTATTATTTCCTGCCGCTGCCCTGACCACTTCTTCAGAGACTGGGAGATTCTCCCCCCGGTATCGAAACAGAGTCTCTATAGTTTTATTTCCACCATACTCACTCCCTGCCACTGCCTTCACCACTTCTTCAGAGACTGGGAGGTTCATTCCTTGGTACTGCAGGAAGAGTTCAACAATGATAAAACCATACGATCCAGCATCGATTATTGCAGCTATAATTGTTTCTTCTGGGATTCGTAGGTTATTTCCTTGGTCCCGCAAGGGATCTCGTGAAAGTGTCACTGTAGAAGGTTCATCTTCATTTTTGACAACCCTAACCAATTCTTTGATGATTTGATCATTTGTTCCACTTTGACGGAGTAGTTGCTCTATTACCTTGGTTGTGGGCATTCCACGCTCTAATATCCTCAGGGCAATATCTATCACAACCAGCGTTGTATGTTTCAATCTTTTCCGAGCCTCGAATGGCTCTTCTCGGAAGTCTGGTGTTTTAATGAGCGGGAACATAATCTCAGACTTTTCTTTACGGTTTGTTTTAGCGAGTGAGGTTTTCCAGGTGAGGAGAATATCACAGAGACCACTCGTAGAATACCTTTCCTGAGATATCGCTACTGGACTCTCTTTCTGTTGTCTTTTCTGAGGTGTCACTGCTGGTGTAACGATGGTGAAATGATCTTTACACAATCGTATAACACTTGGCTTTGAAGCCCCTTTCAGAAGACAGATGATATCACCATCCTGAATTAACTCTGCGGAAGCCTGGGGCTTCCAATTAGTTTCCCAACGATCTATAATGCCCAATGACTCGGCAGTGTTATTGAAGAGAACTTCAATTTTTTGTTTGCCAAATTCAGGAAAATGCTCCTCAACAGAGTCTACATGGCCTAAAATCCATCCTTTGCCTTTGATAACAACTGTTCCTATCTCGTTCCATGTCTCCACCGAACATTCAGGGAATAGAGAATTGGTAACCTCCTTGAATACCTCCTTCCATGGGAGGTTATAGTTCGGCTCTCGGACAGCTGTGATCGGGTCGGCACATAAGCCTAGCAACGCATATACTTTGTCATGCTGCTTGGTCGCATTATGATGATGATACATGCCAATGAGCTCCCCTATAAAGATGGGCCCGCGTGAACCAAACTCGTATGTTGGGCGATAAAGCGCACCTCTTATGAGATAGGCGACAGGGCCAATCCTGCTCCGGAGATTCGGAGAAAGCCTTAGTCTGGTAAGGCCTTCGCAGAAAATATGTCCATTGATGGAAACAGAGCCACACATTATATTAACACATCGTGCGACACCAACTTCCTGAAGCACCTGTTTTTTCGCTAGTTAGTAATAGTTACTAACACTTATTGAATGAGTACTATCTTACCCAGATACGGCTAAACCAATCTTGTTGTAGCAACCGCAGGCACGCATCATAGTTTTCCGAAGTGTTCAAAGTGGAGGCTGTATACTGTTCTTCCGCAAGGCAACGAATTCCGTCGAGCGCTTTATCGCCATTTTCTGTGGCATCTCCAAGCCAGACAATGACGCGTTCGGCCTGAGCATAAATCATCCGCATAAGTGGGATCTGCTTGCTTTTCTCATGTCCTTGATCTTCCTCATCCTGGTTGATACATATTGCATCGATCCAAAGTGTTCTTTCTAGTTGGCGGTTTCGGAGGTGTAAAAGTGCGCTGTGGAGATTTGTGGTGACATGGAAAGTGCAGCCATTCAAAATGATTGATTCAGGCTTCTCCTCACTTCCCCACACATAAGAAAGCGCCTGATAGAGGTGCGCTCCACCTCCTGTCTCTGATAAATCATAGTTGAACAACTCACACTGTATTGGAGCACTCTTATCCTTATTTGGCAAAAGGCGGATCATACGAGTAGTATAAGGCTCTTGCGGAAGAGTTGGGTAAGTAAAAGAGCGCAGGATGACATGAGAGGTATGTTCTGGATTTGGAGACATCTTCTGGGTGTACTGTTTTCTCGTGTGCTATCAAGTATTGATTGTAACTCGAGCTCATTCAGGGTGGTTGATAAAACTTGCGCAATCTGGTTTTATGATCCAGGACGATTACAGCCTTGCAGATGTGGCTGAGTTGGCAGGTCTAAATAGAGGGGTAACTGAGCAAATATGATTGGGCCGATTTAATCCTTGGGCTGTGCATCTAAAATCTTTACTAATTAACTTGTACCTACTTGTATTGTGCGACATGTCACATAGTGCATGGGCGCTCTTAAGGTGCCGGTTAATAAATCTTTAACTTGACAGCCATTTAACATATGTATTTGTTGGGGACGGTCAGTTAACCAGGCATTGAAGCACGAAAGCCCGTATATCTCTTCATGCGTACATCCATTTTTGTATATGTACCTATACGTACTTGATTTTTCGAGGACGACTGTAGACTTCCTCTTCGGGGGCACCGCCGCTTTAGTGAGGGCGCTCAGGTGTCTGCTCAGTGAGTGTAAAAATTATCTATTGAGGACTATATACTCTATTAAATAACTAATTAGAGTCCTGAATTTAAGCTCATTTAAGTTAATTAAACTATATTAATAATCTAGATATAGGCCCTAGAGGCGTGGGTTCTGGTCAAAATGCGTCCACCCAACCACATGCCTCTTGAGGGTGCAGAACGAAACACTGACAGGATTGTAGTTCTCGGGCGTTGAGGGAAGCAAGGCAATCGCTTAACGTTTCCGTTTTGGCCTGCAGGCTCGTGGCTTCCTGGCCACCCAACTTCTCCTTTTGTATTTGCCAAGACCCCATACATGCAAATTGGCCAGATGGCTGTGTTTGAGGATAGTAAGAATCCCCTCTGTCGCTTGGTGGGAAATCAGCCTTGGGAAACCTAGTGTAGAATGATAGCAGCAGCGCTTGGTGGGTTGAGAGGAGTGAACTTATGCCACGCTGGGCAACTGCGCCCATTTTTCAGTAGTTTTCTCTCTTGTAATGCTTGGTTGTTTTAAATTGTGATGATGATAATATTGATGATACGGAGATCGCTCCTCTTTCAACAACTATGCTTCTTCACCATATCTGAGACAGAATCGGATTTCGACGTGAAGATGGAAAATGACATGCATTCCGACCGACCTCCCCACTATTCCGACATCTTTAATCAAGTAGGACCGAGCGATATATATATAAAGTCGGAGAGAACGGATACACCGTATTACACCGTATTACACCGTGCTGCTCAGGCCGGAACCGTCAACAATCTGCGGCATCTGCTCGCTCAGTCCGGATTGGCAATTGACGTCAAGACGACATCCGGCTGGACCCCTCTGCATATGGCCATCGTGGCAGATAGGTTCTCCAACGCGCATCGCACGCAGGCTTTTCTGCAAATCGGAGCAGACCCCAACCTTGAGGGAGAGAAGTGATGGAATTCACTGCATCTAGCAAGCGCCTACGGCCGAAAAGCTGTGGTTGCTTTGTTGCTGGGTCACCCGATCCAGGTTGATGCCGTCGTGGGGTTGGGAGGGATGCAAGTGAAGCACGAAGGAGGATGCTGACGGAAACCTGACGACGTTGACGGCCGTGGAACTGGCAGCGAGGCATGGACACGCCGAGATTGTGAGTATGTTGTTGGACTCGGGAGCCAGACCTGGGTCGGAGGATCGAACAACGCTGTTGCATGAGGCCGCCAGCTGGGGGGCAGGCAGCGGTCGTTTCGATGCTTCTGGACCAACAACGGCCCGGTTTGGACGGCAGCTGGAGAGACCATCGTGGGTTTACGGCGCTGGACTGCACGTTGAATCGGGATCGGGGTCAGACAGCATGCCCTGTTGATGCAGAAAGGGGACATGGTGGCAATCCTGTTAAGTAAAGAACAGAACCCACAGCATCCAGCGACTCTGTTGCATGCTATGGTGCGGCTGAGCTGTGGGTCGATCCTGGCTATGCTGCTGGCCCAGCGCAAGTATGCAAAAGAGATCAACACGACAGATGCCAACAGATGGTCTCCGCTGTATATGACAGCTACAAGAGGGTCTGTAGAGATTCTAAAGCGGCTGCTCGACCACGGAGCGGACCCCCACATGACTGACATCAGCAGATAGACTCCACTACAACTTGCTGTGCGATACGGCCAGACTCAGATCGTGGCAGCGCTGCTGCAAGTGGTCCGATGGGAGGAATGCCAGAGCCCGATTTCTCCCACCATCACCGAAGGACTTACTCCAATACATATAGGAGTCCGCTCGGGCGAAATGGATATCATAAGGCTTCTTTTGCGCGACAGATGGCCTGTTGACGCACGCTGCTCCCGGGGTTCTACAGCTCTGCACTGTGCAAGCATGTCGGATCAGCAAGATGCGCTTCGTCTGCTGCTTCAGCAAGGAGCCGACCCGTTGGTGCGTGATCAGGAACAAATGACGCCATTGCTTCTGGCAGCAGAAGCGGGGAATGTCCAGGTCATGCAGCAACTGCTCCTCCGGGAGAAGAATATCCAGCGACATCTCCCTGCGCTAGCAGCACGGAAGCTTCCTCCAGCCTATGAGCAAATACTTGTGCCGTTTCTCTTAAACAAGGGCTGCAACAATCTCAGCGAGCTGGTTGATGGGCTGACGGTCTTACACCAGGCGGCGCAGAGTGGATATACCATTATAGTGAAGTTCATGCTACGGAGTAGTGCCAAGGTTTCTGTCAAGGATCGGGAGGGTTACACTCCAGCTGAAGTGGCTGCCACACAGGGCCATTTCAATTTGGTCTATATATTAGATCCGGAACCGTTGCTGCAGGTGGAGCGGTTGATTCACCATGCGGTCAGAAAGCGAAACGTCGAGCAGGTGTACAAATTACTCACGGCTGCCCCAAAGACTTTGCGAAAACGAGCGAAGGCGATGGTGATGGCTGCAACGGCTCTCACTCACCAAAAGTCACTTAATACCACTCTGACGCGCGGGATCAGTATCGACGAGGACCAGGGATGGGGATGGCGACCGTTGTACGTAGCAACCTTAAAGGGGGAGCAGCGGGCGATGCAACTTCTGCTCACCCATGGGGCCAACCCGAACCTGAAAACCAACGCGGGAATCACTCCGCTGCTGCAGGCCGCCGAAGGAGGGTTATCCAAACCTGATCCATCTGCTGCTATCTCACGGCGCGAGATTAGAGGAGCGAGATCCTCAGGGGCACACGGCACTGCAGAGTGGCGGCACGATGTGGCCATGAGGCAACAGTGGTTGCACTCCTGGAAGCGGGTGCTAATGCCCATGCCCCGGATACCAGTGGTCAGACAGCTCTAGACCTTGCCTTGGATCAGGGGGCCAAAAATATCGTCCAGTCTATCACTGAGTTTCTTGCCCAGCGGGAGAAGAAACAATAGTCTCTCTGTCCCTCGCACGTCTTAGAGCCCCATAGCTACCTTCGTCGAATCACTCTTCTCCCCTCTATGGTAGTACCCACCTATTGATTGGCCCAGGGAGCGGAAGATCACACTGGCTAGACCCCGGAAAATTGGTCGGTACCTTGAGAATCAGAGGAAACTAAGGAAGTTGGATTGCAAGGAGACATTATCCATAGTGAATATATTCTTTGCTCAGGCACGTCGACACTTTATGAGTTGATATAATCGGCAGAGACCGTAGAACCGCTGTGAAGAGATCACTTGCCGTCTTGACCCGGGCAGGTGGATAGGTGGGTCCTTTAATATTAGGATTCCTATGACACATGAAATAGGCCCAGGAAGTGTGAAAGCTACAGCTCGGAAAGAGTAGCAGCAAGATGTATGTGTGCCGTATCTGAATGAGGCCCACAGGCACGCGAAGACGCCGGATTGGAGAGGGCCAGAAGCCTGCTTGGCCGAAAGCATCCATGTACAATTGGCTTTTTTTAGCCTTGTGGAATGGCGTACCCTGTAGCGCTAGTGAAACACGCACTCCAACCTTGAAAATATAGAATTGAACAGTTATAAATATAAGACATCTAAAATCATATTCGTTAGTCTACAAATTCTAGAGACTACCCAATCATCAGAGAGCACTGAGAATATTCGTACGCTTGAAAAACACCAATAATCAATCCAGCCCAGCCAACGCAAAAGACTTGCTACTCATTCTGGATGATGCTATCGTATATTGGATCATACCAAGCCCGGTTCATGATTGATACAGGAGGGTACGCATTCTGTGAACCATCAAATTTTGCCCGTTTATAAATGACCTCCCAACTCTGGCGTAAATTGTGCTCCGCTGCCGGGTTATCCTTCGGACTACCTCTTGGTATCAAGCGAGCGTAAAAGGTAGTAAAAGCTCCCGTAAGGGCAGCACGGACTGAGCCCTTGAAGCCGTGCAGGTAGGTCGGCAGTTTTGTAGCGTCATGGGAGGCATCTGCGGCGAGAACATAGCCTCTTTCGGGGAGCGGACAGTGATCGAGAGAGGATTGGATAGCAGCGGAATCAATATAGAGAAAGGTATCCTGCCCGAGTCCTGGTTCTATCTTACCTTCATCACGAAGGATCCGGAAATAGCTAGATATATTAGACAGTCATGACATAAGGAGCTAAAGCTGGACTTACCCGCAGATATCCTCAAGCGCCGCGTTCTCATTCACTGGATCCTCAACCCACTGAATCTTCCATCGTTGCTTCAAACTGTCTGGAGTCCAAAATTTGTCCTTGGGATTTCGGACGAAGGTGAGGCCTAGGTCAATGGCCTCTTCAAATTGATGCTGGAAACGGTGCCAGGCGGATTCATCATGGAATGATGTTCGGATACAAACAAAGCCCCAGTGCTGTTGAATCTGATTACACACACAAGTCACCCAGGGAACCTTGTTCGATATCTTGATGTTGTTGAGATCATGCACGGAGATTCTGTCCCGGGCCACTCGGTCCAAGTCCATACGCCTATCATAGGATCTATCTGCATTTGCCTGGGCCTTCTTCTCATCATCGGTCATCACCGCCTCCTTCATTGCAGTGTATGTGTCTTGTATGTTTATTGGCCAACGAATCACATCCCTTGCATCTATCATGTTAGGGTCACGATCGTCCATTTGAGAAGCTGTTCCCCAAACAATGATATCCGTTTCAGGGAGCTTAAATCGTCTGTTCTGGCTGCCTTTTGAACAAGTTCTTCGATAGTCAATCCAGTCTGTGCCTTGCAGAAGTCATCACATCTCCCGTACGGGTGCTGATTCAAAAGATGTTGACGCTCATCGAAGGTGAGGCTGGCAGGGTCGGTAGCACCCTGCTCCCATCGCTCTACAAGTTTCTGAGGAGGAACCTTTGGTGGAGGTCTCTGGTAAAAAGTCGCCATGGTGCAAATCTAACTCTACGGAAAGTTGGGAGAAGAGAATGTCAATGATGCAAACGAACAAATAAATCCGGTGGAGATCAGGTGGAAAGGCATTACTAGTAATATGTCTAGTATAACCAGTCTTCGGATCCTTGGCCCTTTTAAGGTAATGGGATGCCCCAATAGGTTTTTCGAACGACTATTTAAGCCTAATGAGGTACTACTGTCTCTGGCCAATTATCCCGAAAAGTTAGTAAGGCTGTATTTTATCATCGGTGCTCAGTACTTCGTAGTTTTCTTCCGCTTTTAATATCAGCTTCTTATTGGCTCTGATAGGATCACACCACAAGGAAACCAATGATAGCCTTTCCTGCACGACAATAGGAAGTAGTAAAACACGGGTAGTACAGCCTTACAGGGGCCCACTTTTCAAAATATTTGTCCCGAGACAGTAGATGGTCAATGCAATGATTCCAATGGAGGTACCTCCTGCTTCGGTGCCACTGATTGCCGTAGAACTCGAAATCTTTACGAACCTATATAATAGTAGGTCTTATAACTAAGGATTTTATACCTATGACTATATAGGTATTTTCCAAGTTTTGTCGAGGCCGACCGCTTCCTTCCGTAGTCGTTTGTTCATCAGGTTATTGAATAACTTTAGAACTGCTTCGAGGATCGGTTTTCCGAGAAGGTTTAGATGGAAGTTCCGAATCATAAATAGCGAATTACCAATATCTCCTCTTTCCCTCTCCTGTTATAACCTCACCGACCAGGGATGCTCTTGCGGAACGGCATCCGTACTGTATGCAAGACTTAAAGCTTTCTCGCTAGGTGACTGGAAATTTCCAATCACGCGAATATCAACTAGGTGGACTTGACTTTTGCTGGAATCAGAACAGCTGTTGTTAAAATGAAGGTCATCCATCTATCCCTGTGGCTATGTTTACACCTGGGTCTGGTCCCTCCACAGTAGAGGTCTCTTTAAATGGTCATACAAGAATTGCCTCTGTTAACCGGATTAAACAATTCTCGTGCAAGGAGAATAATTCTTTCTGAGGTAGGTGTATCGAGAACAAAGGCCATACTTCCAATAGCGCCCAACGGTTACCGATACATAGTCACGGGAATGGCACCGTAGCCAGTATTAACGACAGAGACGCTTAAGGGTTTGATATTGTCATTGACGATGCTGGCATGGACATAGACGTGTCCATGGTCCAGGATCGAATGGACCTCGAATAGCTTCCGTACAAGCAGTCCTAGTAAGGCCACAATCGCGATGTTGATAAGTAGCATAAACATCACAGTGAGCATTGTATAGGTTGACGTTTTGGATGACTGAGGTCCCACAGGGCTTGGGGCCGTGACCGCGGGAAGCGGGCCAGCCGCAGCCTTATCGGTAGTTACCGGACCAGACATGCCTGCCAAGAGATGTGTAAGTTTGCAAGTGGTCAGGTTCTTCATGTATGCGACGTACCTTGCCTTGGCAGAAAGTTGGACAAAGAATATGTAGACTGGATACCTGACTAGTGCAATGGCCTTGGGGATATTGCGTTGGGACTGGGTTTCCAATGCCTTCGGCTATATACGTCCTGAGACATTTTGGTGAGCTTGAGCCAAGCTATGGTATTATATCTTCTCGTATTCTTTAGTATGTGATTGGGCGGTTCCACTAATTCGTCGGCGCGCAATGTAACCTCATCCTGATGTTCAGTACAACATAATCATGATAGCATACGTAAATTAACAGCAATCAGTTGAGTTTTCTGTGCCTGACCAAGCTATGTGAAGTGCACTGGCAGGAATAGCCTTCACACTGCCTATTGGCGGGTATGACCTCGATTGTTGGTGACAGGGCCCGTGAAGTAAGTGGGTGGAATGGGACCCCGCACTGATGGGCTAGCTCCCTTTTTCATTCCTTGTTCCAAGTCCTGAACACGAAGATCTACATCGTCCCGTGTCCTGAGCTGCTTGGTGGGTCATCCGAGGGAGGTTGAATTTTGGCCATTGATAGTTTTCGGGCAATTCATTACTCACGGGTATTCGCGCATCCTCATTTCCGGGGTCGTCTTGCCTCAAATCTTAGAAATGCCCATTTATGCCAAGAAACTACCCTGTCGTTCAAGGCTTCCCCTCGGTCGATTGCCTGCTTGGCCGACCGTTCAGGTACTAGATGGCACTGCATGTGACACATGGTCCTAGCGACAAGGCTAACTGCAGGGCTGGATGATGCTGGCCATTCACTGGGGTCTGCGAACAGATAATTTGCCTGGCTTCAAGTCCATGGAAGACTCCTGGTCACCCACTTTAACGTTGTTATGCTCTGTGACACCGCCGAATCGCTGTTGCCATGGTTGAGCTCACAGTTGGTTATGTATCCGGTATAATCGCTGCTGGCGTCTTCGTAGGTGAGTAATTCCTTCTGGACTGGCACGGGGATAGGCCACACTGATAGGAGCAGCGAGGTACCTCTTTCCAACCCTCAGCGCATTGATCCTAGTATCTTTCCTTCAAGAGAAGAACACTGCTATAACATGGTAAGGCAACACCACAACATAGTGCTATCTTCACTAAGAGAAAAAGGTCTGTGCTCGCTCGTACATTGCAGTCATCGCTATGGCCGACCATCCTCCGCAGTGACTCTGATTGTTCGACGGAGGTAGATCGGGCTGTAAGCATTGAAAGCTGGATCAGACTCGTCGTGGCAGTCATTATCTCCACCGCCGGAATTGTTACGCCACTGGGCCTCTATGACGCTGTTCTCCCCGCCCCCGACACCACTCCAAAAACCTTCAGGTACATCCCAGACCAATCTCCTATGGGAGCCGCGACACCGCCAAGACATTCCCTTGGGTTTAACCGCCGTTGCGGTCTCTATATCTGCCCAGGGTCCAATTCCAACATCACAGTCGTGAGCAATTTGGTCCGCGATGCTGAGTGGAACATCACTATCCCATGGGATCTCACATATGCCTTTGCCAGCGGGCTACCAGAATTGTCGCCCACCGTCTCAAGCATCTGGGATATAGAGTGGCGTAACTATGAACTTACGCAGAGGAAAGATTACAACAAAGGATCGCTGTATGCGGTTGGCTCGTATCGCCAGGCTGAGAACAGAATCCTAAGCGACCGCATTGAAGTAGCTGAAGGGATCATAATGGACACCAAGAATGGGGGCATTGGATTCCGCAACCACACGTTACCTCCCCGGTCCAAGTATGGAAGCACCTGGACAGAAGATTTACTGTTCGTCGTGCCTCAAACTAGTTGCGTCAACCTCAACCTCACTCTGGATTTTAAGTGGCAATCAGGGCCCGTGAATGTCACCGTGACCGACCGTGGCGGGTTCGTCAACCTACATCACCAGCAACCCGAGCATTCGATAGTGCAAACGCAGGATAATTTCGATTTGCATAACAAGGCATACACGGCTGCATGGCTAACAAATGCCATGGGCATGGTCTATTTCAATGTCACCAATCCGAGCAGCCACGGCTATGCTCAATCTTTCGAGTACGTGGACTCGGCCGTAGGGAAGTCATTCCCCATACTCAACGAAGGATCCGGACAGTCCTGGGGCACAGATGGCATCCTGACGTCCACGATGTGGGGAGATTTCTTTAATATACCCGACGCTGACTATAATGCTTCTGGAATGGCGTCGGACATTTTCAGAGTGCGGTATCCAAATCCCTTCAATATCACCAGAAATAACTTCACCAATATTGGTACAGATGCTGTCTGCTGCCTTCAAAACATTCGCTAACTAGATGCGCAGGCCCCCTGTGTCAAGGAGTGAGTAGGCTCGACTACGCCAATATGACGAACGTGGGCGTCGTCTGTGGAGCAGTCTACGGCGCGGCACGAAGGACGGACGGAGGTAATTCTCTGATACGAGAGCCCGCCAGCCCATGGCAGATACCAATATACTCCTGCGCTTCGGCTGCCAAGGCCCTGATTAAGACGGTACGCTTCCGCTACGACGGTTCCGGTGGTCTTGGTGGCCTTAGCGTTGTGGATATGACTGAGAAGACGTATCAAACTGAGGATGAAAACCCGCTCTGGGGAGTTGAAAACACCTCCCTACCGATAGATGTCGCGCAGCCACTTTGGGGTATTGTCTCCAAAGAATATCAAAACAGAAACGACATCTCGGTCATTCGAAAAGGATCGCTCTGGCTACCCGGATTTGGTTCCACCTCTCTAGGCAGCCCAGTCGATGGTTTGTTAAATTTACCGGGAGCCTCGTTCCATCTGACGTCGTTTGCACATCTGTACTCGCTGAGCAGTACCATTACGGACGGTGTAGGTGACTATACCGGGCAGACGAGCAGCGCTGTGTATTCGAAATGGAGAGAATACTCAACGCAAGCAGACACCACTTCGACCATTATCAACCTGATCTGGACGGATATCGTTGCCAACGCAGTGGTCGGTACCAGAGGATGGCTTTCACCGTCGAGCATTCCGGTAGGCAGTGCCAATGATTCAGCGCAGGTAGAGGTACCGGTGACAGAATACAGGAACACCATCCAGTACCGAGTCCCATTCGGAATTCCAGCCTTTGTCGCTCTGTTCGGGCTCTTGCTTTCTATGGTAACCGTGTTTATTCTGTTGTTTTGCGGTAAGGCGCGCCCATATCTTGTCCGCAGATATCTGAATTATACATCTGTCGGACGGACAATGACCCTCCTCCTTTATCCTGGCTCTACGGAGCCACAGACTTCGACAACTATATGGGCCTCATCGGTGGGAAATAAAATAATTGATGCCGGTGAGCTAGCGCCGAGCGCGGCTGATCCGGTGGAGATTGAGACATCACCAGTGATCAAGGGGAGGCGCACTCTCTAGACACTAGGGTCGGTTTCGCCATGTGCACTCATCGTGAGTGGAATTTACAGAAGAATGATAGTTCCGAGGCTCTCCATTATCTCTCATCAAGAGGCATCCAATGTTAATTTGATGAATGGGTATCTCTGCGAGACAACCTCTGTGTCCTATTTATAACACAGAAGAACACGTCAGGGGGTAGCGGCAAAGATGAATAAAGTGGCCGACATCATGGTAGGCGTATGTGGATCCGTATCTCCCGGCCAGTCTGGTCAGAGTGGCTGCTCCCTTCTCAACCCTCGCAAGTTTGTATTTCTAAACAAAAAGATATCACGCTCTATAAAAGACTCAGGGATCTGATGAGGGGTAAAACCCTAGATTCCCTCTCTAAACACTAGATGTGTTACAAAAGTCGTACAGGGATCCACAGCAACCCGGATAAAAGACCAGTCATTCTGTCCTTTTCATCTCCGTAGCAGAGATATTCTCATTTATTCCCAGCTCCTTAAGCTTGTCTACAATTCTGAGTACGCGGATTCAGCTCTCTCTATCCAAGCCATCACCTTCAGGCAGTAGAGCCTTGGTTCTCCTCACCCCCATGGTTACTTGGAGTTTGCTCTGCTATGGATAAAGAATTTGTGTCTCAGGGTTCTGGAATCGATTTCTAGCGTCTCCACATGTTGGTTCCTCAGATTTAACAGCATCCGAAAGAGCTCTAGGAGCCATGTCTCGTTTACTCCCGATGGCTGGCCATTATCTCTCCTGGCTTATGTCGCCGAAATCGTAGCGGTGTATGTACAGTCTATGTAGAGCCAGTGATACAACCTCATTAGTAAATCCTAGGGTCCGCCCAAGCTGCGTAATCTGCTAGTATAGTAATTCAAGCACGAAGGCGACTAGAATCTACTAGTCCAAAGAGATGATAATATTTATCCTGAGAGCAGAACAGCTCTTGAGAAATAAGTCGAGGTTCTGGAGAACTAACGCAACGATCTTGTGATCTGAAGCAGTAAAGCTAGAAGTAAGGTCAAGGGGATGCGTATATCTACTTGTGATAAGAGTATGGGCGAATCATACTAGCAGTGACAACGATAGTAGTTATTAAAAATAAATTGTATTGAACGCAAAGAAGTAAATAAGAACTATCCTAAGCACATGGTAATGAGTGTGCTTATATCCCTTCGATATTTTGGATTAGTATACTGTTGGTATGTGTTGTGGTAGATGGGCGGTATACGATGGATGATGGATATACCATCGGGTCTACCGATCGTATACCACTTGGTCGCGTGGGGTGTCTGATGGGTAGTCATCGGTGTGCTAGAAATCAAGTGTGTAGAGGTACATACATCTTGAGATAAATACTATTACGCTGTGTTTTTAAAGTAATTTATTCTAAGCTAGAGTTATAAGTCACACATTTGCTTGTACATGCTTACAATAAAAAGAATATACTCTCAAAGGCCATGTAAAGCTATTACTAGTATCTTATCAAAATCAGCCAACGGTGGTTGATATATTAGAGCTCAAAAAAGATGAATTAGTATGCGATACGTTACCCCATAATTCAACGGCGATAGCGGCATCTATAGTCGGTGTCTAGTCGTTCCGGGATTTACGGACTACATTTTCGGGTTCGACTTCAGTAAAATGGCCAGATCCAGTTTTTTAACCCTAACAGCAATTGGTCCTCAGTTCTGGAGGAGCTGGTGGATTTTCCTTCTCCTTCTCCTCTGTGAAGGTAGCTCCATACTGACAAGATCTATATAGGCTTCACATTACCCAAAGTCGAAAGAAATCACGCGGGAAGAATTGGCAGCTAAATATTCAACGGTATTGCGGCCCGTTCATGATTGCCCAATCATGCGTGCTATTGATGAGTCGTTTCTATCTGTTTCTCTCGGTTCCTCTCAGTTTCTATCTCATGCGCCATCTTCAACTTTCTAGTCTTCGGCTTTAAATGGATATATATATTTACTCCGTCCTGATATCTTTAACATGGCTCGTCATCCTAGTGATCTCCTTATCTATTTTTATTATACTATCGCTAAAGATTACTCAATATATAAGATATCTATACTAAAATGCTATAGTCAGGACTCTCTTAGCATAGATAGGAGTACAAATTAGATATCTAGAGCTTGATATCTCTTTACTGGCTTCTTTCCCGATCGTAGGTGAGGAAAGTCATAAACCTAGGCCTATATAGCCAAAGTACAAAGCTCTATTCAACAAGTAGCCGGGCTAGCTCAATCGGTAGAGCGTGAGACTCTTAGTCATCACGGTATCTCAAGGTTGCGGGTTCGACCCCCGCGTTCGGCTTCTCTTTTTGCTCTTGTTTTTTTTGCGCCTTTCTCTTTCCCTTCCCACCACCAATCTACTTTGGATCAATAACGTATGATCGCCATACCATATGTCTCTGATCATTTGGCTTGTGGTAGCTGAGCACGCTATATGGCTACTTCACCTGATCTGACCAGTCTTGTCGCACTCTCCGGGTTCAGCTACTTACTGTTTTGTTTCTACAAAGTAGCTTGGAACCCTTTGGCTGGTTTTTAGAACTGTCCTGTCAAGACCCAAGGAACTAAACAGTGTTGTCAATTTCTGTAATCATACAATGATATTGAGCGATTTGCCATATCTAAATCTTTCGTCGTTGTTTGTTCCACTTTCCCTTGTTTGGCATGCCCCGCAGAAGTTATGACCGCTCAAAAGTTCAACATCGCAATTTCGAGTTGCCTTAAACCTCTCACTGCTTTGGCTTCCGAGAAACCCAACTCCGAGGCTACGTACAAGCCACGACTTTCAACCCACAACTCTGCTTACAGAAGAATGATGGTACTGGTGAGACGCTCTGCCGTCGAGCCTTTTATTGGGAACGCTGCTCATAATCATCCACAGTGACCAGGGCTAAAGAAGAAGATTTTTACCAGTATACCAACAAGTGATGGCTGTATGTATATCTTTGCTGAATAGACTACTCTTGAAGCCTCATTAATTGGATTGCTAGATCAAATGGCACCCAAGAAGCCCTCAAGCGATACCGTAAACTCAATATCCAAGAACTGCTTGTTGTTGCTGCTGGATCATGTGGTACCGATGCTAATAAATGTACTCTATACACCTATCTCTGAGCATCATATCTGCTAATGCCGTCTCGAGGCACGCATGTGATGAAATACAGGGAGGGTCTGTATAATAAAGCCTTTCTTTTAATGCTCAATGATGGATCCGAAGTGGTTGCAAGGCTGCCAAACCCGAATGCAGGACCACCAGTTTTCACTACCGCTAGTGAAGTTGCCACAATGGAATATGTAAGGTCTGACTTCGAGAAGCATAACATCCGAGCTAACCTTGAGAGGTACGAGAAATCCTTGGTCTACCTGGTCTACGGGTTCTACGTTGGAGTTCTGACTCCTCAAACCCTGTCGGAAGTGAATACATCATTATGGAAAAGGCGAAAGGGATTCCTCTTGGCGATACCTGGTACCAACTCTCTACCCTCTCCAAGCACAAATTTATGAAACAAGTGGTGGAATTAGAGACAAAACTGGCTGCAGTGCCTTTCACTGAACACGGCTGCATATATTACGCACAAAATGCACCCAGAGAGCGACCCAAAAATGAATACCCGCTTTATGGCGATGATCTAAAGAAGTTTTGCATCGGCCCAGTCGTGGACCCAATTCTTTGGTATGATGAGCGGACTGAGATAGAACTGAATCGAGGGCCTTGTAAGCCCTCAAGTCCCCAGTATTTGTGATCCTCTTCCTGATACTTATGGCATTTGTTAGGGCACCACTTATCCGATCATGCGACAAGCATTGGTACCAACGAGAGAACGTGGGCAATGCAGTATGCAAAACCACGTATGAACTACTACCGAAGCAACACCAATTCTGAGATGCGTGATGAATACATCGACCTTATCGAGAAGTATCTGCTGGTTGTTCCGCACTTAACGCAATGTGAACCTGACTGCGCGGATCTCTTGCAACCAACATCGTGGCACAATGACCTCCATCTCAACAATATCTACGTTGACCTCAATACAGAAACGATTACTGATATAATCGATTGGCAGAGTACCACTGTTGCTCCGTTGCTCTTGCAAGCGAAGGTGCCTCGGATGGCTCGGCACATCACCCCACTCCCGCTAGGCTGGGTGATGCCGGAGAAGCCAGAAGGCTACTAGACGCTATCCCAAAAGGATAAGCTCAAGGCAGACAGACTCTATGAGAGCGCCCTATGCCATAAATACCATGAAGTTTGTACTGCTAAGAAGAACCCACGACACTACGCTGCTCTGAGTCACAACGACACGTGGAAATCACCTCTTATTCTACCAATGAAATCAATAAGCGGGGCTTGGTCCTCGAGAGAAGTCTTTCGACTACGCTCGTCATTGATGGAGTGGTAGACCATTGGGCGGAGATGCAGCCTGTAGCAGATTACCCTATTTCCTTCACAGAAGAAGAAAGAAACTTGAATAACGAAGAGATGGAGAATCGTGACTACATTGAGGGACTTATGGAAGAGTTCCAAGATGCAGGTATATTGCCAAGTGATAGGATCGTTGATCCTGAGGATTATGAGGTTGTGCAGAAGACGAATGGCGCACAAAAGGAAAAGTTCATGTCGTTAGCAGAGGATGAGGAACAGAGAGAGTGGATGGACAAGATCTGGCCTTACCAGGACCGACCCAGTGAAACTTGAAGATTGATGTTATTTCTTCTTGGCTTCCCACACCGTCCGAGGAAGTACACCTGATAGAATATAAATACAACACCCCAGACTTGAGTGTCTCTAGACTCTTCATTTGCCTTTGTTTTCAGACACTACTTGGCTGCCTCAACCGTCAAGTAATAATATGTTCCAATTATTCAACTCACTAGCAACTTAGATAGGCATTCCTAAACTGTAAAAAACGGCGAGCACCTGCCTTCCCGCCTGCCCCGTACCTTGCCATAATTGAATCCTGGGAGCACCCTGTTGAGACTGGTACTGAGGAGAGTGTAGTGGAACTGTGTGTAACAGGGCCAACACTCAGCAGCACCAGTAGTATGAACAGTGTCGCAAATATATAGCACACTTTCGATCACAATGACATTTTCCTTGTACCTCTAACTGGCCTAGTCCTGGCCTCAACAAAAGCGATGGATTCGGGCCTTCGATGACCAACACGAGCCCTGAACTTCCATTGATCGATTCACAGATATAGTTTGGAGGTATGTACCGGCCAATTGGGCTAGGTAAGCAGAGACTTGAATTTGATGAGGTGAAGGTACGAGGTGTGCTTGGCTTCCGTGGGTTTTTATAAAAGACCGAAGTTTCACCTAGGGCCGAGACATGACGATTGCACCAGCTTTGACAAGCCGAAGAAAGAAACTTGTGTACAGACATCCAGATGGACTTATGAGATTCTGTATGACTGTCTTGAAGCTACACAGGCCGTTTCGAAACCCTAGTAATTGGATTCTTTCGAAAGAACTATTATAGGCGAGAATTGAATCGAATTGGCTGCTGACAGGGTTTAAGGATTCCTCTCTCACCTACAATAGTTCTTTCGAAAGAAACTGAATTACTAGGGCTTTGTCACGAGCTGTGTAAAGACAGTCATGGGGCATCTCATAAGTCTAGCCGGATGACGGGGTCCTGCTATGCGAGACAGAACCCGCGTTGGAAAATAATAGGAAAAGAAGAAGCCGAGCCTATCGGAAGTGATGAAGACAGACTGTCAGGTTTGCTGACACGAAAAACTGCTTACCCTTTTACTAAACCTGCCTGGCGAACAGTCTGAAATGTTTACCTTTTTTGTGTTGAAAGGATTTCCCTAGGATTGACTGCCAGTGATATCTAAATTCACTTCGGTGCGCGAAGTTGGATTTGGGACCCCCATCTTACTTATCCCCTGAAAGCGTGGCGCAATCCAGAGAACTAGATCTGCATACAACTGGTTGCGTCGCCTATACAGGGGACGGTAGACTGTGAAAACTATCAGCATCACTCTTATCAACTTCATCTCAAACACGTACAGAAGATTCTGACCATTAGCTCCATGAACTAATGGCGCCATCTTTACTTCTCTCCAGCATCTGGTACCGGAATAGGTAGATCCAAACTTAGCAATCCAGGAAGAAGTCTTGTCAACCGGCCATATCTGGTATCTGAAGTCCTCTGCCCCTTTCACATCTGGATGGACCAACATGATAATAGACACATGTTTGTTGTTAATACCACCTTTTAGTATGGGCTCTTCAATTACTTGATAACTTGTGAACCCGGACGGATGGAACCTAAATGGAGGTGGAGGGGTCAATACAGTGACTTCTTCGCCTCCACATATATGCCATGCAAAAAGGGCAGAGGCACCTTTGATATATCGGGACCAGCCTTTCGTACCCTTTTGAGAAAATAGACAGTGCCCATTCTCTTTGGCCATAAGGGGTCCCATAGCAGTGGTCAATGTTTGCATACCATGCTTTTCCGCCCATCTTTGAGCATGGGCCTTAGGTATTCCGGTCCATAGCACCTGACGATTTGGGCGCCAAGAGTCTCCCTGGAACTGACGAGTGATGGTATTCTTTTCTTCTGAGGTCAGAAAATGGCTGATATAGTCATCCATGATAAAAGGTCATGTTTGAGTGGCGTAAGAGTAGAGCCAATATGAGATGCTCGCGGACATTATATACCAAGCTCTGGGACTGGGTCTATTTGTCAGAATTCTAATTCTGATGTGCAGGCTAGACTAAGTCTATCTTACAAATTAGAAACAAGAAGTTCGTTGCGCATCACTGTGGATGTCAGGTGCTAGCGATCATCACTATTCTGGTTGGTTAACATGTCACGAGATCTCGTACCCAAGGTGTCTTTGGGAGCCCAGAACCCTTAACTGGAACTGGTAAGGACATGTATGTATCTCTGATGGACGGTAAATGACCTTTTCTAAATAACAAAGTGGGATGTATGAAAATTTGCACTCTGCTGAGAATGGCTACGAGTAGACCAATATCTGTGTCATGGCTACTAGTACTGGTTTCATCAGTAGCTCCCCCGATACAGAAGGGTTCGTAGCCAATCCAAAGTCTAAAGATAGGATGCTTTCTGAATACATTAGTCGATATCGTTTCAATTCGTTCCGATCGCGTTTACCCCAACCCGTGGTAGCAAGCAGGGAAAAGCCATTTTACGTATGTGTCTCTGACCTAACAGTGTTCTTACTCTCGATTATCTCCACCCAGGTAGCCAGCTGGCCGATCGCCAGGTTAGACAAATTTTATAACTGACCAGGCTCGAGCTTGTTTAGCGAAGAAACCGGAAGGATATTCCACGAGAGTGGTATTAGGGCAACGGTGTAAAGTTACGGCTCCTGTTCCAGCGAAGTAGAATCTTGAGTGTATTGGTGGGATTCAAATTAATGATCTGCAGTTCATGGAAGGCATGGCTCCACATTTATAATACCATATCGGTCCCCATAGTCTAATTATTACTCTATGGGGATTGTAAAATACACAGGACAACAAACGGTGGATAACGGCTTACGGTGAACGAGACACAGAACGTTGGGGCGACTATACACCAGGAGGATATAATGCACTGTACTAACCCCAAAGGAATGACTCTAAACACAAGCTCTACCCAGAACTATAATTTACATTTGAAAATGCGAAGGGCCGCTGGCTAGCAAATACGCCAAGAGTCTCCCTTCTATTGCCATGTTGGTGTATACAGTAATATATCGTTGCGTTTAAACCAAATACTCTCCGCCGCTCATAATAACAATGGAGCCTGTTGCATAATAGCCCTTCGTGAGATACAGGTAAGCCTAGGCCGTATCTTCGGGATAAGCGACATCCTTAGTTAGACTTATCTTTGCTCTTCTGCAATGCAGTCTCATCAAATGGCTTCGGGAGTCCTTGCTTCTGCTTAGTTATGACATAGCCCGGAGCCACCGCGTTGACACGCATAGGCCCTAGGGTTATAGCTAGACTCGAGTCCACGAAAGGCGCTTGCACCAGAAAACTAAGTGTGGTACGTCCTCAGGTCTGAAAATAACGTGATCGATCTGAGAAGGTTGGGCTGCGAATTAGAGCAATGTCTCGATTGTTTGTAGGAGTTCTAATTCTATCTACACCGACAGTTGTAGTGCCGTCTGTGTCATGAGTGGGTCAATATCAGGCTGACTCTATGCTAAGCCACAGCGGGGTCAACGATGATCAATGCAAGGCTGAAACGATCCACAAGGCGCTTATTGCTCAATAATACCAACCACATATATCTACCGACCTTCACCCACTCCCTGTTCGCATGCATGCATGAAGGGAAAATAAAATCCTTGCCCAAAAATGTCCTCCACCAATAAGCATACCCAATCCCGCCCCGTCGACGTCGAGCAGCAGTGCGGAGTTACTCTGCCAGACGGTGCTCAGTGTGCTCGGTCGTTGACCTGTAAGGCTCATTCTATTAGCGCAAAGCGAGCGGTTTCTGGTCGTTCAATGCCGTACGATATGTTACTCCAGGCTTATCAGAAGAAGATCCAGGCTCGACAGAACAAGAACAACACTCAGCAGAGGAAGTATCGCCCACCGAACAAACCCAGCTCGTCTCGAAAATCATCCAATGGCTCGCACATTCAACCCGTAGCCTCTACATCGAAGAACTCGCCGAACTAGCTATCATCTCCGAAACCGGCATCAACGTTGATAAACGCCTCCCTGACCCGCGAACTATTCTCGCCATATGCCCGGACACTCTCATAACAACCACACCACCAACGCCCAATAGCCCGGACCCCGAAAACGAGTTCAAACCAAACCAACACCAGGTCCACTTCACTGACCCAGAAACAAAACAATACCTTCAATCCCCCGACATCCAAACCACCCCTGAAAAACATCTCGCAATAACAGAACCCACATCCCACACAACCATCGCAAAAGACAGTCTCACCTACCTCCTCCAATTCACAGAACCCTACACCACAACCCCGAGCAAAATCAAAAACTCGTACCTACTAAGCTACGCAACAAACTACTGGGCCGTGCATGCCCGTCTAGCCAACCCAGAAACAAACTCAGAACTGACAGCTCTAATCCTCCGATTCCTAAATTCAGGAACAGCATACATAAACTGGACAGCTTTTCTGGATGGCTACACGCCCTTCTCTGGAACAGATGGCTCCAGTCTTATCCGCCACCCACATCAGATTTACTACGCCGCATCATTCGGTCTAACAAACATCGTCACCGCGCTCCTTGATGCCGGTGCTCCGGTCGATAGTAGGGGACCGAGCGGGAGCGCGCTAGCTGCTGCTTCCTTGGCGGGACATCTAGATACTGTTAAAGTGCTCGTTGACTCCGGGGCGGATTTAAATCTGGCGGGGCCTTTTGGGACGCCGCTCGTTTTGGCTTCTGGGAGAGGTTTTGTGAGCATTGTACAGTTTCTGATGGAGCGGGGGGCGGATGTTGAGGCGAGGGGAGAGTGGAGTGAGACGGCCGTTGTTGAAGCAAGGAAGAATGGATTTGAGGATGTTGTGGGGGTTATTTTGGGGAGGTAGGGTTGTCTTAGCTCATTCTTTCATCTATTATGCCTTTTTTGAAGATTGGATGGTTGGTTTTAGTTGCAGGTTCATCCGTAATGGTTAACTTTGGGATTCAATTGCCCTGTTTTACATGCACGATGTCTTCATAGAATGCAATGTTTGATATCATTCCTGCATGAAATAGTGATGTTAACTCGGAGATAACTCGGCCCTGACATCACCCACACAAAAGGACACGGTTCTAGACCAATCCAAGCAAAGCGACTTCTTATAGTAATGGAGAAAAGCCAAGACAAATGTCATTGTGGCAAAATGATAAGATTTACCCTTTATCATCCGAGCCATGAAGTCATAACTACCCGTTCCTATATAAACCTTGGCTAATCCAGCTCCTAACCATAATAAGAAAACCAACCTCTTAGACTCGAGGAACCTAAGTTGTTTTGCACAAATCACTATCCCATCTCATCAGCATATCGTATATATCGAACATTAAAAACAAATCGAATGCAATATGTCCTCCCAATCCCAAAACCCTGACCAATCTACCAAGCCATCCTCACGTCGCCGCGCCTCCTCATTGCCAGAGGACCTTCAAAAACTCCTAGACAAAGAAGAGCTTTATTGGGATTCATACGGTGATTTTGAGAATTCTTGGACTACTACGTACGTTCGTCATTCATTACATTGAATTACATTAGTCGTGATGTTAACGTGATAGACGGACAAATAATGATCCGCCGATGGTTGTGGGGGATATGAGACGGGAGCAACAAGCTCGGAAGGGTCGGGCGGGAAATATGCAGGGTGACGAGAATGGACATTAGTGTTTAGTTGGAGTTCTTTAGTGTTAGTGTAATATAGTTATGGCTGTTTAGTTGAAATGTTGATTGGATGAGTCAAATGCAGATGTGTTTTGCGTATGGGTATATATACAGGAACAAATCGAGCAATGGACATTTCATGACCGGCATGAAATGATAATGCAGTGCAAGGTAAATATATACAAAAAAAATGTAAAAAAGAACCAAAAAATGCTAAGGAAACCTGGGAAAAAAAAAAAAAAAAAAAAAAAGAATAACAGGACTACGCGGTCTATGACTGACCTTTTATACCTGCTTGGTGATTCCGGAATGAGTAAATAAAACCTGGGAAAAAAAAAAAAAAAAAAAAGAAAAGGATCAGTACTCCAACCGATCATCATGAACCAACTCCACGTCATATCTCTCATTACCCTTCCACACATGACCTGGATCATTGAGCGACGCCACAGTTGTGCGAAGCGAAGAGATCAACCCCGTCGGCCCACTGGCAATAACCCGCGTTGGACCCTGAACAGTGCGGTGGACGAAATCAGTCAAATCCGCCGGCACATCTGGGTGTACGGAGGTACCGGAATTCCCGGGACGCAGGCAATGCACTGAGAACGGACTATCCGACAGATGAGTTTCGTGAGAAACAGTAGATAGAGGTCTCTTAATCTCGGAATCGGTGATATACGTGGGTGTGAAGGAGTTTCGAACATTGGCCCGGTCGTCTTCGCGGGTAACGTATACCCGGATCCGGAAATGGGTGCATGCTTGGGCGGCGGTACGGAGGACTTCTAGTTCTTCGCTGAGCCATCGCAAGTCTGACTTGCGACGGACGATCCAGACTAGCTCGACCAGACTTCTTCGTGTGGAGAAGTATCGGTTCAAGACTATAGCTTGCAGGATGGGGAGAATGAATGTCACGCCGGTGCCGCCTGCAACGCAGAAGAGGTTGATATCGTCTGAGCAGTGTAGGTCATTATCAACGATGGATTGGCCGTACGGTCCAGAAAGAACGATGGATGTGCTTGGTGGTTCGTCCCATTGTGATTCCCGGGGTTGGCGAGCTATCCGAGCTAAGTCTTTAGTTAAACCCCTCTTCGCGCGGATGATGTAAGTGTGTGATTGTTTGGATCCGCCAGGAACAGAGGATGGTGTCATGGGGTGCGATTGCCAGATACTAAGACTGGGGAAGCACAGGTAAAAGTGCTGACCGATTTCCCAAGGGCTGTGGTCATGGTCGAAATCCAGGCGGACGACGTCCCCGTCTTCGTCGTTAGGAAAGGAGGTCATGCGAGCTTTGGGGATGTGCAGACCCCAGAACGAGTACGTATCAGAAGCGTGCGGGCCGAAGTGCGTGATGAAAGTCCGCAAGAGCCGAATGCTTCTATCAAGTAACCACACGACCAGTGAAGCGATCATCCAGCATGAAAGCTGCTTCCAGTGTCCCCAGCAAGCACCCACGTATAGCATGGCCACGACATAATGTGCCTTGCGGAAGAATTCGTATCCAGTGAGTCGGATGGCCCATTTGGTGCTGAAGAAGACGAGGAATGACAGGAATATCATGGCCACGACGCCCCATATCATGTACTCTTGGGCTATAAAAGCGTTCCATGTTGAGGGTTGTGGCTTGTACAGCAATCCCTCCATGAGGGTCCAGCCAAAGGTGTGAAGAGCAGATTGAAGGTAAATAATCCAGCCGAGCCAGCGATGAAGGAAGTTGAAGTGATGATAGGGGATTCCCGTACAGAGGGAAAGGAGGGATTCCCTGGTACACAGAAGCACGGCGAGAGGCGTTAAGGCATATGCGAGAACTCCAATTCGATCAGCCCACGGACCAATTCCAATGGGAGTCGATGTCAAGTTAGTCCCCTTGACGGGAAGGTACCATGTTTTGTAGACGATCCCGACAAAGCTGAAGATGATGAGATAACCGGCTAGAATGGCGAGGACGAGGATATTGAACCGAGTGGTGCGGCCAAATATAAAGGTCAAAGATTCCTGGACAAAATAGCGGTGGTATATCGAACCCAGTGATCTTCTCATGCGATACAATGAGCTCTGTGATCTATGTTCACTTTCGCCCTCTTTCTGAACGCATGAGGACGTGGACTTTCGCGTGATGGGATTACAGTAATGACCGATGAAGCAAAGGAACACAATTCCAAGAATGGCAGCCCAGAGAATAGCACTGTAGAGGACCGATAAATCGTGACTGTGATATACCGTATCTAGATATGCACACTTTTCCGCACCACTAGTGCAGGGAAGTTGGCGGTTAAGGTATCCCCAGTGGTGTTCAATGCCGGGGCCACTATCCGGGATATCAGCATGGCGCGGGGAGAGCATCTCGAGTCGTCAATACTCGAGATATGGGACGAACGTTGCTGGACTCTGGAGAGGAGGAAAGAGAACATGATGGATGGCCGCGGGGGAAGTCCATATTAAAGTGTACCCACTGTCACGAAAAGTCGTTAGTTAAGACGCATACGTTAAAAAGTGGGTTGCCAAGGAGAAAATGTGCTCAAGTGCAATGCCAAGAGCGCTATGGTCAGTGCTATTTGATTTGCAGTTGTTTGGTAATGAGACAGTGGGCCACTTGGCCTGTGTCAAGTTTATAACTGTATGATTAATTAAGACTTATCAATTCCTGGGAGCGCCCAAAGCAAATGACTCGTATGAAGGCGAATCGCTTTCGGCTTTTGGCCTGACGAAACGGAATATTATCCCTGCGTAACACCGCTTGGCGCCATGGCGGAAGTTAATCTAATCGAAATCTGCTCAAATGGGATCATCCCCACCTTGCCAGGAAAAAGGCACCAATCGGTGCTATCGCCGCTTAGGGTTTTGCCGGCGACTACCGGATTGGACAGGGTTATTTACCCGATGGTTCGCCGGTGATACTGATCCGCTTGACACCTGAAGCATAAGGCTGAAACCTACCACGTTTGTGGCCTTGCTCGTTGATATAGAAGGGTTTTCAGTGTAGATAGCCTGTTGTCTAGACAAGGCTATATAGACAGGAAGAAAGGACACTATCTGTTATTTAATGGTAGAATAGAACATTGTACTACTGATTTTTATCTCTTTTATTTCTGTCTAAATCTATCTCTATGTAGTTCAGAAATCCCCTTAATTGATAGAATCTCGGGTGAAACTTAGAACTGATCAATTAGATGAAACCTTATCAGACCAGATCAATATAATAATAGCGACTGCGTAGTATATCCAAATGACCAGGGTATTCAGACTCCCGATGTTGAGAAAGACTGAACTTTAGATCCTCAATGTTTTTGTTCAGGCATCTATGTGAATTAAACATTGTTCAAAATCAGCATCGATGGCGACAAGTGTGAGGGGGGTAGGAATATATTTACATTTGCTTCGGTGATATATATCCACGGAGGTTTGTCCATTTTTGACTTGCCTAATAAATTACCTGAGCGCAAAAGTCTATCTTTTTCTATTCGGCAATTTCGACGTTAACAGCATGAGCGAATCAATGATTGCTTGGTCTTGATGTGGGTTGGATTTCATGTCCTCAGCAGTGACTTTGATGATTGATTGAACCTGTTTAGTCTCGCGTAGCTACTCGAATAGTTGCTGAAAATCTTTCCTACCAGCTGATACTGCCTGGCTCGGGCAGCTTGAAAACTATCTGGCCAAACAAACATACAGGAGGACAGAGTCAAAGGATACACTCCAGCTCTGTCTTGAGTTCGTTGAAATTGTATCCTTTAATAGCTTCCCACTTTGGCGGAGGCAAACTCAGCGATAACATCTTGGCTAAATATCGAATAGTCAACAATCGCCTTTTTAAGCTGACCGCCTTTATTGGCCTGGTTCTGGAGAGGCAAGCTCTTCTGGCACGCCTCCTGTAAATGCTAGTTTTCCTTAAACTTTCTCTATCCGGCTTCTCTTTCTTTGTCTTTTCTTCCACATTACTAACAGATGGTGATGTTTTTTTTTTTGCTCCACTTGGACCAAACCTTTTACTGGAATAGTCCGAGTCGGTGCTGGTGTTTGGCTTCACTTCTCGGTTGTTTCTGCCGATTTGTCAAAGATGTGCTCCATTGAATTTGTGAGTATCTGATTGCCTTTTTAGATTTCGATCTCCTTTGCAAGATTGAGATACGGCGACCCATATTCAGGTTTATCGCAATCCCTGTAAAGCACAAATTCACCATACTCGATGAGTGCATCTATCACCTCCTGTTGATATTTGGTGCACCTGTCAATCCTCACGGCGTAATGTAAAGGGGTCAATTTTTTTGGACCCCCTTGGAATTAGAGCGGCTGATGAGATGTTCTTTGGACCAGCTTTACTATGAAATTCGGGTCCATGTTTTTCTCGATAGCATTTCATATCATACCTATACTCTAATCGCCATCTATCCTTTTGTGAACCTAACAGGCAAGTCACTTCAATTTACCTGATTTGTTGTCACTCCTATTCTCAACGGAAAAAAAAAAGAAAAAGAAAAGGAAAACAGTGGGGACTTTCCTAACATTAACTTGCCGACCTGTGGCTTCTGCGTCGTCAATACTTAGGTGGATGTCTCTAAAACGCATTACAGGGTGAGGCCGCCAATGTATCCCTTAATGAACTGTGATTTAGGTGAGTTCATAGTAGATAGCGTCAGCCCATACCTATATGGGCTGGTAATATCTCGGCAGGAGCAACTATGGATTCTTGCCACTCCTGACAAGAGCCCCTTGCATTAGTTACGATCTATCATGTATGAAATGTCGGCGCGAGGGCCCTATCCAGCGGCATTGGTCAGAAATTCTCCACCAAGGTCAGTCCCATAGAATGATCTTGGCGTGATGCTGATTAATCACACAACTGAGACATCAATAATGAATGATATGCAATATGATTGGTTGCCGTGGAACATTGGCAGGATGGCTTTTCTGGTGTTTGTCTCAGGTATTTCAAGTATCAACCAACCTGTCATTGGCATGTGAGTATTTCGTATTTCTGTAGTAAACATGATGAATCATCAGTATAGATTTACGCACGCTGTAAAGCGAGCACTTGCGGAATCCCTGTACCGTTTCCGATATGATGTCCCGATACCTCGCACTATAATCACTACCCGCCTCGTCCTTCCACATAATAGTTTATAAAAATACCCCCTCGCTACTGACAGAGTATACTTCGCTAAGCCTCATGAGCTCTCACTAGGAATAATACGTAGTAGCTTCTCGGATGGCGCCGAGAATCAGTCAAAAAGCGCATATCACGGAAAGCCGAACTTCCTGGGCACTGTACCGCGTCCGAGCAACCCCAAATCACAATTATTTCTCACTTTCAGGCCGAACTTAGTTTTGATTAGTAAAGTTAAAGGTTGAGAGTGCTTTGATATTGTCCGAAGTACCACGGGATGGTGTTTCGTCATGCTTCAGGAGATATCTACAACTGCCCGAAAACTTCTCAAATGTTGTTGATTTCCGGGCTTTACTGCTGCTGAAGTTTTCATCAGGTCTCTCGAAATGGATTGAAAATAGTTAGAGTAGCACTACTACGATTCAGCAGACCTATATAGTTTCCTAAATGGGGTTCACGAGAGGAAAGGCATTTTAATAAATTGAGTGGATTGTATAATATAGTCTTTTGCCAATGGTCACTTTTTTTAAGTCTGGATTATTAACATCACTACATCTTACAGATTGCAAAGGTGGCTATACCAGGCCAATTAGCAGATGCATGGAGAACGCGTAAATGATATACTGACCATTCAGTGGGTGATCACTGAGAACATCTCTAGTCGCGCGACCTTCCGCATTCCACTGATCGTCACTGCAGCTGAAGTTGACCATAATCCTTTCCATCCTACCATTAAGAATAGCTCCATATGTCAACTGCCGAGATGGCTGTGTTGGCATTTGCCATTCAGTAAGACTTATTATTAAACACAATAAATTAGTTACGTTGCTTTACCAGATAAAACGTTCAATTTGATGCGCCCCTCCTGATGAGAACCGCTTGTCTCGGTCTCATTGTCAGGCTCTCCCTGTTCCAGCTTGCGGGTAGAAGTTGTGGGATCAGGCCACAGGCTACGCTATCACTTATGCCTGAAATTTCTCAGAGCCTTACCCCACTGGAACCCTGCGTTCTAAATCTGAGACCACCTGGAGCGTATTTAAATGTGGCCTTCAGGATATAAGAATATGTCGTTGAGGCTACTACCAATCTTGTATTCAAAGAAAGGATTCGTGGTGAAATCTATGCTTTGGCCTTTGGGTTCTTAGCTGGCGAGTATTATTAGGTCAGGAAATCCGTCCATGGATGTCATACATGATGACATCCTTGACCGCAATAGTAGACCGAGGTTCTACTTGGTATTGTCCTAGTTTAACCAAGAGTGGCGGCATTAGATACTTCGCCCATGATAGTCTCCAATAGAGTGTTAGTACCAACTCTTCAACCGGTTTATATTCAGTTGCACTGCAGGACAGATTACTGTATTATTATAGTTTGATAGACAATGATGCAGCATGCCGGTGGTTGACTCCGGAATTCAGCCTGTGGGCATTATGCCTTCTAGCGTTGCCCGTGACGGTGAGCAGCTTGAAAGGCCGCTGCATTGCTTCTATATCGGCGGCTATTTCCCGGATGTGTATTCGCCGAGAAGAACAATTTACCCAGTTGTTGGCGACATTTCTTCATGATCCTGAGTCGCACGCAATTTCTTGTCGGGTACTATGGAGCGAAGTCCTAAAAATGAGAAATTGTCTAGGGAGCCATTTGAACAAACACGATTTTGCAAAGTTAATATGTCTTCCCGAGTTCTTTACACTTTTGCCGTTTCTATTTATCAGTCCATCGTAGGATCAGGATACTCCGTGACGGGCATGGTTAACATGCACATATTAGAGATAATTGTACTATAGTAATCTTCTATTCTGGGATGACGTGCATACATAGACCCTAGTACTGCTATTGATATGAAAAATGTGGCTTATGGAATAAGACAGGAATGGCTGGAACGTCGCCAGAACGGAATACCTTTCTCAGCCAAGCGGGAAGCAGACCAGACGTTCTTTTCAACCTCCTTCTGCTAAACAGATTTCCTTATATAGCTAGTGAGGTAACCTGTCCTATCAATGAGTATTACTTGTCTTCTTAGCCAAGTGAGTTGGCAGTCGGCTACAGCGCGATCAATGAGGTATTCCCACGGTTGCTCTGGCTCAGCCATGCCTTGGTGCACCACGTCTTGAGCCTCGTAAATCCCCCTCATCAGGGCGGCTATACTAACATTCTGATTGGTAAACAAAGCAAGGCTGTATTGCACATTCCAAATTCCCAACGTCTCCGTCTGCCCCTGCCATTCAATCTGACTGTAGTCGAATCCTAGTTGTCCAGATCCGTAAAAGGTGCAGTGCCCTACGTCATCTGACTTACATAGTACGCGACAACCGGTCGCTGATCAGGCAGCAACATGCCATTGACCACTATACATAACGTGCAATAAAGCTCACCCAGGAGTAGGCCCTTATTCAAATCAGAATAAAATTGATCTTAACGACAATGCTGCGTCGATCTACACGCAACAGAAAGAGAAGGCTCTCAAGCGACCATGAAGCCATACGGCAGAAATTTCAAAGCAGACATTCTTGTTCTGAGCAATCATCCGACCATCATATGAAACGGATAGATGGTCCTCTATGCAAAGAATGTGATTTTGTAAGATCTCAAATATCCAGCGAACCATCTTCCAGGGTCAAAGAGGAAGGTATTATTATTTGCGACAACCTCCCGTATATCGCTACCGAATCTTGTCCTATGTGTCAGTTCATCAAGTACAACATCCAGAGCTACAACCTGGGAAAGAACACATCTTTTGAGCTGAGGCTGTTCTCTAGTCGAAAATCTTTCTCCTGGCTTTATCGCTCCCATGCGAAGTATCTCGACACCACAATGATGCTTGCGGTCGTCCCTAAGCATATCTTCGGCCGTGAAGGAAGCCCAAGCGATTTCATCCGAAGCTATGTGCCAGAGTTCTTGATACCAGGAGATCCCAGCCCATACCCTTTGTGTGTTTCAGGCAGAAGTATATATACAACGATGGTTGATTTTGGGTTCATCCGTGAATCTTTATCATACTGCATGGAGCACCATCACCATCATTGCGACCGCCCGGCATATTCCATTCAGGGTTCCATCACGGTTTATGACTATAAAAATAATCGTACACTGGATGTGAAGCTCCCATGCTTATACATTGCCTTGAGCTACGTGTGGGGAGATGCGGGAAGAAAGGAAGAGCGAACCCGGCGAGGACATACGAGGAGACCGAAAGTGATTGAAGATTGTATTACGATCGCAGACCATCTGAAAATTCCCTATGTATGGGTGGATAAATACTGCATAGATCAGACCAATCCACATAAACAGCAACAACAGTTAAACAGCATGTATGCCATTTACAATAATGCATATCTTATGGTTGTTGATGGGGCTGGGTCTGACATGCATTGTGGTCTTTTTGGTGTCTCAATGCCCCGAACTCGAAGCCAAGCCAGGGTACAGTTACGTGACCAATTATGAATATCCACGCTAAGAAATCCACAAGCTCTCATCCTAAACTCTCCATGGAACTCAAGAGGTTGGACATATCAAGAAGCCATAGCATCACCACGACTCCTGATTTTCACAGAGGAGCAGGTCTATTTCGAATGCAAAGCAATGAGGTGCTGGGAAAGCCTTTATATCTCACTGGACAGCCATCACTGCAGGAATAAGTCGACATTTAAGGACAGCCTTTGTGAGCCCATCTTCTGCCAGGAAACTCGAAATCCGACAGAATTTGAAGGACGCACTGACTTTCCTCGATATATCAAAAGCTATACTTGTCGGACTCTTACCAACAGCTATGATGCATTGAATGCCATTACAGGGGTCCTTGGCCTTTTGGAGAAGGGAAATGAGCCAGTGTATAATTTCTGGGGAATCCCACTGTATGCCACTACCTCGGGGGACTCTTCCGCAGTGACTACAGGGATGGCGTGGACCCTGCAAAATCGACAATGTAAAGGTTCCTGGAGACCCATACTTAGGAGACTCATGTTTCCAAGTTGGTCCTGGACAGGATGGGAGGGTGTCGTTGGATCCTTTGAGCTAGGAAACCTCAACCACGCTACCAATGTTTCCATTGGAATTCAGACGGCTAAAAACAGCGAAATATCAGTTCCATGGGGAAAGTTCTGGGAATCAGAAGGTGGGATGAAAATGGATCGCCGAACCAACCTTTGGGCATCCGGGCTGGGATTAGGCTCCGAAAGAAAGGAATATTACAACTATCCTTGGCTTGAGATCACTGCAGGGATTTTCCAGGTGAGCTTGCAATACATCACGGCCTGTGAGGTTGAGAAAATGACTGCAGAAGATCCCACCTTGAATGGGGACATTAAGCCTGGATTTTATATTGTCCCTCCGAGTAATGACGCATGTCTTACACCTGTTGTTTTCCCACAGAATTACCCTGAATTACGCCCTTACAAAGCAGTGGACATTTGTCGACAACAGTGGGATTGCATGCTTCTAGGATACTGTGACAATGATTTCCCGGTTGTTATTATGCTTAATCATGACCGAAGACGCAAAGTAACTGAGAGGGTGTGGGGTGGAAGGCTCCTTTGGGGGGATGGATGGAAAGACATATGTAATGTTGAAGAGCGCTGTGTACGTCTTCATTGAGGTATATTTCTTATGGACATGTATGATCTTCCTAGCTTTTCGTCTCTTTTCTCTCTCTGTCTTTTCCCCTTTGGTATCTGTCTATGCTAGCTTTCAGCTGTCCTAGAATCTAATGTCGTTATTGCTTACCAATAGCCATGACTTCGCTGCTAAGCCTAAGAAATGACAATACAAGGAGCCGGACCCAAAGCTACGACCGCGCAGTTCGCTGCAGAGAGTAAAGAGGGTGTCTTTCTTTCTTTCCTTCTTTCCTTCCTTCTTTCTTTCCTTCTTTCTTTCCTTCTTTCTTTCTTTCTTTCTTTCTTTCTTTCTTTTTTTTTTTTCAAGGTCTCTGTTGACCGGTCTAGGGGGATCCATTTATCCTCTTGGAATTGGAGGCCAGTTTCTTGTGGGTGTCTTGGTAGTGATCACGTCCATTGTAACACCACTCCTTATTTTACTCTGCTTACAGCACTGGTTCCCTTGGCCCATTGGCCTGTGACTGAGGTGAGGTGTTATGGGAGATGGCGATACATATGAAAGAATGTAAGAATAGGAAATGTATCGACTGCAGACTACGAAGCTGATAAGGATCTGGAGGGAAGATGCTCTATGTACATACTGCTCAAGCTGCGCCGTCACTGCGCCTGCACTCCCACCCACCCAACTGCGTTCTAAGTTCCTCTACATGCTCAGCTGTCACTGGTCCATCCATCCCACTCCCGGCCTGCCTACACAATTGCCCATAACGCTGTATCTGCTGCTGCAATAGCGCCACCAGGGTCAATAGTGTCGCTCCCGCATCACGGAGCTCCTTTTGCATCGCCAGCCGCCGTGACTGCCAAGCCCCGAATGATCGAAACACCTGCGTGAATAGTTCCACCAGCACCTTCTCCTGAGTTGTATCCCGCTTCACCACGTATTGTGGATGCATTCCTTGGACCACTTGCATCCGGTGCCCATTCACATCTAACTCCCGCACCCGCCTATCTCGCGCTCTGAGCACTGATGAACAGAGTTGCTGTGCAAGATTATCGCCATTAAAGAATTCCCACCTCTTATTGTTTGGCTTCGTACAACACTGACAGGAGATCATCACCCGCGGTTGGATCAATTCGAGAGTCGCCCTCGTAAGCGCAAACGATTCCCGTGCCAGCTCGTCCCGCCCCGCTGGCCCCATCCGCTCCAATATATCGTCTCTGAGACTATCCTGGAGCATTGGGAACGTGTCAAGAATGATAACGTCGTCCAGCTGAAGCCCCATATTCCGCAGTATCTCCTGTAGCCAAGAAAGCGTCGGCGACTTGCGCAGCATTTCATCAAACGGCAAGTAATCCCACGGACTGGGGTTGAGCAACAAAATAACTGGGAATTCCACCCAACCTGACAATAATGCTATCCAATTGAGGAAGCCATTCTTTGGAATTCCCCATTTCTTCTGGAATTCCTGTCCTTGAATGTATAGATCATCGGTCTCGGTGAGAATGAATCGTTGCGGATTCTGGAGTCTCGCAACTTGTTGCGGGATCACATCTCGCGTCAGTTCGTCAATAGAGTACTCTGTGTTGTGTGTTTCACTACCCGTAGAAATATATGCCGCGAAGGGATTAAACACAGCACTATTTTGCTCTATCGGCCCTGCGTCCAACGCTGGAGAACGGCGTGTCTCAGACGGATTGGGCCGACTAGGTTCCCTTGCGGCTGCTTCTGTCCTAGGGCTATCTCCCAAAGACATATCAGCAAGCAAGCCTGGGAGAGAATCACCAGAGCCATCCTCTGAAGGAGAGGCAGAAGACACGGAATGAGGCATTATGGATAAGAATGTGATGTAGAAAGTTGGATAATGAGAAAAGATACCTTCGTGGTTCCATACCTGTGGCGGCATGATTATATACCCTATCTGAGCACAGCCGCTCCTACATCCGACCAAATTTTTCATGACTCAACTACTCAGGTCAGACGACATAGGCTACTGCGGCTTTACGGATTTGGATAACTAGGAGCCCACTGTTTTGTATTCAGTGGCTGTGGCAGTCGGAAGTGTTGGAATTGACATGTGGTTCACACAGCCTTGTCGACTTTCCTTACCAATTATAATGTTAGTATAGCCGCCCAGAAGAGGGGAATGTGCGAGGCTGAAAATGCGCCCAGGCATTCTGGTGGGCAACAACGAGGCTGGATCGATGTAGGTGTAGAACATTCTCATGTCATTGATGGGACTGTAGTTGTCTGCCAGGTTGGCCATGGTTGCCTTTGGTGCCTGTTTGATAACCGCCCTATATTAATGGACTAGTTCAAAAGCATTTGTCTCAGTTGGTTAGCGCTTTCATAATCCAAGTGTGGGAGAATGACCAGGGCGGTTAACTAGCATATGATTAATGTGGTACTAAATTTACAACCTTCCATAAAATAGTCACCCTGCACAGCCCAATCCAAACAATCTGCACACTACAAATACATGTCTCTATGCGGATTGGCACCTATCACATGGCAAATGGGACGTTGCTCGGCTGGGGCATTGTTATTGATTGATTCTGATCCAATGCGTCCAGGGATACTAATCGCCTACGCTGATCAAACAACCGTAATTCGCAGGTGAGCATAATGAGGTATAAACGCGAACGCAGTGTGTCTAAGAGTCAGTAGGATCGATGCACGCGAGGCTGAAGAAATACTTTTGTCTTGAAGTCGGCTGCGAATCATTTATTGGTCGACAGAAACCCATCAATCTAAACCAGGATATACGCAATATCGCTGACAGTCAAGGGGCACATAATGTGCTTGCGACCCCATCATCTTCTGCTGCGTACCATGCATCGCCTTCTATGCTTTGTGTGGCAGAGGCTCATCGTTGTGTTGGTATGGCTGCCTCTGGTAATATTTGCAGGGGTCGGTCTCCTCTACCTGGTCAGGGTAGCCTGGGGATTGTTGGCTCTATGACTGAGCCATGTCAGGATACGGCTGGGTCTTTGCGAATGACCACGCGGGTATCGTTAAGCCGATGTATGAGGAGCTCAGTATACTGGAATTCCCGAAGGCAGTGAAGGCAAGGCTAGATGGCGCTGTGCTGTAAACCTTAATGTCTGAATGTCATTGTTAGCATAAGAGACATACTCGTAAACTAGCTGTTGATAAAGGAATCTGGAAATGGATAACCTGCGGTGCGAAGCTCCTGCAAACGCTGCAGAAGTTTTTTCAAAGCCTTACTTAACATGACCATCGTTACTGTATTCTCACCCACAGCACGCAGTACATACAAGAAAAATAATGTTACGCGTCATGTTATGCCTTTTATCCATATATCCCCTTGACCTCTATAAGGAAACCTTAAAACCATGCTAGCGGCCAGGAGCTTTGACTACCCGCCCTAGTTTCTCAGTTCAGGGGCATGGAAGAGACCTTATTCATCATAGTGACCACAAAATGTAGAAACAGACTTGTACAATCCATCGCCAATCTAGAACACATAGTAGTAGCGTAGTATATCAATAAACTTTGACAGGGTTGCGAGTGACTACAGGTGTAAACACTATTTACCATATATGTCGAGAAGGCACAGAGACGTATATAAATAAGAATATAGAAATCCTAAACAGAATCTATATTATTGGGCCATAAAACTTATTATAAAGTTAAGAATCTTATAGTCTTATTAAAATAGAAAGTATTCCTTACTGATTCTCTTTCTTTAAATTATAAATAATAATAGTAAAAATAACTAAAATAGTAGAAGAATAGACACAGCTACAGATAGTAAAAATAAAACTAAGAAACTTCTAGATATTATATATAATAATCTATATTGAGAAACTTAAAATTACAGAATAATATCTCCGGAGCTCTAAGATATAGTATCAGAAAGTAGGAGATATAAAGAGATACAGCTTATAGTAATATCAGTCAAATCTGCTGCGTATATATATATCCAAGTACAAGTCAATTCCAGTACGTGATGCGGCGAGAGCCGACTAAAGGAAAAGAGGCTGGCTGTTCGCGCAGGTGTTCCGGCCATTCCGGGAGTGCCAGTCACGGCGGAGGGCGATGCAGGAGCGGTACTGTTAGGACTGGTGGCGCTCTTGCAGCGGCAGATGAAGCTCTACAGGCAACTGGATGAACAAGCAGGGAGTAAGTGGAGGGCCCAGTAGCAGCAGCTGAACGTGTGGAGGAACTTGGGAAGCAACTGGCCGAGTGGGCGTGGGGACAAGGTCAGGGTGCGTGGGCTGAGCGCTCCCTTGCATATTGAGCTTGAGCTGGAACAAATCCGGAATCGAATTCCGGAGTAAACCACGGTTGCTTGGCTTAGCTTCCGACCAAGCCAGCTATAATTTCTACGTATATCTATAAAATTAAGGATTAAGAGTAGTATCGTGACATACCATATCTGCACTCTGCGGAGAATATATATGGATATCTTTGGCTACAAGCCAACGTTATTTATTTCCCCACCGTTCCGCCAAGTGAATAACCGAATCACAGATGCGGGGCTGCAGCTAAAATGCAACTGCAACCATGAGCGATAGTAACTCCATGCACGCCATGATCAGCTGAGACGATGATTATTCCGCATGCGTCCAACGATCCGCATGACTGTAGATCCTATGCGTGGCTCCATACAATAAACAGACCCTGCTGTGTTGGTCAAGCCCCCGATGCCGCTAAATGCAGAGTCATAAGAAGCCTGCCTGTCCCCGATAGCAAGACATACGGTTCGCTGTTCACTACTCGCTATTATTGCAATCCGGACCTCATTTGGACTTCGCCCTCCCTTAAAAAAAAAATATATATATATATATATATAATGAGCGATAGCAAAGTTAACTCTGTCCAAGCGCCGTCCGCAACGAAACTGGTTCCCGTCGCCCACTCATCAGAGGCACGCGAATTTCTGATCGCCAAGCCCAGCAGGCCGCACTACACTGCGTACTTGTGGGATACTTGGGACAAATCACCAGAGGAACGGCGATTTTTATTCAAGCTTGATGCTGCTATTCTCACTATAGCCTCGTTGGGGTACTTTATAAAGAATTTGGATCAAATTAACATCAATAATGCGTTTGTTTCTGGCATGAAAGAAGACCTGAATCTCAACGGAAACGAACTCAATTATATGCAAACTTGCTGGACAGTAGGCTATATTATTGGGCAAATTCCAAGGCAAGTGCGGAATCAAGAAATCACCAAAGCAAAAAAAAAAATAAAATAAAATAAAAAAAGGAAATAGACTGCCTGGCCAGCGACTCCCCCAAAAACACATAGTATTCGCATTAACCATTGCATCATTTTATAGTACTCTTCTGTTGACGCGTATTCGACCTTCATTATGGATTCCTTCATGTGAAGTGACCTGGTCCGTTTTGACTATTCTCATGGCCAAGTGCAGCAACGTGCAACAAATATATGTGTTACGGTTCTTCATCGGCCTCGCAGAGAGTACCTTTTACCCAGGTATGCAGTATGTCATTGGATCTTGGTATCAAAAGGGCGAGCTTGGCAAGCGATCATGCATATTCCATGCAAGCAGTGCCGTAGGAAGCATGTTCTCCGGCTACCTCATGGCCGCCGTCTACCATTTCGACGGTGTGCATGGGTTTAAAGGTTGGCAGTGGTTGTTTATTATAAACACTGTTATATCACTCCCGATTGCGCTTTCTGGCTTCCTTTTTCTACCTGACGTGCCGGAGATCACGCGGGCTTGGTATTTAACTCCTGATGAAATTGTCCTGGCGCAGACACGCATGCAAGCCGATGGTCGTGCTAACCGCGCACCATACACTAGGAAGAAAATTGAAAAAATCTTTTCTAGTTGGCGTATCTACCTCTTGACCTTGTTGTACATCTTGTACATGAATGGTGGTGGAGTATCGGGGCAGCCAGCATTTGCTATTTGGCTAAAGCAGCAAGGCTACAGTATAACGCAGATTAATACGTATCCTACCTTGACGACAGCTGTCCAGATTATCACCACAATGATCTACGCATGGACGTCGGATACCATCTTGCACGGCGAGCGATGGCCGGCAATCATATTCTCAGGTGTTATGATCATCATCGTGAACACGAGTCTGACGATATGGAATATTCCTACTGGCTGGAAATGGGCTTGTTTCATACTAGCCGGCTGTTCTAGTGGAATTAGCGGACTGATATATGCGTGGATGCACGAGATTTGCGCTGAAGACAACGAGGAGAGAGCCTTAGTGGCGGGCTCAATGAACGAGATAGCGAACGTGGTCCAAGCATGGCTTCCACTGCTGATTTGGCAGCAAGTCGAGGCACCAGAGTATCCAAAAGGATATTCGGCGTCAATAGGGATTGCAGTAGCCATGATGGCCACAGCAATGGCTATTAGACATTTGCAGAGAAGGGAAATAGCTACACGGCAATTGCGTCTACCCGAGACTGAATCAGATCCTCAGCATCAAGGGTTGCCGTTGGAACAAACGTTACTTAGCCTGTAGTTGCTCAATGGGCCATCGGAACGACACAAAAGTCATATAACCAAGATACATACGACTGAATTATGGTATGGGTAGTTATAAAGGAGCGTTATATACATGAATATGAGTCAATTACTTCGAACGCGTTGCTAGCCACAATATTGTGTGATTTATTACAAGATAATATGCTGATCGTATTCTGACTCAATTTTTGGCTTGAGCCTTGCTTTGCGCCTCTCCTCTTGCGGGATCCCCTTGGGAGCTCTGGCCACCATCTACCAGTGAGCTGGGTGTTGTGGAACTTCCCTTTAGGAGGGATATCCGTGTAGATTTGAAGTGAAACACCGGCGGTAGAATGAATCCTGAGTTTTAGAACCTCAGATTGACAAAGCGAACCATTCCCTGGGCTCTTTTATGAGCTGCCGAGCTCATAGCCTGTCAAATAGCATTATGGAAAGAAATCCTTGATTGTTCTAGTTGTGAGGTGCTAGCTACGTGACTATCTAAGCTCTATTCGGAGACCAGCAGGCCAACAATGATAATATTATTTGTAGCACTAGAAAGGCTGTCGACAATGTATCTCGCAGAATTGCCGACCGGATTATCTTATTTATGTTGACATGACAGCGGCGAAGAATATCAACAAAATTTGACAGGATTGCGGTTGAGCGCCGCCGTGAGCGCCATCCGCCACGTACGTTGAGAAGACGCAGAGGCGCATGAAAACAAGAGCATGGGAACCATAAACAGAACCTACGTCATTGAGCCCCAAAGGTTACTCTAAAGTCGGTCATCTTAAGATTCTACTGTCATAGGACGTGTAATCACTTTGATTCCATTTCTTTAGACCTTCATCAATCATAAAAGCAACAACAGAAACAGAACGATGGACGCAATCACAGACGGTAACGGCAGCGAACATTTCATGCCCATCACACATGTATACGACCCTGTACTGGACAGTAAAACCTCCTTCGATCCAAGCATATTCAAATTTCTCCAAGGTCCAGACGAAGGCGTCGGCGGACCCGGATGTTATTCGAACTCCATTGTCTTGTACCCTTCCGAATTGTCGATATCCTGGCCCAGCTACTTGCCCTGCTGTAGACAGAGCAAGCACTGGAAAACCGCAGAAAGCATGACCAAGGAACTCCTGAATGCTATCTACGAAGACTCGTGTCGAGACGCTCAATATAATGGAGCAATGCCTCGGGAGCTACAAGACACATCGTCGGAAGTTAGGATGCGCAAGGAGGTAGAGCTCATGGCGACATCAGTCAAGTCAGCTGCCTACATGTATCCAAATGCGAGTCCAGTACGTGCGGGCATGTTAAGTCAGTCTATGTTGCTTGTCTTTCTACATGATGGTGAGTGTCTCAATCATATCTTTCAGTCTATCGTATATTTGCTTTAACCTTATCCTGAATAGATGTTGTGGAGAGTTGTCCATTGGACGCCGTAAGTCGGATTGTCATCTTTAATTACATATCCGTATTCAAGTTTATCTTAGGGATCGACAATCACCGACGCCATTTTCGCTACATATGAGTCGAAGTCTGGTACCCTACAGAGGCGTCACAATGCGCTGCGCAGTTTCTTGACAGCGATCATTGAGGAAGACCCGAGCCTTGGAAAAAGGCTCCTCTCCAGCATAGATACCTGGCTCAGTCATACCAAGGGCTATCGATCGATCTCAGGAACAATCTTTGACTCGTTGAGTAATTATCTAGACTTTAGATCGGATGATATTGCGCGAGAGTACGTAAACCCACAACATATCCACCCGGTCAGTAGATAGGGAGTTACAGATAACCTCCACCAGATTTATCCTAGCACAAGCTTTGTTTGCTTGCAACATCCACCTCTCCCAGACCGAGATACAAGTATTCAACAATTTGATCCGGATACATGTGACTCACCTCTCTCTCACCAATGACCTTTACTCCTTTGAAAGGGAGAGTAAAGAGCACGAGCGAACCGGTAGACTGCTCATCAACGCGATCGAGGTGATACGCAATGTATACCAAGTCTCTCTGGTGACTGCGAAGCAGCTTGCCCGGGGATTCATTCTGGACACCGAGTGTGCGTTTTCCGGGGAGTTTAAAAGGCTAATATCGTCGGGGCTCTTGAATAATGGCCAGATCCGGTTTGCGAAGGCGTTGGCTGAATGTCTTGCCGGGCAGACCTTCTACTCGATAACATCTGGTCGTTATGGAGGTGATAAGGCTGTGAGGGCGGTTTCTGCTTGAGCTGCAGGCTCATTCATGACGCTAAGTTCTGGCACACCACGAGGCCACTCATTGCATTCACGATGCTACTTGGATATTCCTCAACCTGTGGATACTTCAGGAGCATGGTTGAACGACTGGGGTGCAGATAAAAGACTTTAAATTTGATCTTAAATTGATTATGGTTATATATAGATTGTTGTTTTTGAGAGTATTTGAAGACACATGTTATGATATCATCCCTGCCTACTAGTAATCATCCCAGTACCACAAAACCTTGTCCTATATGAACGCATAGCTATACCTTAACCCAGATTGACTTCCGGGAGGCGAACCTAAACGAACAGCCGGGCTGCCTGAGCATCATAATGAACTCAATTATACCGATCCATCCATGACGTCAGTTCCATTCCGGTATAAATACATCCCAGACTCCTGCTCACAAGAAAGTGAATAAAGAACCAACATCACTAAGAAATAGTACGACTCCCTAGGACAGCAATCATAATGGTCAAAGACAAGAACACCGTCATCGAGTACATTGCCCTTCCGCCTCTGTCGAGTCAGCCCTAATCCCAAGCTAACGGACAACAAGGGAATTCAACGACCTGGTCAATATGACCCCCAACGAACTCCGCGATTGGCTCAAAGAAGAACAGTCTCAGTCTTCCGGATGGAGTGGTGAATCTGGAGAGACAATTGGACATGAAAGGTCTTACTCACTCTTATCCCCCCTCCTCCCCATTCGCAATTGTTGAATGACAACTAACAAAGTACAGCGGTCGCAAGATTGTCGACATCTTAGAGCACAATCCGTCCAAAAGCCCAGAGGGATATTCCGACCAGGACATCGACCACATGCGACGGGTAGTGTCGTATTGTAAGCGGCATTTGGCGCAGGAAGAGAAAGCCAAGCAGGATCCGAACAGTAAGAGCCATCGGTCGTTGAAGAACTGGGGACACGATCCGTTCAAGTCCTGATCTAGACGTACACATATGTAACATGCAGTGCGGTGGATGTATGTCATGTATGTAGAATAATTGTTACCTCTGCATTCATTATGAAATTACTATTCTCTACCTCATATTGATAGGCTCGTCTTCCACTCTCCATTAATACTTATGCTTTACCTAGATAAGCTTGAGATCTAATTCACAGTCTTCTTGACTCTCCACTTCTACATGGGTAGAGCTAGTTATACATATTACATTCTCTTCACCTCCTAGATAAAGGTCTCCTACCCTCTCTCTCTCGCATTATCGAGAGATAGGGATATCCAACGACTCATTGGCGCCAGGCATTCACAGACACTGCCAATCTATGGCCCAACTATCACCTAGATAAATATATCGCCCATATCCTTGGTAATTTCAAGAGAACCACACAAAAATACCACAGAGTCAGCGTTGATCGGCTTCCCCGCTGCACTCGACCCAAACCCGCCCCGAACCCGGCAATTTCGCGGAAGGGTATAGAAGGAAGAAGGCTATAATTATATATAACACATATTTAGCATGTGTATAAATCAAGCGATGGATTCGTTACTAAGTAATACAAGCTGAATATAGTCGATCATGTCAACTTAAACATCTTGAGCCCTGCTCCTAACTTCAACCAACGCTCTTCCTCAATCTTACAGTTCATCACCTGTATCCGTTCTCTGGAGCCCCTATCTGTACACTCCAAGCACATCAGCATGGTAATAACCCAAGAATTATTTGAAGCTGTATTCAGCTCTCCTGCTATCGGTAGGAATTCCAGTACCAACACTACTGACTGCTTCTGCCGCCACTCATGTTGCAGATTTATATAGCCAAGTAGAGTCTGTGTATCGTCATTATCATGACGGCCTTCTTTATTGATGTCGGACCTGTTGCCTGTAGACGATACGTTTCCCGACATAGAAGTAGCGGAAAACACCGTATACAGCCCGTTGTATCCATCAGATTCTATACAATCGCTGGAGATGCTCAAGTAAGCAATACTTCCATAAAGCGACCTTTCTGGAAGATTATAGTATGAAAGACTGGCTGCCACTGGGAAGCCAAATGCAAAATCTTTCAAATGACTCGTAGCTGGTTGTCTGATATTACATTGCTCTGGAAAGTCATCGTTATAGTCTCGACAACCGTATATCATCTGGCTAGTACAGCAAGTGTTGATTAGGTCTCTATTGAACTCAACCGCATCATTCCATCCCAGCCATGACCAACTGGGAAAGAATGGGTTCCGAAGCTGAGGGTTGTGTTGACGAGTGCTCCAGCAAAATGTTTGATCAAAGGCGTAAATCGGGAGACCATAGCAGAATGAAGTTGATTTGCCATCCATAACGCCGTTGTATAATTGTAGTATTCCCTGAAAAGCATTCATCTTGTCCTCCATCTTTGACAGCTTTCTTCTGGAATAAGATTCAACAGCAGAGACGTAGGATTCCAGATCCTTGCCATGGGGTATCTTGAGCATACTTCCAATGGAGTCGTAGCTTGAGGCATCATGCATTTTGATAGGTTTCATGCTGTTTCCATCCATTTTAAGAGCTCCACGTTGGCATTGAATATATATCCCATTCGTAGTAAATAGGATAAGACGGTGTGACAGCACCTGCTCTTGATAGCACCATGCGCGGTGGGCCCATGGTGATGACAGTAGTAAACACTTCAGAGAATCCTCACTACACACCAATGAAGCATCAGAGGTCTGTTTGTTTGCACCCCCTGATAATCCACTAGATGCTGATTCCCCCGAAACAGCAACGATAGTGTACTCTGCTGCGCTGTATATCTTCTTCATACGCATAATTTGGATTCTAGTATCTCGAGTAGAGTCTTGCATAATGCATAGTGCATCAACCCAAAGATACTGGAATTTGAGCTTTTCGCATGCTACAATGGCGTCTCGTATAGTCATGGGAATCCTTAACCAGGCATAATCAAGTCCACCATCACTCATAAGTAGTGGCTTTGTAGCTTCGTTCAGTCGTAGTTGATCTACTCCACCCCAGACATAAGACAGAGCAACGAAGGAGCAATTTTCCGAGGCTTTGACAATGCAACGCCTATGAATATCGATAACTCGAAAGTCAATTCCTTTAAAGTCGTGCCACTGGATTGGATGTGGGATGCAATCTTGATGAGTATCTTTGTCACACCACGAAAGCCATTTTTTTATATAAGTGAAGTCAACCCCTGATATGGTAGACTCCACGGACTCTGGCCGGGGAATTCGTGGTGGATGAGTAGCTTGGGGTACTTGTGAGATGCTACCGTCATCTAGATTATCGGCTTCTATTCCAGCAAGCAGCATTCTCTTGGAGTTAACTGCATTGTCTGGACCATCATCTCGGGATGCCATCTCTGTGTTGTCGCCGGTTTCGAGTCCTGGACACGAAATGGGCTCTCCTGGCCACAGGCATTGGTACAGTTGGCGTACCCGAATCCACTCATCCTCATCCCAGTACCCGTCAGAGCTATCAATTCTTAGCCAAGAACCGAGAGGCGAGATATTATTTACCTAAGCTCCACCTGCGTAGGTGCCAGTATGTATGCTCTCAGCAATATACATGCGACTACAACATCGTATGGCTTCATGAGAGTCTTGACAAACCACTGTTCGTGGAATCTGCCGAGACAGAATGGCTCATGCCCATCATCAGCCACTCCATTGATGTTGATTCCCTCGTCTATATTTATTATAGGCGGTGTCATGGCTCCATCTTCGTCGCGGACACCCCTAATGGGTACATTTGAAGCCTCGATGATGAGCATTGCATCTTCGATCACTCCGGGCCATATTCCTTCCCATTCTGGTGTACCCCATCCTTTGATCTTGTAATAATGAGTGTAACTATACCTGGTTAATGATAATCTTTCAGAACACTTTTAATGAATCACCTACCCCATATCTCTAGTAATCTAAGAAGAATATGATGTTCAGCCATATAACTCAATCAGAAGAATAGCGGATTTCAAAGATAAACAAAACGTAAAAATTTTGAAAAGGTGGATGCAGAGTATATATTAGGAGAAATGATTGAGTTCTGGGGAGGAAGAACGATTCCATTTGACTAGGCTGGAGGAGGCGCCTTTTATCACCATCTATCTGCAAGGCTGAGCATTCTGCGGGGTTTTAGGGAAAATTTAAATTTATCCGAGTCCTTACTTAATCATTGGAATGCCAGGTGACACAGCCTCATCGGGCTCTTTATCATAAAAAAAGGTGATAGGGGATTCCATCCGGTGGCCCTAATTGGCCCGATCTGTACATATGGACCGTTGTTTATGCTCAGAATGTTTGGATAGTGGTCAATTCAAGCATTCATTCAGCAGCTAGTCTTAGTCCACCAAGATTAAGCACAGAATGGCGCTACATCAGGATCATTGATAAAGCAACCCTTTTATTTGGTTTAGTTTCGTTTTTCTTTAAAAGTGAAATGCTAACCAATATTCCAGGCACGGAAATTTACCACGATAGGGGGATATATATCATAGCTTTGTCCGCAAATGTTGACTCTGGACTAACGATAATTTATAGCTATTTTGTATTCTTGGTATGTGCGGGACAGATGCATCAACTTCACAGAACCTTTGGACTTACAGTCTGGAGTTGGAAGGGTGCTATCAGTCTTGATAGCCATGGCTTCTGGGAGCTGCTCTCCCTTCCCTGATAATTGTGGGTGACTACCGTAGATGAGGGCAAACTCATCTAGATGATTATCAAGTAGGAACTTAATACTCTAAGTGTCAATGAGCTACACCTCGCTAAATGCAATTTTGACGATGCGAAAGTTGCTAGTGCTTTAGATTTATTGGCTGGCACTGGTTCCTTATAAGTTCTAGGATCGATGCAATACCTCCAATGCACTCAGTGGCAAGTATAGATTTATTCCGTATTTACTGGGGAGGCGATAGCTCAGACAAATTGTGAAAATTCTACTAATTTCAAGTTATCCCCAAAGGGAAAGAGGAAGAAGCTATGTATAAGCAATTGGTAGAATATCCTAATCTCACAGTCAAACATAACCGCTGGAGCTTTGTATGGAACTTCTCATCGTCCGTGCGTTGCGGCAAATTTCGCCTGTGCATCAATGAGCCATGAGCAATTCAAGTGCTAGGCAATATCTTCATGTTTGTAAGCGGACCAGAGCTGAGCGGCGAGCTGTACATTGCGAAGGTCCTGCACCTCCTCATTTTGCACACCATCTCACATGCGTCTAGTGTCCCAACTACTGGTTATGGAGGCTATCATGAACGCATTTTATAAAATCCTGACCCAGAGAGCGAGTCAACTTGTGCATCTCCTCAAACATCTGAGAAAGGGTGTCTCGAAACGTGCATTGGGTTTGGAACATGGACTTGATATTGGAGTACCTTCACGCTTGCCGGCTCGTTTTGGTTTTGATCGATAGGTAATTCCATAGCTTTCCCAGAATCACCTCTTCAGGGCATGAGAGTGATGTGATTATTCATGTGGTTAATAAAATTTGCAGATAGCCGAAATAATAGGCATCCAAACATGCAAGGGCCCTTCCTCACCCTAGGAGATTTTGAACATCGGAATAAGGTACACCAGTGGGGGAGGCACCTGCAGAGCTAAAGGAGGTCGGAAATTCTTCAACCAGGCTTCAATGGTAGCACGCGTAGAAGCAGAACCTGGGGGTATCGTTACGTAGCCAATTAACGTTCTCCGGACTACTTTCAACGAGGTGCATACAATCTCCAAGCTTTATTTATAGAGAGAGAAATGCATTATACCCGAATACAGCTCCCATTCAGGGGCTCTTCTCGGGTCGTCGACGGCCGTTCAGTATAGTACTAAGCAGCTAAGCTTTATTTATACCTCTGGCCAAGTGTTGAAGGAGATCCTGTATAATAAGGAATAGAGCGTGTAAGGTTGCCTATCATACTTTACAACACTCTCGGCTCGACGGGATCGAGTGCCTGCAGCTCCACTCGACGGCCCACGTTAGCAGCCGTTCGACCCATGGGGGTCAATCCTTCTAAAGACCCATTGGCGCCCGCCGTCCCAACTACTGAACATCCGAGCGAATTGCGTAATTCTATCTACTTGACGAGCAGGCCAATGGTACGCTACGCTGCATAGATGCACGGACGTGCATTACGTAGCATACAATAGTGGAGTTTACGAGGAATCGAGCAACTGCATTGCATGGCATGGCCTGAGCAGTCTAGCGACGCATGGAAACTACTGAGAACCACATGGCAGCCACTTTAGCCTCGCCAATCCTTTATTCCTTTTTTTATCTTATTTTTCTCTCACCTTACTTTCCTCACTGTCTATGTCGAATACCTGCTCGTAGGATAAAAACCCACAAAAAATATAACCCAACTCCTCAACCCACGTAACCCAACACGGATGGATCCGGGTAGATCAACGATCAACAACACCCTAAGTTCTAACACTGCCACTAGCAAAACGGGGCCAGCTCTGGCTTAACTTTTTCCAACCCACAACCGACAAGTGAACAGTTGTCAGTTCCGAGTCATGTTACAGCCTCGCGTATTTCACGGGTTTCTACTCGCCAATCTATATAGCCACCCCCCTATATAATGGGACCGATACCCCTAACCCCAGATCCACCTCTACCCATATCTCTATCACCCATTAACCCAAAATGCTTTCAAATGAGTCCTCTATGTCCAATGGCGAAGCCCAGAGTGACTGGAAAGTCGACCCCTCCGCTTTTGCCTTCACTCCTAGAAAGCTGCGCGTGGTGTGTATTGGAGCGGGTATCTCTGGATTAAACATTGCGTATAAGCTCAAGCACGAGAGGCCCCTGGACTTCGTTGACCTCACTATCTATGAGAAGAATCCGGAGGTTGGTGGCACGTGGTTTGAGAATATTTATCCTGGGGTTGCGTGGTAAGTGGTCTAGTTTGGTGTGATGTGTATATAGATGAATGAATACTGACGATTCTAGTGATATTCCTATCCGTGAGTTGAAATTCGTATTTTGAATGGTCTGGATTAGAATAGGGTTGACTTGAAAGAAGACAGTTATCAGTTCCCGTTTGCGCCTAATCCCGCCTGGTCTAGCTACTATGCTAGTGGAAAAGAGATCCAGGAATATATTGTCAACACTGCTGACAAGTATGACTTGAAGGAAAAGATCAAGTTCAATACGAAGCTCGTCAAGGCTATTTGGAGCGAGACGCAGGGGAAATGGAAGCTTCAATTGCAACAGGGTGAGCTTCTTCTAGAAGATGAGGCCGATATCGTACTGGATGGGAGTGGTGTTCTCAAGTAAGTCTTCCTCTATTTCTTCTATAAAGGTTATCTAACGATGCCAGTCAATGGAAATGGCCCAACATCGAGGGGCTGGATACATTTAAGGGGAAGCTACTTCATACTGCTCACTGGTTGGCTCAATTCTATCTCCAATGTAATGTGGACAATAACTCATATCAACAGGGATCCGGAATACATTTACGAGGGAAAGAAAATCGCAGTTATCGGCAACGGCTCATCAGGAATTCAGGTGGTCCCGTCTCTTCAGTCCAAAGCCGCGAAACTAGTCAATTATATTCGCCATGCTACTTGGATTACCCCCAATCTCTGTGGTCAATTAACGAGGGATGGGATGGGTACGAACTTCCAATACACAGAAGAGGAAAAACAGCGATTCCAGGAGAATCCGGAAGAGTTTCTGGAGTATAGGAAAGCTATCGAGGGATCGTATGACTCCCTGTCTTCTCATTTTTGACTGAATATCCGGCTAACATGAGATTGACTGCAGCGTCAATAGCGTATATAGCATAATGATTTCCGGATCTGAGGAAAACAAGGCCATGCACGATTGGGTACAGGGGGTGATGCGAAGCCGGTTATCGAAGAACCCCGAGCTGGTTAAGACGCTGATACCCACGTACGAAATTGGATGTCGACGTGTTAGTCCCGGTGAAGGCTATCTGGAGGCCATCCAGGAGGACAACGCCAGTATAACATTGAGTATGATTAACCGTATTACACCAAACGGTATCGAGACAGACGAAGGAGAAGAAGAATTCGACTTGATCGTCTGCGCCACGGGCTTCAACAACTCATTCATTCCGCCCTGGGAGTTAGTCGGGCGCGACGGTCGCCGCCTCGCTGAGGAATGGAAGGACACACCAGAAGCATATTTTGCGACATGTGCTGCGGGATTTCCCAACTACTTTATCTTTGGTGGACCAAACTATCCCGTTGGTCATGGGTCTTTGCCTGCAGCGCTCTATTTCTCGGCTGGCTATATGCTGGACTGGATTGAGAAGATTGCGACAGAGGATATTAAGTAGGGTTTCCAGTTCATTTCTATTATATTCTTGTCAAAACTAATATCTTCCAGGTCGGTCGTCGTGAAAGACTCCCTGGTCCATGCTTATAATAAATTCGCTCAGGAAACTCTGAAACGCTCTGTCTGGTCCAAGGGCTGTAGTGCCTGGTACAGTAAAAGGAACAAAGGAGCCGACAACACTGTCACTGCAATGTACCCAGGAAGTGTCCTTCATTTCCAAGGTACGCTAGCCTTCCCCACACCTATCATTCCTGCTAACAGTTTGTATAGCATGCATGGAAAAGCTTCGCCCTGAGCACTTTGAGATCCAATATAATACCTCTAACCCCTTCAGATTCATGGGTAATGGACAACTGGCTTTTGAGAGAACGCCCGACGCTGATCTAGCTTCCTATTTGAAGTAGCTCAGGCATCTGGTTGTAATCTGCATGAGTGTCATGATATTACATGGATGTTTCGCTGGCGATATACTGAATAGGCCTATATGGTGGTTGTGAAATGAATATTCTTTCCTAAATTATATTCTCACCTCTACGTACTGTGCGTAATAACCTGTATCTATAAGAACGCCATGTGGGCATTAATCTATAGTAATCAGTGAATTAACCGAGTAGAGTATATCAACAAAAAAGAGCCCGAAAGACAATCGCCGCCACATAATTCTCAAAAAGCCAACCAGAATGCAAATAACCAACCTAACTCAAAAGGCCTCCAACCAGGTCATGATCACTTTACCCATGAGCTCTGAAATCAACCCAGAGCCCTTCCACACCTCCGGATCTGCTTATATACAAGCTCCTTCTCAAGATAGTCCTGGGTCGCATCAACAATAGTTTCCATCTCCTCAATACTATCCAGATCAATCTCCCCCAGCCCATTAGGAACATCAAACCGGAACAACCGATTCTCATCATCTAGCTCGGTATGTTCCTGAATGAACCGATTCGTATCAATTTCCGGGTCCACAACATCCACCTCAGCCGCTTTGACCAGACCGAACAGCCGTCTGCGAGACCGCTTGATCGACGGCTCCCCAGTTCCAATCGAAACCATGCATTTTAGTTGGTTCTCCAAGGCCCCTCCCGGCCACACGCCTCTCGCTTCGATCCACACTTCTCTCATCGGGTTGTTAGCTTCCAAACTACTATCGTGAAACCGTCGCCCACTGGGCCCGATCTTAACGGAGTCAAAAAGCGGCGCGTGAGCAAAGGACGCCGCACCAGCTTCATAGACCTTTGCGGATTTAAAAAGCTCATTCGCGCAGTATTTGCTTGGGTAACTTGTCAGGTGGACCAGTCTCCGATTAGTATCATCGGTGGCGCAGACAAATCTAGCTCGTGGAATTAGTCCATATACAACCCGTCAAAGCGACACACCCCATAACCAAGGAAAAAAGCAGCATCCCAACAGACTCCAAGATAGAAACAAGAATACTTACACTTTACACCCCGTCTCTTCCCTCAACAGAGCATCCTTCTCATAACTGAGTTCCCGCAAGATCTTCCGTAACGCCATCTCCACCTTCTTGATGTCGTATTTCGCGCGACTGCGTAGATTGCTACCGATTGGTAGAAGTCTCTTCTGAGAGAACACGTTTTGCGATAATAGTTTGTAGGCGTGAATGCACTGATCAATGTCCATTTCTAGGCGCCCGAGCATGATCGCTATTAATCTGCGAGATGGTGAGTACTCATGTATTGTCAGGTCACACAGCCTTGAACGGTGAACGAACCCACCCGATCCGGTGCCTCCTATCAGATCGAAATAATCGCATGGTTTGGGGGGATTCTCGCGGTCTATGGATTCCATGATCTCTTTGAGAATAATAAGCGAGGAGAGACCTCGCACGCCTCCGCCGTCTAGGCTTAGGAGGTTGATGTTTCGGCCGGACATGGGAGGTAGAAAAGCTCTTTGTTTGTCACAGGTTTGGCCAGAAATCAGATAATAATGCAGATATCTATTCAAAAAAATGAATAATAATAATTAGAAAAAGGGATGAAGAGAGAGTCAACCCCTCTTTTTATCACTCGTCGAAAGCTACGTCTTCCATGCAAGCACCCGTACCACAGACAGGGGAGAGCCAGTCAAGAACAAAAGCCTCACAGTAAATCCCACGAGAAAAGAAAGAAAGAAGCAGCACTATGCAGGCAGAAATAGGGCACCAGTGACCAACAGCGCTCAAATGCTTGAAACCAAGCGCGTTTGACCGCTAACATAGAAAACATTGGGGCCGCATTATCTGCACAGAAAATCGCCCCGCACTTTGGGCATATCAGATTGGCAAGATCCCGGTGTGCCTGGCTCTGATCGCCCTTCTGATAGGCGGGGTGAACTCCTCGGGTTCAGGTGGTGACACATCAGAGAAAGTTTCAAGCGAGTGGTGTTGAGTGGAGCGCATGGCAGCCACGTAGCCGGCGCTTACCCGCGATATCGGATGGAATTGCCCAAGTTCATTGGCGCAATTGCTGCAGGCGGGTTTGTAACGGCCGGAGCATAGCCACATCATTCTTGGGATGACGCATGACTGATCCCCTCAGTATCGTGTTCCGCTCTGGAGAGGGCTGAGTTTCGTGGATGTGTTCATGGGTGTCTGGCTTACAGACTGGGATTTCACGCTATCTATTTATCCTTTGACGCTGAATGACGTCTTACGCTTTATTTCTACCTACTTTTGCTTGTATAAAATTATGAACAGTGTTTCTTTCTTCTTTGATCTCTCTCTCTTTTTCTTTTTTTTAAGAAAAAAAAATGTGTTTCAACGGAGGTTAAAAGGATTCGCTATACTCCGTAACCGTTTATCTATCCCAGGCCCTCTTTTTGAATAAAGATTAGAAGTACAGTAAAAGATTTACTTAGAAGGTGCACAGAACTTAATAATAAGAATGCGACTGTCCTAGTGACTAAGTGCCAGTATATTATTCCTAATGTTATGAAAAATGGGTTCACAAAGTTTAGAAGGAAGCCATAAAACTCTTTGGTACTTAAAAGACACCTGACAAATTTTAACTAATATTTGAGAGCCTTGTTCGTGCTTTATATGGGCATTATCTAATAAGACCTTAGGGCTAAATTGAAACGGCCTTCAAAGATTCGAACTCCGCGCCTGCCTGGGCATCCTACAACTTGATGCTTATATTTCGCTTGACGAAAGTTTATCTTAGTTTCTTAAACGACCAAATCGGATACAGCTCTCATAATACTATGGATGCGGCGGCTCCGTCTCCAGGTCATCCGAGCCTGCCATGGCACTGCATGTGGTAGCATAATGAAATTTCTCTTCACAAGTACCCAAGACTAATAGCCATCAAAACGTATCATGAAGTTCCTCCACCTGCGTAACATCCTCAACAAACGTAGCCCCATACTCTCTCATGATCTGTATCTTCTCCTCCATATTCATCGCGAAACTTATCCTCCCAAACCCTTCTGGCAGTTCGTCGGTGTTTTTAAATCTTAACACCCACACACCCACTCCATCTGTCGGCCAACCGTATACCATTACCTTCTCTTCTTCCTCTGTACTCTCCCTCATGCCTATCAGTACTTCAAGCCGATCCTGTTTACTTGGCCAGAACGTTGCACCAGTCCGCCGCAAGAGATTACAGAACCTGTCTTCTTCGTCGGCACTGGATGAGCGCTGTGATGCATAAGAACGCGGTAGCGACAGGAAAAGTATATCGAGAAGATCAGCCTGTTTGATAAGAACCCCGCCAGTAGATGGGTATCCATAGACTGTGCACCCCCGGGCCCTGAAGAGAGTCCGGTCAGTCGCCGATTCAGAAGGGTCTACGGCGTATGGGTCACCGCATTGTACGGTGTCCAGTGGGCTGTCCTGTAGGTTGTCCTGTGGGTCATCTATTTGCCGACGAAAAATAGGGAAACGGTCCACATCGATGGGAAGGAAGCGGCCTATGGTTTGTTGACAGAGAGTTGATAAAAGTTTGAGGGTGATGGCGACAAGCATGCTGCTACTAAGCTCCTTAGTAGAATATCTTCAGAGCTTAATAAGTTAACAAGCTATTAAATAAAAAGTATTAGAAAGATAATGAACATTTAGGGTTCTGTATAAGAATATATTAAGGCTAGAATAGAATAAATTGCTTAAGGATCTAACTCTCTATATGGTTGGAATTTATATAGGGTCACATTAGGCAGCTATTTAGATATCCGACGCTGCGCACGCGGTGGGGTAGTTGTCGACTGAGGCAACCGCCGTTACAACTAGCTATATTTACTAGTGATAAGACTTAAATACTAGATTAGGAATCTAGTATAGACTATAGACTATTAAAATAGTAGCCCCCAGGTAGAAATATTACAGTTCTTCTAAATACTACGGATAACCTTGTTATTTCTGTTGTTACCTAGAGTTACTTCGTATATACTCAGCCAACGCAGGTGACAGAAAATACTTGATGGTAATTTGCTACACTATCTTCATACCGTACAATTAATATTCCCTTCCAAGGTCATGGAGGAGTATGAATTAATACCCAGCCAAACCCAATCAAGGGAGAGAATAGCCACCATCAATAACAATATTGGCACCAGTCATGTAGCTCGACGCATCAGAAGCGCAGAATACATACGCCTATCAACCATATGAGCAAATCACTTCAGTGTATAGGGGTATATACTTACACCCTTAAGCTCATAAGCCTCAGCCATCCGTTTAGCCGGAATCATATCGAACCATTTCTCCCGCCACTCTTTGGGATGAATGTCCAGAATATCCGTGGCAATAAATCCAGGAGAGATACAGTTCACACGACAGAAATCTATCCATTCAACCGACAGGCACTTAGCCATCTGAACAACCGCAGCCTTCGAGGCATTATACTGCTATCATTAGCCCAGCACAACCCCCACCGGAGCCCACTTACGGCAGCTTGTTTCTGAGGCACATTCACCAAAGTCGCACTAACAGACGCCGTGAAAATAACATTTCCGTATCCCTGCTCCTTGAAGATCCGGGCCGCAGCCTGGGCGGTATAAAATGCACCGTCCAAGTTAACCTTGGTAATATTGTGCCATTGTTCAGTAGTGTAGTCCTCTGCAGGAACGTTGGAGCAGATTCCTGAATTTGCGACAATGATATCTAGTTTCCCGAAATCCGCGGTGATTTGCTTGATTGCCTTTTCGATGTCTTCTTGGTTCGCCACGTCGGCTTGGTATGCGGCTGCTTTGACGTTGTGTTTGGCTGCTATGTCTGTTGCAAGTGATTCAGCCGTCTTAGATGAATTATAGATCAGGGCTACCTATTCCGTCGCTCAGTAGCGTGTCCATACTGGCAAATTGAGGGATCGAGGTTTACATCAGCTCCTGATTCTGCCAGTGCTATTGACACTTCCAAACCAATACCACGCGCGCCACCTGAGCAGATATAGGATATGTTACTGAACGCATGTTAGGTGGTAGTACTGCATAAATCGAAACCTACCAGTCACAGCTGCGACTTTGCCTGAAAGGTCAAAAGCCTTGAGTACGTGTTTGTTTTCCGGCTGTGCGAGAACCATTTTGATGTGCTTGTACAGAGTATGCCACAGTATACAGGTATAGTATGAGTGTAAATACTGAATGAGGCTGTTAAGGATGAATGCCTTGACATGGCTTCGGGCAACCCCGCAGATACTCAAATCCCCGCATCGGAGATTCTCCGGAATGTCAACTACCATCAAAGGATCAATCTACAATAGACCCGCACGGTGAAAGAGGATATCAATAAGCTTAGAATTTTCTATCAGGGGAAACACCTAAACTATATAAGACTGAGGTTAAATGAGCTGAGGAAACCATGCGCCTACACAAAATATAGAAGAAAGTGCGGCTGACTTCGCCATCATGGATAATCTCCAGGTTATGAGGGATAAAAGAAAAAACGACGTCATGGGAAAGTTCTGTCTTAAGTTTTATGGTCGCCTAATTTAATCTACAAGCAGAATCGACGACCATCTTTCACTCCTTTGGCTTTTGCGAATATTCCAATCTTCTTTGATTGGCTAAGATCAAGTCTCATCATCTGAATGTATATCAAACTTCGAAATAAGCCAATACGGCAGGCAATAATCGCATGGCTATTTCAGAAGTTAAACCCGAACCTGATGTATGATTTTAGGGCAAGTATGTAAACAGCCCGCAACTTATCAACCCCCACAAGTGCTTCTCCACTCCCCCAGAAGTTCCTCATAAGTTCAACCTCTCCCCAACTCACAGAAACCAACACAAAGAGACCCTTACTACTAGTTTGCACACCCCCAAATAAAAAAACTAAATTCGTATCAACGCCGGCTCATACCTCCACCCATCCACGCGCACCTCATACCCACCCGTCACACCGACCACGGTCTCGCATCGCCTGAACCCTACAATCGGTCGACGGACCCTTACCTCCGTACCATCCGGATTCTTTCTAGTAAACTGGTAATAGGTCTCTGGATCCAGGAGCAGTATCAGCACTTGGGCCACGACATAGGCGCTCAGCACGATATGGCTTATGGTCGTGTGCGGTCCGTATATGAAGACCATTGCGACCCAGGATGTTCCGAGTAGAGCCGTCGCAATTAAACATGGCGTTTTTGGGTATGGACAGGTGTAGTATGTTTGTGGCATTGTAGGGGTTTTGTTGATTGCTGTGGGGGGTCGGTTGATTTTATTGTTTGCTTGGGTGTTTGTTTGGAGGATGTTGCTCGGGTTTTGTCTGGTATTTTGCTGGTATATCTAGTATCTAGTTGTATGGATTTATCTTCGTATATGCTCCGAAGTAGGGAACTGGAAGATTGATGGATGTCATTGGGAACAGGAGGTGCTGAAGGAATCATGTGAGATGACTTAAGCATTGGACACTAAAAGTAGCGCGAAGGATTTAGTGTTGAAAATCCTCCTAGTACCATGAATATGTGTCTGGGATTCCTTCATGGGCAATGATCTCACCTATTAGAGTGCCCTGAATTCGATCTGAAGAACAGCCACCAAGCCGAATTTTCAAGGCTACCAACTGGATGGCGACTTCGGTTTTCCTATAACATACGGCAGACTAATCCAGCTTCCAGACAATGTAAGATATTACCAACTTTACAAACACCAATACACTATATTTCAGCGCATTAGATCTATGTATTAAGTTCTACTATAGGAAAAGAAAGAAATTTCATTCTTCTGTCTACCGCCCTCCTGCCCGCCCTCTTGGGTCTCATGTAAGCCCTATTTTGTTTCAGTCTTACGAAAACCTCAACTATGTTCCGATAGACTCTGGTTTAATTTCCAGCTTAAAAGGGCGCTGCATCGTCACTGCCATCTGAATCTTCTTCATGACTATCTTTTTGACACCTTCCAACAATGTTATATCGCTTGCTGTAGACATCAAACCATTCGTTGAGGATTGTTTGCTCCAAGTCCCCCAGATCATCATATTCTGGTCTGCAATCTGCAGGATTGCAGGATGACAACGCAAGGGCGCGAGAAGGATCCTTTCCCGCATATACTAGCCAATTATCAATGGAGTTTATTATCCAGAGAATAAGGACCATTTACCGTGATAACACCCCTCAGGAGCAAAGGCAGGGTTGGTGCTCACATCGAAAACTACCCCTTTAATCGCAAAAAGCGTAGGACGGTTGGAATCAGAGCCTATGAAGCATAAAAATTGTTCTTTCTATTGGAATTGATTTTCCTCTCACCATCTGACTGTGCCAAGTCTTCCAGGCTAATATGATCACATTTAGGAGGGTCAAGATTGTCCACGTGTTCGGACATCGCATTATAAATCGGCAACTTGGCGTTGCTTCACTAGAGCCAACCACAATAGGCTTTTGATATAGGCTTTAGAGCAGTTTTCTTAGACAGTACATTAGAAAGTCCCAGTGGTAAACAAAAAGACCATGTTGTAAGCTCCACTATATACATATCTGATCATAGCGCAGAAGAGAAATATTTTGCCTTTACAATCCTCATAGAGTTTGTTCGGCTGGTGCTATAATGTGTGTCACTTTCATGCTAGATGGTCTGATTCCAACAAATACATTAACCACTTATAGTGTGTCTCCATCACATCTGATCATATATGTACTGTGCCATGGTACAAGGTAGAATGGAAAAAGTGCAAAATAGTGGCTGAGAAATATCTGTATTCTTGTCACAGGTAACCACTTTTCCTGCACTCAACCTTAGCCATTACACAACGATTAATTAGGGTACTACAGGACAGTACCCAATAGCAAACCAAAGGTATGTTGCCATCTAGGCTTCACTAGCCAAATCCCCAACAACTACAATCTGTGTGGCACATGAAACATTTAGTGCCACAGTTATGGTACGCCCTCCGGGCGGAAAGCTGACTGTCCCATGATACATTGGATTTACATTTTCCCCTACGCAACAGCTTCTTCCATAATGGATTACGCGGCCTCCAGTATGATTAAAGTGAGAATATGACTCCGTGGAGATTTGCGGGATACTTTCGCGCGATCCCCTCCTGGAAAAGAAATTGACAGATTTGTACAGTCTGCGTAGTCTAGGATTGTGTAGCGTGCCCACGGAGTCGGAGAAAAACACCGACTTAGAAACAAAACTCTACACTACTGGCATCAGACAGTAATCGTGCCCAAGGCTTCTCTAATACACAGTCAACAGCGATCTCTGCTCACCCATTTGGAACGTTCTTTATTGATCGTGATCTTTTCCTGCATTCGCAGAGAACATGGGCCGCTGGAACAAATGCGAGTAATAAAAATATGACGATTAGTGTAGCGAACATCATAGGTAGCAACTGTGGATATAGTACATTTTCGTTGAAGTTCTACAAAGTTTACAGATGAAGAGAGCGATTCTAGTCTAGATGTAATTTTTGACGAGCACAGGCACAGGCCCGCCTATAAGTGATATATCCGTCACGAGTAATTGGCTTGACGTTATGGCATCCATTCGCAGTCCCTGGGTGACCAAGTATATACGATATATCAATATTCGTTTGGTCTGTGGTATCGAGCGTCGGAATGTATGTGATATTTTCTCTTTTTAAGTCGTACATTAAACATAATGACTATAGGGCTAATGGAAATACGGAACGGCATGTGTTGTATATAAAAGTAGGAAAGAGTTGGAGGCCTTCTAGACTTACCAACCAACAACCTAACTGCAACAGAACTGCCACCTTACAGTTGAAAATCTCCGTGGCTGTATGGCGTCTATTCAGTAGTTTCGATGGTTCGTTTCCCGCTAGCACACTATGCGCAGTAAGAGGTTTCTTACATACTACATCTGTTTGAAACAGAGTCTATTGTACCCGAGCCTAGATCACAGCAAATGGGCGCTTGTTAAACCCGTCGCTTGTTACTGCAAACATGGTCTACATCGAATTTTGTGGTTCAGAGTTTGATTATACCGTACTGCAGATAAGCGGAGGTCGGCTTATGGCTCAACTAGGTTGAGGTGGGCCATCGCTACTAGGGTAAATTAAGCTTTTCTATAGTACTAGAATCATAAAGAAATAGCGATGATGACCCGCCTGCGTCACATCGTCAGGCCTGGACCTTCCCCGACCGTGGTGAAGACGATTGCGTGTACATGTGGCGTGGCACCCGCGCTAAGCCCTATAACTACTAGTAGCGCAGAGACACCATCGCTTCGTTCTATTCGTGAATTCGGAATCACGTACTTTACAGCAAGTTTGTCTGTAACGGTAGCCAACAATGTATCCAGCTCTCAAAATTGGGTCTCGTATCAGTTAAGCCTTTCTGCGCTAAAGTCCTTTCCAAAAATGGTAGCTTGAATGCGCATCCCTGGTTCTTACCAGAATTAGAATCCCTGGTTGCGGATGTTACGAAAGCTTCTGTTGGAGTTATAGGCTTGCATCTGTCTAATAATAAGGTTTACTCTGCAATGTCCTTTTACCACTAGTGACATTTCGGTCCGGCTGGCTAGTAATTTACAGTATACCCTTCAACCATTATTTTAAAGAGTGCCACGCGGTTAGGGGGGCCTTGTAAATGGATTCGTTATTGTACAATCTTCCTAATCAGTGCCTTGTAACAAAGATTTGGATTTTTCCTTTTTCTGACTGTGAAATGTTATGTTGTTCAAGCTATATCTCATGGATTGTTTTAGCTGGTAGCTTATCAGGTTAAGATTCTTATAAACGATAATTGGTACCTGAGACTTTCTATGCTCACTTGGATTCGTTAACAGTATTCAGTGCTATTCAAGTGCTACTTTTGAACTAGTGGTAGAGTGACTGATCTCCGCGGGGTCTAGGAAAACCCCATCGACCTCACGAAGAGACTTGTCGAGGATTGGTCGAGGCAACGCAATTCCATTCCCAAATATCCATTTTCCAGTGGTCACGGGGCTTGGGGGTATTATGGTGGCTTTATTTCATGGCAATGTCGTAGAGGGAGGCCCCAGCAGGCTAGTTCCATAAACCAATACCAATGAACTACCTAATTTGGTAAGCCGCGGTTCCCGCTGAACCCTTGCCAAACGAACTCTGGTAAAAGAAGACTTTCTATCAGCTTGAAAGCTAGTGGCCACTGTAAGGAACGAGCTAACAGGCTGATACACCACTTAACATACACCGCGATTGGACAGCCTGGATCGATCCACATATAGCCCCGCATTGCTGCCCTGTCAGTCGGTGATCGTCGTAGACCCTGGAGTCAGACGCTCCCCTTTCATACCTCGATGCATGTGTCATGTATGTGCTGTTTAGTCATATAGATACATTCTTAGTCTAAAGCTAACAACGACACTCCATATCACGCTCATTATCCATATATTTCTGCCAAGTTATTACGCTTCCTCTCTTCGACAGCTGCATCCTGACTGAACAGCTGTGCTGTTATATCTCCGCCCCGCACCCATAACGAGATATCACGGCTTGACTCCCATTTGAAGTCAAGTAATCTCCAAGTCTTGGGAGATAAATATTGCGGACATTCTAGGCCCGTTCTCAGATACAAATTGCTCTCAAAAATCGATTCTAGTACTTACCTGGTGCGTTTGAATCCTTGCAATAATAGGAAAGAAAATAGTAATACTAAAATCACCAGACTCTCGACTCCTCAACTGAAAATGGCATCTTGCCTGAAACAGTGACCCTATTTCCCACCTTCCCTCCCGATGCAGTTCCACGCAGGCCGGCATTGGCCAGTCTCCGACTTTATACGCTCTGTTTCACTAACCCGGAATTCTGACGGAATCCTGCCAATCTCTCAAACCGAAATGGACCTCAACACGGAAAGCCATTATCATAGGTGGCCCCATTAAACGGCGGCCTTCTGACAGCGAGAGCCGCGGCCTAGAACTATATATACGGCTTGTCTAAAATGTCCACGGCCTCATTCCAGAAACCTGGTCATCATAATGAGTCAGCTGTTGACGTTCATCGTTCTCGCTATTCAACATTACCACGCTATAGTAGATTAGCTGGGCTGGTTGGCATAACGGCGGCAAGTCGGCACACCCGGTTGGTGTCCTGCCCCTTCTAGGTGTTGTGGCTTTTTTTTTTCTTTCTGGCAAGTAATACTGAGTTTCTCATGAGGAGCATGATTATGTTCTATACTATATCCCCAATTGTAGCAGACAAAGGTGAGGCTCATCTTATACGGGTTATTGGGGTGGCCCAGAGTGCTTACGAGGACAAGGCGAGTTTGATGTAAGGAAATGATAGAGGGACGGTCCTTCCTTATTGAACACCAAATGGCAACGTTTAAGCTCGTGGTTAAAGTAGATTGCTCGGTCTATGAATGTACACACATTCATTGCCTAATCTAGAATCTCTTCTGCCACCTGATTCCCGCTGAACGTACTGTATAATCTATAGAGTAGAAACACTACAGAATAATAACTAAGGTTTTAATATTATGAGGAATAGTAATGAAGCCTTACATATTATTGTTACAGACCCAAGTCTATTTTCACTTGTCGAGAGCGGACTCACGAGGCAGAATCTTAGGATGCCCTGGTACTGAAAAAACTCTCCTATAGTTACGTCATAGCAGAATTATGTACATCGTAGAGCTGAAGAGCACTTTCGAAGGTGGTGTTCATCTTTTGTTGGCAACCATAGCTGGGTGAAGATGCTGTATTAGCGTCTAAACATATATTCTCTATCTATACCCCCATGACCCGGGGTCAGAAGTTTCAGATAGCAACTAGTAAACTGAGACACATAGTCAATGCAAGAAGCGCACTCTCGAAATTCTCACCACCCTCACTTTCGCCTTGTCGAATTACCTGATCATTCTTTATCAACCCATAGTCATAGCCATGCTATAAGAAGGGGTGGCAGCATTGACTCGAGAGATTTTGGGAGCCCTCATCTCCTTGATGGGCTAACAAGCATCTTAGCCAGGTGGGGTTGGTCGACACCTGAATGCGAAGGCCATTTTGTATCCCGAGCCAGCTCGGTAGATCAAGGGCCTCCGGGATCTATAAACAGCTTTCCACCCCTAGGAACGTTCACCGATCACTTCGGCTCTAGTCAGACACCCGTGACAACCACCGCAACAGAAGGGGAATGGCCGGCATCATTCACAGCAGAATACGGGAAATTCATCAAAATCATTCATTACGGATGCTCCAGTACCATTCAGTTATATGAAAAGAGGGCTACTGTACCTAAGCTACGCTCGTCATCGGTTGCCTGTCCCGAAGAATATATACTGACGAGATCAGGAGAGCTATCGACATCCAAGACGATCAAGGAACTGTATGCAGTCAAAGTATTCCGCCATCCCTACTCCCCGCACCTTCCTCGAAGTCGAAATCCAGCTCCCGAACTCCATCACCCCAACATTCTCCCGATCATCGATATTCTCTACAATGTACGGGGACATCTCTGCCTTGTGATGCCCTACTGCGCCGGTGGCGACTTGCACTCTTTTCTGTTGGAAAGAGGGATAGGAAGACAACATCTACCCACCGACGAGGCGGATTGTTTGCAAATGCAGATAATGGGCGCGATTGCCTACTTACACGAAAACCGCATAGCGCATGGAGATATGAGACCGGAGAAAGTGCTTCTCACGACACGAGGCGCAGTGAAGGTAGGTGGGTTCGGGGAAGATGAAGAGGCGATTCGAAAGGTGGCTCAATTACCACAACGTCATTGTTCCACCTGGTCTTGTGCAAGCCTCAGTGGTGCTACAACTCCAGGCTGGGACTCCACATCAATTCTGTGTATATGCAGTAGGGCCTCGAAGTTGAGTGTTCCATATCTTCCTCCAGAGAGGTCTCGTGACCAATTTGGCTCTCGTGGTCAAGGGTATGAACAACAATACAACCCTAACGCTAGAGCGGGCGATATCTGGGCTTGCGGCGTAATTTATATGGAACTGCGAACTGGCCAGCGCCCCTGGCACAGCGCCCAGATAGATAATCCAGACAAAAGGTTTTCCGAATATCTCCGCTATCGTTTGAGGGAAGATGGGTATGGTCCCATTCAGACTCTCGGAAACGTAAGTTCAATCAAAATATTACTGTTGCTGCCACGCCACTTGATAACTTCAAACCTGTGATATCCCCGTGACTCTTGGCGAGCACTGAATACGGCCAAGCTGACTCGTAGTTTCGGACTTGGAAAGGAGCGATGCCACAACGTGGTTTATGCCATGTTACATCCAGATTCGGAGTTGCGAATAACTGCGTCGGAGGTTCTGAGATCAGAATGGGCACTTGGGGTTGCGGTTTGTGAGGTTGGGGTCAGGGGATTGTGATGGCGACGGACGTTCTCCCGCTCTGACCAAGATATATGGCCTTCCATAGCGAAGGTGTGATTAAGTATCGAGTTCGGTGTGTTTAAATTTCGGATTACTGTATGTTAAGTAGAGTCGAGGACTTCAGCAAACCATTACATGCCAAGAAGTACCTACCTCTTTCTTGTCGCCTCCGTGACTGTCACACTATTATTCCATTATTATGGACGTGTTGTAATCAGCGAGTTCCTGTTTACAACTACGGAGGTGGCTTTCTCATCACAGTGCGTTGTGCCTCAGTACCTATGATTGAGATTTTCCAAAGCTTTACAAAACTCTCCAAGTTTGGATCGTCTATTGAAAGGTCTATTGTAGAGTGAAGCGCGTTCATTCCGATGCAAGAAAATGATTGATCCATCTAACAAAACATGAAATATAGAGAATGAAGAGAGAAAGCAAGAATTCTACCGTACAAGCACTGTGAGCTCTTGTGTTGCAGGATCAGATTAACAGTGAATAGAGCGGACTTAGTGCCTCATCTTATCAGGGCCTAGGCCCTGATAAGATGCTGCCATTTGCTCGTGATGAGCTTAAAGGCACATGCCCCATCTGGGCAAATCGACCCTTCTATACATGACACACCGCGGAGCACAGATGCATCTGCAAATATAAACATGGATGTACTTCAGAACACAGCTATATGATGAGTTCATATCCCTGTGTTTTCGATTGACACCCCCTACATTTTCCTTGAGACCTTAGATCCCTCTGCCGTTACACGGTCTGTGAATTGCAAATGAAGCTGGTTAGGAAAATCAAAAATTTCATTATAGTATATCTACCAAAGGTATGATAGCGAATATGAACACTTGTGTGAGCCTTACGACATCATCCTACTAGCGTCATCACAGCCATCGTCCAGGTTCGAACCATCACAATAATGAATATCTTTGCCTTCCCAGTCATCTTCCATTCTACTCCAAGGCGAGCCAGGTGTTCGTATGTGAGAGAGCACTGGAGAGACTCAGGCCTATCAATCTTGACCCGAACGATACTGATCATGCCATAATCAAAATCTCTATTTTGACAGGTGTGATCCCGCTGATGAGAAATGAAATCATTCCCATTTTCCTTTAGCGCATTTCTTTCTGTGGCGATCTTCCACTATACTGGCTCTTCCGTGCAGCACCGTAGCCTGGAGGCGAAGGCTGCTCATTGTAGCTGACAAAGGTGAAATTTAAGAGCTGAGTGGCGCCAATAACTTTCAAAGAAAGCTTGGGGGAGTAGTTACCCGCAGCAGGCGGACACTCATCATAGGTATATCGAGACAAAAGACAAACAGCATACTACTCCAGCCATTTCTGGACTTGGAGAACCCCATAGGCGTATATAGATTATTAGACGACAATCTCAATTGAAGCTAACCTGATCTGATAACAATGCATCTTTCTACTGGTGGCCATAACCAAAGAAATAAAATCGACGCGCAAGCTCTCATCATTTATGCCTAGGTTGTATGCAAGTCCCGTAGCTGTATGATTTAAGGCAGTAACATCTATCAATATTCTGCAATTGGTAACGGTGAGTACTGTTCCCTTATTGTTCCTGCATTTCATACTGAGCGGAACTATAAAGTATCCTAGGTCACACAATCTTAGTCTATTTCTTAGTAACGATAAGTTCTGATGTTTCTTTGCTGATGCATTGACATGTTGGCATAAAGAAGTGCAGAACAAAAGTGCCAAACAAACTACGAAGTCCAGATGCCTTGGCATTGTAGAATTTCTAAGGGCTTTGGGCGCAAATGTCCACCCATCATCTAGTGTGCAACGCCTATTTGAGCAATTAGCAACGGAATGTGTTTTGAAGCTGCACCGTCTGAACCTAAACCGAGTTGTCGGTCAACCTCGCGGCAAGGAAAGTGGGTCCCGTTGTTAGCAGATTAGCTGTAAGCACTACTAAATGACCGGGAGTCATAGAATAATGCAGGGAGGTCATTGATCACTGCAACTGGTTGCACTTCATCAGAGCGATGTCCCGGAGAATTACAACAGATACATTAGTTTGCCGTAGTTCGGTTGCCCTTCTAATCGCGGTATTTAGAGCTTTACGGAGATGATGGTGTAGTCTAGATTTCAGCAACGGACACTCCGGCTAAATAGCAGAGCAAAGACATCTGGAACCGGAAACCACCCCCGGTTTCATTAGAACGAAGGCTATTGTTCCACGAATATAATTGGTGCCCTAACCATGCCCTTCCTTAGCGGGAAACGAGAATTTACCTTCCGTAGGGTGGGTGGCCTATACCATGGACCTCTCAGCGATTTATTGGTTTTGTCTAGATTCTTGTCTTTCCACCAAGTACATGCATCGTTGGAGGTCAAATTAGCCTATTACTGTTTCCCCCTTTTTTTACCGCTCGGAGCCTAGATTTAAATGCAGCAACCATATCAATCGAGGTAAAACTGATGTTCTGGTTTGGCAGAAGGTGCTTTTATTTAGAGTCTCCCCGTTAATTGGGGGGTATTAAACGGTGGTGCATAGCCTTCTAAATGGGCATTTTCACAGCCTCACGCTGTTCAGATCATATAGCAGCTATTCTATGATGGAATCCGGTAATGAGTCGAGTTCAGAATGTCATGCAAAAGCCATAACTTCACCTTCTTCAGAAGGAATGAGATTGATCGTAATGAATGTCTGTTTAATGGCTTTTACGATGACATTCACTGTACTGCGAATGCTCTCGCGGTGGCTGAGACACCAGAAGCCGTTTGGAGAAGACTATCTCCATATCATGGCGCTGGTAGGACTCTCTGTGCTTTCTCCTGCTTACGGCTTTTATTCTAATAGTATATTCTCTGATAGATCTGTTTTCACGGATTATGCTGGCTTAGTATCGCAAGTAAGTCGAGTGTAAGAAGACATGATGATGCCGTGCGAGAGCTGATCAAAATTCAGTGAGTGTGAGAGGCTTCGGGTGTCATACTTGGGAGCTCCAGACCAGCAACATAACCGAATTGCTTAAGGTGAGTCCTTATTGAAAGGAGCCAAAGTAGGCACATATAAGCCTTCTCAAATCCCATATTGATTAGCCACGAAATATTCATAAATTAATATAGAATACTACTGACGCATACTCTAGATGGCCTTCTCGACTGTCTTTCTCTACGCAGTTTCGCTGGGGTTGGTAAAGATAAGCATATGTTGGTCCCTCGCACGAATCTTCTCAACGCCGCTTCTTGTATTAAGTGCCCGTGTGCTGATGGTACTATCCGCTCTGTGGGCTCTAATTACTATGTTGGTTTCATTGCTTTTCTGTCAGCCAACCAGCTTGAACTGGACCATGGCCACGGGCGGACACTGTGTAAACCTGAAAGCAGCATATATTAGCCTGGCCTGCTTCGACGTTCTTGTCGATCTATTTATCTTAATACTACCATTCCCGACGATCTGGAATCTTCAGATGTCCAGTGCAACTAGGGTAGGGTTGATTGCTATATTCAGCATGGGTATACTGTAAGTTGTACCACAGAGCCTGACATAAATCCTCGAGCTTTTCTCCCTAGTATCTGTGGCTAACACACCATCTTTTGTCTCACTAGAACCATGATCTGCGGGATTCTGCGGCCAGTCGTAATACTCCGCGTATCCGGAGAAGACACTCTCTATACTGGAGTATTGGGTCACATTTGGACGATTGTGGAAAATGGTGTTGCTATTATTGTGAGCAGCGGTCCGTTCCTTCGTCCAATATTCGAGCGCGTTTCAAGCGCATTCATGTCGCTCGCTCATACAATACAAACCACGGCTTCGGGAAAGCAAAGCTTTGGTCATACAGATGACGAGAGGAGCTTATTCACAGGCACTCCAGCAGGTTTCCCACAGCAATGGAATCACAACGGAGAAAGCCTCGAGCTAACAGACCCGCCAGAGCGGAGGCACACTGTATGGCCGTCAAGGTCCACCTTGACTATGGTTTAGTTGTCCTACTACCTCATGTTGCTCTTTTGACTGCTTGGTTACATCTTTCGTCTTCCACAGATCTTTTTCTTTGCTGCTGAAATTGGATCTCACTGTGATCATCTGGTTGGAATTTCTGTCTACGCATATTAGTCTCCTGTGTTACGTATATTAATCGATACTATGGGATATTACAGCTCCAGTAAAAGCAGGAGCTTTCCTTAGATTACTAAAAGCATTTTAATTACCGTAACAAGATTAGGTCAGGAAGTCTCGTTGGTTTGTATGCTACGCGATAAGTTTATAGTTTGATAAAAACCAACCTATCGAGTAGGTGACGCTGTGTATTAGCTAGTAATCTAGGTGTACCCCTGAACTCGCTGAAGTCCAACAACATGAGATCTGAATTTTCTATCTTAAGGATCTAAATAACTTGAATAACGTGATTCCCGGTTGAGCCCAACACCACACGCGTTGTTGCCGCACTTCCTATATTAAAGAAATCAAACAACAGCTGCACCACCAGAAATGGCCAAATCATTAAAATCTCTAGTGGAACAGGGGCCGTATAACTAGTCTACTGGACTTGTCAATAAATATTGTGTTAAAACGGAGAATTCAACAGTGGAAATAAAGATTGGGAAGGCTTCCAGATAGATAAGCCTCTAGATAGATAGTCTTCCGGAGTATTTTAGAAAGAGGTGATGTCTAAAAATAGTAATTTCCAGAAAGTGTATTTAGAAGGTTAGTATTCAAAAGATCTAGACTCGCTGATGCGTTCCCTAGAATAATAATAGTAAAGCGATGTAGGCGATTTCACTGCATCTCTTCGAGTGGAGGATCAGGCGTAGGGGTGAGGGAAATCGGGCGATGAAAGCAATATGAGTATTATATATATATATTGGTGGTTGCCGGAAATTAAGTAGACTTTTGTCCAAGAATTATAGATCTATGCCGTGCCCTTAGAAGCAGGTTATATGTGACATGCTTGGACTGGTAAGTATTAAACGCATTGTTATATGAACAAGGATTCCATGTCACTCCCCCAGACGTTAAGAGAGAAGCCATGAGCATAGCCAAATCAAATGCCAAAACTCGTTATGACCGGCTCTATATTGTCCGTGATAAAAAATCCATTACTGCTCACTCCGTCTCCAAGAGGGCGACGGCGGGCTTATCATAGAGTCGCCTGTCCACGTGCTATCATTTAAAGGCTCATGAACAATCTCGACTGTGCGCTGGACGGTTATATCCTTGGACGTCCGTGGGTCTGTGCCCGGGAATCCGCTGATGATGGCACTGTATCCACGCTCGCGGGGTGTGACTAGCGCCAGCTCATGGAGCATAGCCTTACTCTCATCTCGCTCATAGGACACTCGAATAATAGAGTGTTTCGAATTTTGTCGATGGATTGAGCGTGTCGGAAATGGTATAATTTGCCTTGGGGCTCTGATTGGCCTATGAGGCTCTGAGGGTTGACTGTAATCTGTAGAGCCTCGAAGCTTATGAAAGACTCGCATACAAAGAGGCCATAGAAGAGGTATATTGGAAGTATAAACTGCGGTGGCTATTTCTGCGATGTGCCATCTCTGGAAACAGTCATTATATAGCTCTGCTGGGATCAGCATAGAACAAGGTAGACTGACTAAGAACACCGCACGATGAGTTCCCGAAAGATTGTAGTACTTGTTAATAGCCGCCAATACAATCTGTAATTGATTAGTTCTCTAGATGTGCAGTTATGAAGTCAGTGATAAATAGCATAATTTCACATACTACAAGACCACCGAGGCTGAATACTGCGCACGTGGCAATCTTTCTATAAAACCGAGGTCAGTTATCCGAGCACAAGTTGATATTTAAACAAAGGCTCACTCTTACTTTATTCTTGAAATCTGGAGCCGGATGAGCAAAGGGATTGGGATACTCAGTATCAATAAATCGGAAGAGATATTCAAGACAGTAGTTGTAATTAGATGATTCCAAAAACGCGTGCATTGCCCTAGTATATACAACCGTTAGTTCGGTTGCTGGAACTTCGGTATAGCTTTGTACCTACGGTCACCCGCCGGCAAATACGCCCCTGCAAGGATTTCAGTATTCTAAACCATAACAGAAACTAGAAAATATGAAAAAAGGAGAGGGCATGAACTTACAGTATTTCTGCGGCGGCACACACCAGACAGCCCAAAAGAGAATCTCCAGGACAATAAATGTTACAATCACATACACAGCTACTACCTGGACTAGGCGATGTTCCCTTGTTCTTAGGCTTTGGATACTGTTGCATTAGCTGGTTAGTAGAGAAGGGGACTAAGAATCAGCATACGTTAAACGATTATAGAGAAGCAAAAGACAGCCCTTGATCATCCACAGGCTGACAACAGATAGTTGCTCCATCGTCACACTAATTTTACTCCTGTAGGAGCTCTGTTCTGTTGTTCTTGATGAAGAGGCAAGGTCCTCCAGCACCAGATCGTTATTCATCTGAGCCATTTCACTAACTGTGTAAGTAACGCCGGTGAAGGAGAGCTATACTGGACAGTCAGCGTTGTTGTGGTTGTTGTACCGTTGTCTACCTACTCACCGCAATTATACACATAAGCACATCATCAATTTGAAGCTTTTTCCATGATCCTAAGCGTATACGCCGCGAAGCTCTAAAGAGGGTCAGTGTTCGGTAGCTCTATAGAATCCATTCAGGTTGGTAACGCACAAACGACATCCAATAAGACAAATTCCTGTCTCCGAAAAAGCCGTCAATAGGTGTTTACAGTTGACTGCTTGCAAGTTCTCTCTCATCAACATACCAATCCCATACAGACACCACGACTCAATTACAACACTGGTGGAATAGTGGTCCATAACTGACTGTTGCTATTATGCAGAGAGCAAGGAGAAACTTAGGTTGAGTCGCAGGTCACAATGGCGACTGACGGGATGGCCCAGGCTCGTCTCATATACACCTCTTGGATACTGGTGCACGCTAAGCATTGCACTGGGGACCCTAGCCTGATGGCCTCAAAATCCCACTGAGCCTATCAGAGCCGGTGATGATACTGAGAAAGTTTTAGCCGCTGAAAACCCGAGCGCTTGGCGAGACTTTAATTAAATGCCCACTTACAAGGCAACTATACTACGAGTGCGGATATAGATGCAGGCACTAATGGCATTACCGTATGAAGTCATATCTTCTCATATTCACCGTATTGCACATTTCCGAACGATCCCTGTTAATCGAAATGGTTCACGTATGGGCAAATATACCATCTAGCAGCCCCTGGTTCACCTTGGCATTAAATCCGAAGCAGCATCTATCTCGCTCTGGGCTTTACGGCCTCGGGTCAGATCTCGTCACTGTCAAGGGGTAGTATGCACGTACCGCTGCAAATCGTTTGATGATCATCTAGTCTTAGGCCAGCCACTGATAACATGATAGCAGCCTTGTCTTTACAATAGTATGCACCCCTGAATGGCTATAACAATTTCAACTCGAGTATTTTGTGAGAATTGGATACCATGGTGTATTAGCGCAAACAGAGTGGGGCAATACATGCACACAAGTATGTAGGTATAGCCTTGGTTTATAATGGTATCTATCCTTAAATCGCGTCACAACCACAGATCCGCATAACGCTCGTGAGATAATCAACAAATTCCCTGGCCTTCTGACTCAACAACCACATACAAATTGTAAATCATCACAAGTGCCGGGGGCATATTTCCACCAATGACTAACTATTGCGGTGACTAATTGCTTTCCTCAGAACAGAAACAATATTGTGCTTATCCCCCTGGGTAGTCCACAGAAAAAAAGAACGATTTGCACTGCGTGCATAATAATGGTCAAGTAAGAATATATTAGTACCATGTTCTTTCTTGATTTGCTTTATATTTTCTATTTCATTGTGATCATTCCCCTGCTTCGTGAGAAAATTATAAGTGAACCAAGCTGACACAAATAGCAAATCACATTATGTCAACTCAAGAAGACAGAGTCCAGTAGGTATCCCAAATACACAGTAGGCACTGAAAAGGCGTTGGTCAGTAAGTAATATGAAGATCTCAATGCTTTGAAACTTTCGAAAGCCAATCAATATGGAGACAGGGGATAATGCTGAACCAATTAGAGCGTGTGGCGAGTCAGGTAAGATATCATCTTTCTATAGCTAGCAGAAAGGTGCCATTTTCTTCTACTGGGTTTCTTTTCAGAACGACTATAGTTACCCGCCGCGGTATTCTGTACTTAGAAGGGGTTGTCCAGTGCTATGTAGATATATTACGTCTCTCAAATTGCGGCGGTTATACCTGTTTCTACCTTTACATTATCACTGTCCACGAAAGGTTAAATACACCCGAGCAAAGCCGGGAGCAAAAGCAGATACGAGAGTAGATTATCATATGGCCGCCCTTGCGCAGAAGCTGGGCTTCCTGTACACTACGAATCTAAGCAATCTTGAGAGAATTGTCCGACTGTAAAGATGCGTTGGTCGCCTTGCGCAAAGTTGGGAAGCCGGACCACTACCACTACGACAAGGAAGTGTTCAGCCTCTCCTTGATCATATTGTGGATCTTTCTTAGGCTTGCAATACTGCTAAGTAGAAGCCCACCTTACCACAGCGCTCACCTCTGACCAGGCGCCCAAGCAGGGGGATCTGTGGAACGTCTTGGGAACAAACTCAGCACCTGTGTCGCCCGCACCGCTTTTTTAAAAAAGCTGCATGCTGATACCGTGTGTCAAGCCGATCAATCATTGATGTCACTTAGACGGTACGTTTATTATGCCTTTTTCGGGAGATCGCCTTCTCCAGCAACTACACGAGGTATCTCATTGGAGCAAAGCAGTAACTAACCTGTCTTACGCACATACTTTTGTTCTAAACAAGGATTCGCCCTTGAATGTGGAGCCTAAATCAGAGAATATGTCACAATAAAGCTTGACCAAGGGGTCGGTGCAGGAAGCCGTGAGGAGCAACGTCAACAGCGAGTGGTGAAACCATTTCAATGTTGAAGACGTCGAAAATAGGCTGCAGTGGATGGAACTCCTCCAGCCAGAGAGCCTTTGCTTAGTAATTTCTATGTATAAAAGGATATACTTCTCTGAGCCCATTACTATGCAAGGTGTAGGTGGGGAGACGTCCCGCTCGAAAGATCTGAAATAGCCATCTAGGGCTTAAGAATCCTAACGCTGAGCGGAAGTTAAGATGATAAAACAGGACAGTACGAAAATAAATGAGGATGAGGTACTCAACGGTGAGGTGGAGGAACAGTGTTTTGGAAGTGCATCTAGCCAAGGAAGGCTCCTGTGATTGAGCAGAAGAGAAATGTCTCTCCAGTATCCATGGGCCCATAGACATTCCCAATTGACTGCCTGAAAACCATCGGACTGGAACGTAAAGGGTAAAACCGTCTGCTGTAATACACTCTATTGCGGAGGATAAATTCGCCTATTTCTTTAGTTAGACTCCCCCTTGTAGTTCGTAAAGGTATAATCGTTATAACCTTTTCAGTCCTTCTTCGACCTAGTTGGAAGCCGAATTCATCAAAGTTGTGTATGTTTTTGTAAGGTTATATATTTAAGAAAAGGACTTCAAGTAGTTGTACCTGTACTGAAGAATATCAATATCTTCTGTATCAAGATAATTCTTGTTTTTTTGGCTTCTGCTAAATGAGCTGAAACTCTTTCGAGAGACGTTTGATAAAGCAATAAACCTTGTTCTTGTCAACTGTACAAGATACCCTGTTGGTTATATTCCGCTGTAGTATTTAGCTGGTATTCTGCTCAATTATTCCAACTGTAGATAGACTATATATATTATTGAGCTGATAAATCTAATAAATTAATATATTTTTTATATATAAATTCTCAAGGCTTTCAGATAAGATAAGACCTGCGCTTCGAGTAGCTCGGCTATGAGGAAGTACTCGGAGATGTTGATAACAAACGTCGAATTAACGTGCTAACACAGAAATATTTGGCTTTTTCCGGCCTTGAGCAGTCTCACAGGCCTTTATGATACGCACCTAAGTATCCGAATAAGAATCAGGTATGCTAGTGGTAAACAGGAGCGCCGAATAGCTTTAAATATATAATAGAGTTGAGGCAGACCAAGACGCCGAAGTGCATGGCGGCTTTGCTGACCCAAGAGACGGCTACTCTTGGATTGTCCGTATGCGGCATGTTATTTGTTCTTTATAGTAATACTCCCTTTCACTGTTTCAGGCATTACTGGAGATGGGATATGTCTTTGAATTATTAAATATCTCGTTACGCTTTCCCTATGAACACATTCTTATCTTCGTCTTCGGATCTCAGGTATGCTGCGGGAGATTGCGGGCTGATCGACAATATCTGTGGGTTTTGAAATCTTGAAATGGACACACTTTTCACCGATTTTGAAGGCGCAATGTTGCACGCCCAACAGATATCACTTGGGGGGGGGAGGGGGGGTATTTCACCGTATCAGAACTGCAAGTGAGAGGTTTGCTCAGAGAAGTGCCTAATGTGCTTCTTAATTGTCTTGAGCGCGCGAAGTGACGTATAAGATATGAATCATGCCGTGGCCATATTATAGTTGGAAATGAACCACTGCATATATGCGAAGGCGCCCAAAAATAAAGGAGAAGCTCAGACCCCCGTCTTTCTACTCCCCCCGAATTAAGTGTTCTGTATAATATACCCACTACTTATAGTTTTCACGCAAGTATACTCCGTTAGAATGAAATATATGGATGTCCGGTTGTAGTAAAAATTCAAATTTTGCATGAAATGAGCGTAGTCAGAGTTGGTCTAGCGAATAAATAATGTATAATCTCCTTCTCACTTCCCTCTCGGTACCTCCAAGTAATCCATCACCTATGCAGCAGACCAATGCTCATCCCTAATAGCTGAGCTATCCACTCCAATAGTGATATACCCTATCAACCCCTTTGAAATATCATCATCGTCAATCTGCACCACTGAAACAACCGGGTTGTACCCGTTCGCCATGCCCTTGGAAAATTCCATATCTTCCGCATTGGTAGTGCGGTTAATTTCCACGTGTGACGCGTAAGGCTCCAACGCCATGATCTTCTCTTCGAGCTCTTCGTCGAAATACAATTGTCCGGTACTGACGGTGTTTTCGAACACGAGCGTGCCGTTCTCACGGACGGTCCAGTTGGTGTGGACTTGAACGTGGATGTGGATGGAGCGTTCGACGTAAAACCCTTATTGCAGATGAGGTTTGTTTAGCTGTTTTCTAACAATCTCTCGGTTTTTTCTTTTTCTATTCCTTTTTTTTTTTTTTTTTTTAACTCCCGCCCCCATCTTATCTCGCATGCCAGAAACAACAGGTTGGAACATACCAGGAAATATAGTCTTCATCTGCATCAGGCCCTCCTCGTTCGTTGGCCACATTCCTCTCAACCATGTCTCTGCATCAGTATGCAGATCTGTTTCACCTACCACGAAATCGGAGATGTTCTTCCCTTGTTCCGCCAATAACTCCGGGAAAGGCGTATCAGGCGACAGGGCACTGAAGCTCGAGTAACTCCCCGTCGCGTTACAGTGCCACAGATCGACCATCACGCCCTCTAAGGGTAGACAGGTAGCCATGTCCATGACTCCGATGTCAAGCCAGAGTGGCACTCCAACCTGGTTCTCAGTCATATCCTGTCGGAGTGTTTGTGAGTGCGGCCAGTAGTATGGACCCGCGGTTATCTCGGGGGAGAGGACGCATGTTTCGTTTTGCAGAGTTGAGTAGTAGGGCCCTTGAGTTCGGATGGGGACGGTGGTGTTGCTGATGGAGGGGCTGAAGGAGCGCTTCCAGCGTTTCTGATTGTTGTGGGCGACGTGTGAAGCGCAGCGGGATGAGAGGGCGGCTTTGTGGGCTATTTGGCCTTTGGGAACGTTGTGGGCGTTAACTGCAATCACCAGGGCAAGGACTGCGAAGAGAAAGAGCTGCATCTTGGATTACCGTGAAAATGGCAATTCTCTTTTTGGCTGATGTCGTTTTGTTTGTAAGAGTGTGTCTATGATGGGTGCCGGTGGCTTATATACTCCTCTCGTGGGAGAATTTTGCTTGCGAAATATTACTCTCTCTCTCTCTCCGTTCTACCCCCGGATAAAGAAGTAAAGTGGATCGTCATATCCAAGTGAAGGCTTGTAGAGTATGTATGTATACAGTGTATAAAACACCAAAATAAGTACTTGGGTAACCGAAATGGGCAATAATTCCGTCCGTTACCCGGTATCCGCGGGTTTGGGTGAAGACTTGTACATTATACATACAACACCAAAATAAGTACATGAATAGTCGAACCTGGCGGCAAGTCCGTCTGTTCCCCGGGGACTCCGACATTTCTCCGACCAAGCCCTGGCCTGCCAAGAAGATATATTTGGTGGCTTACAGTTCCAATGCGATATTCTTTCTTGAGCAAGATAACCTTCACCAGCAGTAAAGCACGCATCTACCTGGATACAATGGTAAATTATATTGCTTCGTCTCCGTCTTAGGATAATAGTCCGCCGATCATAGTCCACCGCGCAAGTGGATTGTTCTTGGGAGTGTCTCTCAATATACAGCGAGGTGCTTTCTATAAAGTGCAATTCTGACTGTGAGACCTATATCCTTCCTAGCTTCAGAAAGTCTTCCAACTATCAGGTGGTAAAGCCTTTACCTGCTCTTGTGCCAAACTCCCTACCGGCAATGTAGCTACTGATTGAGCCTGAAAGAATTAGGGGATACATATAGGTACCAGTGGGCTTGTTGAGATACACGGTAAATTATTCAGGCGTATGCCAATTGTAATACATATTGCTGGCTTTTGGAGGTAAGCAATAGACGCTTGCTGGGATGAGGATTGAATACTCTTAATTTAGTTTATTAATCTTAGCCACGCTCAATATTGCTGTGCTACAAATAATTCCTTGACAAGATCTACCAATCAGATGCCCAATTCGAAAAAAAAAAAAAGAAAAAAAAAGAAAGAAAAGGTTCCTCATAAGGCTACTTAAGATCAGTGGTTGTCGCGCCATCCATGATTCGCGATAGTAAAAAGTTGTGTTGCTACAAGAGACGCTTCAAGAGCTTGTGGAACTAGGCTATCGACGGTTGCCCTCGGCGTAGACTGTGCTTAAAGATTCAACTATGAAAGCGATATACCGGCTACAACAACTATATGTATCTGCCTACCCACATTTGGAACGTCCCCCCTTTCCTGAAAATGAAGTTGTAGCCTCGTCAAGCGCTGTCCAAATGACCCTTTCAGAGTCGGGGAAGCCATTGGAGTTTAATTCAGCGCATGTTCGGTCATGATCTTGTCCTGCATTGAGTACACCTTTTGCACGGTAGGCCTCGCCTCCATTCTCTTCATCCAGGCGTATGCATGGGGGAATTTGTCGTAGAAACGCTCCCCACAAAGACATGGCACATTCCGTTGCCAGGCGATGAATGACAGATCAGCGTAAGTGCATTTGTCGCCGACAAGCCACTCTCGTGTTTGGAGATATTTATCAAGCACGCCAGTAACGCGATATACCTCATCACGATAGCGATCAATTGCACTTTGGACTTTCTCATGGTGCCATCGGATGAACCAGGATGCTTGACCATAGTACGGCCCTTGGCCAGAAACTTGGAAGAACAACCACTGCCTAAGCTGCCACTTCTCCAGAGATGTCTCGTAGCTCAATTGGTTTTCCTTGTCGTATGTGTCAATGATGTATTCGACTATCGCCCCCGATTCCCAGATCTGGATGCCGGTGTTTGGGTCTTGCATCGCGGGAAGGCGACCGTTAGGATTAATATTCACATAAGGCTCTTTCTTGACCTCCGAGAAGTCCACGAATTCAGTCTTGTATGGAAGTTGCAATTCCTCCAGCATAAGGACCACCTTCCATGGGTTGGGGCCCATTTGAGAGATAAAGACGGTAATAGGTTCCATGTCCGAATTAAGGAGAATGGTGAAAGGGAAACGTGGTTGAAGAATTGATTCCAAGTAACGAGAACTTATTATATATACCGGTAACCAAAAGTCCTGGTGCGCCTCACAGGTTGACTTTGTCATCTGAACAAACCCCGGAACACCAGCCCTATTTGGTGCAAAGCTTATTTGAGTCCTCCTCTCTATATACAATTTGGGTTTTTTCTCACGAACCATCTGAATCCGACCAAGAGAAAAGTCTTGATGTAGATCGCACTGTATCCGATGTGGTCGAATGTGAAATTGATTGCCAATTCTCTTCGCCATTAGAATGGAATTTCTATGTAATCAAACGTTTATTTTGTTGAGAGGAGCGAGGAGGTTGTGAGTGGGAAAAGCTGTGACCAGGAACAAATGGGGATCTGCTACGGCCTCTCGTCAATCGCCGCGGGGTTTGAATATGTTTCATAATTCAAACGCCCTTATCTCTCGCGCCTAAGTTGTCACAAAAAAAAAAAAAAAAAAAAAGCCGCTGTAGAACTGGCCCCTTGAGAATTAACGGCATCTCGGTGAATGATCAAAGTCAAAAAGAAAATTCGGAGGCCAGGGCAAGGACGGCAACACCGTCGTGCGCGATTCTGACACAAAACTTTCTTTCAAAAGCCACCATATCCCCGCGCAGAGAAGCGAAAAGTATCACTAGGTGAATAATTAGCGAAACAATCGCCGATCTTGGCTTTCTATGATAATAAGACGAGAGGTGATAGTATTCAGTATGATGACGTTATTTTTGAGAATTATGAAAGAACAAGTCAGATTGTTAGTCTGAGCTTATTTTTTGACTCCTGGTGACATGACTTACCCTTGACTGAGGTAACACAATAGGCTAGCTATCCTTACGGTTCAGACTTGCTGTGTTGCTTGATCCAGACCCTGTAATTGGATACTCAGGAGAACAGTGGCGAGAGCGACACATACGCCACAGTCTTAACCCCGATGATGACGAAGGGCAGGGAACAAGAGCAACAGGAAGGAAAAATTTACATGAACCCTGCTGGAGTGAAACTAAGACGTGAGTATAAGTTGAACTAGCTATTTATTTGCCCAAAATTAGTGTCTCGGCCTTTGATCGCAGTATCTGACGGATCACCGAAAAGAAAGCGCCAGAGTTGTGGAAATGTCCATATATGGCAATGCTTGTATTGGTTTGCTGTCAAGTTTTATAAAATAGTGCAATCCTGTCAAAAGTTCCCACTTGAGATCAACGTGGAGTGAGATGAAGCCGTTGCTTCGCCTTCCCCGACCTTGCGTTTTCTCTGTTCAGCGATCGATCTTGGTTACGCCATTCAATTCCTACAAAAGCGCCGTGATTGCTCCGTCAAAAAAACCCCCATTATTTCGGAACCAGCAGCCAATCCGGAGGATGACGATGGGGAAGACCGTGACCGTATACCGAGGCTCTAAAGATGGAGTAATACATTCAGAGCAGAACAAGGTCACGTTGGAACCCAACGATGTCTTTGTTGAGATTACGCACTCCGGTGTCTGTGGGGCGGACGAGTTGTTTTTGAAATCCGGGATCGTCCTAGGCCATGAGGGCATCGGTATCATCCGACAAATCGGGAAGAACGTCACAACGGTCAAGATTGGAGATCGTGTCGGGTTTTCTTTTGTCCAAAAAGTGTGCGGGTCGTGCCATAATTGTTTGAGTGGTATGTCAAACTTGAAGATTATGGGAGCCGAAGAACTAACCCGCCGATTTCGCCAATAGGCCGAGACCACTATTGTATCAAGAAGAAGCAGTATGGGCAAGATCTTCAGGCAAGCGGGAGCTTTAGCCACGGCGCTGTTCGAGACGCGAGTTGCATTTATGCCATCCCGGATGGTTATCCTTCTGAGTATGCGGCACCTTTAATGTGCGCGGGTGCTACTGTTTGGAATGTCTTGACTTCGAACAATATTCGTCCGGGTGATCGAGTGGGAGTGATGGGAATTGGAGGCCTCGGTCATCTCGCTATAAAACTAGGGGCCGCTATGGGATACCAGATGGTAGCAATCTCTTCAAAAAACAAACATGACGAGGCAATCGAGCTCGGTGCATCTGAGCATTACGTTAGAGATCAAATGGACCAGGCCGGGGGTGACTTCAGGCTCCTTAGACACCTCATTCTGTCGGGGAGTCCGGATACTGACTACCAAAAGTTCGTTCTTGTTCCTGGTTTCGGATTGTTCAAAGATACTTTTCTAACCGCGCACAGGATTTTGTCCTTTATGGATACCGATGGCGCTATTTACCCTCTCACATCTGCCCAAAAAGCTGCGCCAATCTCGCTATCTTCGTTAAATACCAGGGGGATCCGAATCCAAGGATCCATGGTCGCTCCTCGTCATTCCATTCAAAGTCTTCTACAATTCGCTGCAGCTAAGAGCATATACCCACGGGTGATGACGTTCCCGTTGGATAAGGAAGGTATTGAACAAGCTTTACAAGAGCTCCGAGATGGTAACATGAGATACCGAGGTGTCCTTGTGCGTGGCCAATAGCGCAGTAACCTTAGATCAAATCTTTTCCCAATTGGTTCCCTCAGGAAAAAGATCATACGGATATTCCGCAGTGTGACGCACTGCCTCTATATCGTCGGCTGATACTTTTGCCATTGAGGGCTCATATCCTTGTTTTTAGTTTGTCAGACTTTCTACTTACAAGCTCCGCTGTTATAAGATATAGCTACTGATATAGAAGTCCAATTCAACCTGGACCCAATTACATGCCGTTGTTTTGAAACTATTTCCCTTTTGAACCTTCTCGGGGCGTATCTGATCAGCGTATATGTCGGCAAAAGAAGAGTGAAGAGGTGAGCCTAAGACAAAATATCATGAGGAACGGAAGCATAAAGAGAGAAAATAAGAAGTGGACCTAGTATACCAGTTCGGATAGTGAGATCGACCACATGGGTTTGTCTCGGATTCTCTGCGATGGAACTTCCTATGATCTCCTATCCGGGTTGAAGGTGTCTGTTATCTAAGATTAAAAAGTTCCACCTGATAGATAGTTTTCTCTTCTCTTCTTTTCTGAGACTCAGTACCTTGAGTGGTAGGCAAAGAGCGATTTGGTGGTCCTGTAAAAGAAGTAAGGCCATGAAGCAAGAATCAGGCAGAACCGACCGAATACAGTAGAATTACCCATACAGAAAGCGCTGCCGCGATCTATAAAGCTGACCCGGAGTTCGATCACAATCCGAGCCCCACTAGTGGTGATCTAACTAGTATTTAGTCATTATAAGGGTACTATTGAGCCCGCCACTCGTTTGGTGCCTAGCAGCGGCTGACATACGGATCATATCTTCGTGTTACTGATTCATGAATCATGATCTCGAAAAGACTCTGGATTCGGAAGGTAAATCCCTATCTAAGTGGCCTGGGCTCTTAGATGGCTATATCATATTCCCGGGCTGGTTCTTAAGCTAAGCCTACTCGCGTAAGTGACGCGTCCTCCTTTTCTGTTCGAAACATATCCTCCCAGAGAGCTTCCACTCTCGTTAAGCCTTGTCCTAATCCAAAAAGGGTAAGGTCCCAAAGTATACTCACCACTGCTTCGGCGCCAGCCCCATAAGCAAGATCAATCTCGCCTAGACCGGTGATCCCTCCACCTGTGTGAATCCGTACCATTACCCGGCTGATAGTTTTAATCCAGGATCGCGGCGTTTCAGGAATATCCAAAAAGGTGTGTATCCTATAATTGCTTCAATTGTAGTAGGCTAATATGCTCATACAGCAACCTTGAGGAAAGGAAAAGGTAAGGCAAGGGAATCATTTCCGTCTCTGATGGGATCCTTGCTGCCAGAGGAAGTGCAGGGAATCGGCCTTTTCACTCATGAAATCTTTGTGGTCGAATCCTTCGGTCGAATCCTTCGGAATCCTTTCAGCCTAGGGCAGTGTTCGAGAGGCCGTGGCACATGGTTTTTGGGCTCTGGCTAGTCACGATTCTACCCTGTTTAACCAGAACATATTATATCTGTTGCGGTACGTGTGAGGTGTTGCCACTTGTGCTATTACCGCATGTACTCTATCATGGCAGTGTTTCGGAGCCCTCAGTGGTAGCACAGGGAAGATTCCTCAGTACCCAATTGAGGTCATTGATTGATTGAAGACTATTAAGGAAACCCTCTGTCGTGAACAGTCCGATAGCTTGAGAGCCTAGCATTGGTGTGTTACGACGCGGGTATTTTGAGCTGACCAGATCTTCTGGATGAAAAGCTAGGGAACTCGTGGGGACTGTCAATCGTCTGTCCTGGCGATGAGATATTCCCGCTCAATTCGACAGCTTATAACCAACTCCGGCCAGATTCAGGTAAATGACGTCAGCCAACCAACTATGTATGTCTTCTACTGGTCGTTTTGTGTTCTTCTCCAGGAAAAAAACACCCTGGGGATTTTTATTTTCTTGAGTTCCTCCCCATTTCTCTCCTCCCACTGGCTGACACAGGAATTGTATTGGATACGCCCGTGAGCAAATGCGCGAATGGTTCCCAGCATGACGATGACCCAGAGTAGAAAGCAACAGGCAGATGATATCTGGAACAGCATATGAGAAAGAATGGCCTCATGTTAGTGTCGATCATAGCAATACTTACTGTGCTGAGAATCATCAAAAATGTAGTTGAAAATTCTCTCCCTAATATGATTGTGGCCAAGGACCATGATCCTAGAGGAAAAGTGAACCCCCACCAACCCATGGTGAAAGGAACCCTTTTAACATGAAGAATTATACCGATAGCGTAGATCAGCCATAGTAAGCCAGCCGTCCAGAGGATGACACCTACCATAACACCAAGGATATAAATGACTGGTCCAGAGATCTCATGCAAAAGTCCAGTTATAGGGAACACCTTCAATGCTGCTGACCCAAGTTCGATAGCTCTGTAATCAGCTTTAGTGAAAGGATTATACTGTGGAAATTAAGAAGCCAAGATGGTTTACTTACGCAATACTGCCAAGAGACAATGGTGACGTGGGGAGAAAGACACTGGGAATAGCCTCGCGAGCGGGTAGGTTACGCAAAATAAGACGTAAATAATAGATGGTAAGGATGACAGAGGACATCATAATTCCAACCCACCATAGCGCAATGCAAGCAATAATAGTCCATTGAGCATGCCGGGAGTTCTCCAAAACGCTTGCAATAAGACCGCCCGTAATAGCTGCTGCTAATGGACTTGCCACAGGCATGAGGTGAACAGCATTTATCCTGCTTAAGTCATGATTCTCGTCGCGGCTCATACTACAGAAAGATATATTAGACACTGTAAACCTGGGAGGAAGGTGGAGCGCACATAGTGTGAGGCACTAAGACAGTGACGACCAAAGCCAAGATAGAGTCAAGTATCCAACAAGCCCAGGCAAAGATGGGCGCCCAAGTACCCCAATACGGGATGCAGACGTAGATGAACATATCAATGACTGTTGCGAAGCTAATTGGAATAGCGGCGAGAAACAAAGAGTGCTGCGGATCGCACAGCATGATGCTCCATGCTCGAGGCCATACGGCGTACCGAACGACCGAGATCATGACCGCCATTGCGAAGAGCGTAACATTGAGGACATAGACAATGACTGAGAGCCAAAATAGCCAAGCACCATTGTATGGGACTCGGTTGAGCAGTACCGAAGTGATACCAGTACCCATTATCACCGTGAACCAGCTGTGTCGACAAGGCACCGTCAGTAATCGCTGCCATCCTCCGCTTACTCTCATATCTCCTACTCCGGGCAAAAGACTTACATTGGAGAGAAATGGCGGATTAATTTTAGCCACGGCGGCCCTACATGTGGACTCTCAACATCTTCGGTCATCTCGACCTATGGTGATAATATGAAAGGGTGCAGCGGAGGAAGTATGGGAACTGAGTTAGATTGTTTAAAGTAAGGGCAAGTAAAGGAGACATGCAGCGGGCCTTTGAGGTGACTGATGTACAATCCGAATCCGTATTAGCAACCAACAGGCCCGAAGAGTATTATACTAATACGTAGTCTCAGACTTCAGTCTGTCGTGGGATTTTATATCCAAATTTCAATTGGTTGAGGCTTGTGGAGTCCCAGGCCAATGTCTCTCCGCGTTCCAATGGGATTCACGGCAACATTTCCCCTTTAGTCCCGCTGTTTCGGAGACATTTTCAATAGTGGAACTTATTGAGCGCACCGGTTACTTCAGCTGTATCGAAGTGGCGTTAAGACAATGACCATATCGGCGACACCAAGAGTCAACTTGAGTAACGGAGGAAATTATGGAGGGCAGCCGCCGCTTGTCACCGACTGCGCCTTCCCGCGACATCTTCATCCAGCCCCGAAAGGACCGTCAAAGGAAGCTCGTACAGTTATCATGGTATGTATATGAGTCTAATCTACGAAGGGGATTAACAATGCTGATAAGAGGCTGACTGATTAAAAAATAATAATAATAATAATAATAATAATAATAAAGGTCTCAAGAGCGCGGCGATAAAGACCCCTCTGACCCATCCATCTTCCAATAATTGGACGAAAAGGTGCGAGGTAGTGCCAAAGTACTTGAATTGTACTGTAATTGATCCAAGCTGCTTAGACCCAATATAACCTATAAAACATAGGAGATAGGTATTAGGGAAATAATAATTAAAAGCAAACGGTATGTGAACTTTCCATCTTCACTCATATATACAGTGGCCATCTGTAGTATTTAGAATACCGTACTTCCACCCACTGGCAAAAGGATACGTAGGGTAGGTACCCTGTTCCAAATACCGAAGAGCACTGACTGGAATATGCTTTGATAGACAGCATACATTACCAAAGATGTCATACTTTCCACAGACAACGTGCTTCCAATAGACATAGAACTTAAAGTGGCCATCAAAGCAGCTTTCTGAGACAGGGGCACAGTCAATGTGGCGGTGTCTCGAGTAGAAGCGGTATTTTCTGCTCCCTTTACCTACTTTATCATGTCATCCTTGCCAGCAGGAACAAGTAAATAATGGATGGAGCCCCAGAAGGAGACTCGGGAGGTCACAATATCTACTTTGATGTATCGCCGATTACAGTTGGTGCAGCCCCAGACAGGGCTTACGATGCGCTCGTCGCACCCTGAGCTTCTGGGTTGTTCAGTTCAGTGCAAGCGAACTACTTTATACCGGAATGAAACATCGTTCTCTTCTTATCACCTGCTGCTGTTATATTATGATTGAATGTTGAATTTAAGGCTGGATAAGAATCTGTCATACAACTACTTTCCTACGGCCATATTTCCATAAGAAAATGTACCTTATTCCAATAATTAGATCACGGTCGATGAGATATCGGTCTAAAGTTTTTCTCTGGAGCCATATTTGCATTACCAGAAGCTACTGCGCCTCATCGTCTGCTTCTGTTTCTGGATTCTCGGCCACTAACCGTTGTAGCGAGCAAACGAGGAACGACAAACGAGGAACGACAAACGAGGAACGACAAACGAGGAACGACAAACGAGCAACGAGCAACGAGCAACGAGCAACGATGGACAATCAACCCTGATCCATGGTAATACAAACTCGTCGAATTATCCTCCATGCAAGGTGGAAGGTTCAATTCCTTTTCTTCTCTCTCACGCTTTTCTTTCATTAATTTTAGATTTGCTCTTCCCTCCAATTTGGTAACATGAAGTGCACTGCTGTTAGCCCTGAGTGTCCAGTCGAAGCAACGACCTACGGCTACGCCCCAAACTTAGGAGCCAATGCCCTCTACTTGGTAATTTTTGGCACCTGTGCGTGCGCTCAAATAATTCTGGGTGCCAAGTTTGGCGCAATAACTTACACAGCTCTGACAACTATTGGGTGTATTGGCGAGGCACTTGGTTATATCGGTCGCATACTCATGCATTCGAATGCGTGGAGTAGTAGCGGCTTCATCTTACAAATCCTATTACTGATTCTTTCACCCTCTTTTCTTGCGGCCGCCCTCTATTTCAACTTGAAACGCGTTATCAACTATCTTGGACCTGAATATTCCCGAATAAACCCTCGATTTCTTGCTCCCATCTTCATTACTTGCGACGCCATCGGATTCGTCACGCAAGCCATTGGGGGCGGTACTGAAGCGTCAAGCAGCAGTGGAGACACGTCTCAGAGGCTTACAGACATTGGAAATGATATTATGATAGCTGGTATCACATTCCAAGCAGTGACTATGGCTGCGGCTGCTGTCTTCTGCTTAGACTACTGGTTCAGCTACCGCAAGGCCTATCTTGAACGGCACAACCGTAGAATCCTGCAGTTGGAATCTAAGTCGAATACGTTTACTTACTTTATCTATTCGAACGTCGTTGCTTTCATTGTGATCCTTATTCGATGTATATACCGGTAAGTTTGTGCTGCTACTGGATTAAGATCTCTGGTACCGTTTTGCTTATCTTCAATGAGTATCCCAGTATCCCGGAGATGGCAGGTGGTTGGGGAAACCCCACGATGAGGAACGAGGCGGAGTTCATGATCTTTGATGGAGTGTAGGCTTTCTCAAATCGAATAACCCACTGATGCATCCGCTAATTTTGGTCTCAATAGAATGGTGATCATTGCAGCTATCCTGATGACCGCCGCTCATGCTGGTGTTTTCTTCCCCGCTAGCCGGAATGTGCGGTGCGCTTTACGAGGGTCTGACGAGATTGAGCTACGAGCTTGAAGCAAAGCACAACGCCCCGAATAAAAATTACGCATACGGTCAGTTGAGATCGGATCAGTCAAAGTGCATTCGCCCTTGATAGCGGAGGCCCACCGATTCGACGATCATCGGAGTTGATCTACATATCCAAGATCATGGGAACACATCCATTTATTCATAAAAGCGACAGGCTTTCCTGTTGTCGCATGGCCACCAACTTCCCTGGTTGCGAGGCTTTTCTGTAATATAATTTATCATAGATAGGAGAGGCAGTAGATTTTCCTTTTTAAGATTATAGAACATTCTTAGTGAGGTTCCATGTCAGTTGATCGCTTCGATCAAAACTTAAAAGCCCTGGGCCGGAATAGAACACTTAAGTTATCAGTAACATAAGTAAACTGTTACTTTCCATCAAGGCACTCCTTCACAATAGGGTTGCTATAGTCTAAAAGAACTGCTAAGCAGAGCTAACGGGAAGTCGATCAATAAACGTCGGCTTTTGCCATTCCGCCTTCGCTAATTTTTGCAAGGAGATTTAATCATCCGTTTCAGATTCGCGTGGCGACTTTACTTTCAGAAAGTCAACAACGGGAAGCAAAAGAACCTACTACCACTCTATGCCTCCACGTCGGTTTCATAAAAAGTCACGTACAGGATGCGCCGCATGTCGTGCTCGTAGGATCAAGGTAGGACCTCAGCATCTTTGTCAGGCATAACTGACCCTTGCCAACAGTGCGATGAGACACACCCTGAGTGTGCCAATTGCCAACGCGCAGGCATCATTTGCCATTACGCCACTCCAAGGATATTCTGCGCTTCTTCGGCTCTGCCGGACCACCGGGAGCAAACCCTGTCGTCAGTCAGCAGCCCTCAGTCGCAAGACAAGCAAGGTCGGAATGACGCGAGATTCGATACGTTGGACCTACGTCTAATGCACCATTATACTCTGATGACCTCGACTTCACTTTTTGATGGAAGACAGCAAGAATTGTGGCAGGCTGAAATCCCGACTGAGGCATATTCATGTCCACTTCTTATGCACGGTGTGTTGGCTATTGCAGCTCTCCATTTAGTGTCGTCCGGCTCAGCAGAGTCGTCGTCTTTACTAGACCGGGCGTTACATCATCACACCATCAGCCTCCAGATTTTTAACCGCGAAATCTCAGATATTTCTTCCACCAATGCCCACGTTTTATTCGCATATAGCGTGTTATTAATAGTTTGGGCTTATGCGTCATTTTCTACTAAAAAAGACCGACCACTGCAGCTAGATAGCTTACTGGGCTCCTTAAAACTCGTCCGGGGTTGCAAAACTGTCTTTGAGATACATAGCAACAGTATTAAAAAACACCCCATCGGCCAGTTTATCGGATCCGATGAGTCGCCAATTCGGCACGACTTGTCAGATGCAGCTCGTCAGGCACTCGCTTGCTTGCGCACTAAGGTAGAGGACTTTATCGATTCCATGGCCATAGACTACTTAGAACGCCTTTTACAGGGAGTCAGAGCTAGTTCTGACACACGGCTTGTGATAGGATGGCCAGCTCTTCTTGACAATTCTTTCTGGACTCGAATCAAACGGCACCAACCTGTTGCACTACTGATACTGGCGCATTACGCGATACTTCTTGCCCAATTCAATGGGCACTCCTGGTGGCTGTCAGGCTGGTCGGACCACCTCCTCGAAGCTGTGGACCACATACTCGAAGACTCTGATAAAACTCGGCTTGACTGGGAAATTCATTTAACCTGGATCAAATCTGAAATGATATGTACTTCTTAATGGTTTTACTCTTTAGCCAGAGTTGTGCTTTTGAGTTGAGTGGATTGGCCAATGGAAGAAGTCGTCTGTCCTGGACTTAATGCTGCCGTTCCTTGATGAGTGGATTGGTACAGCATACGGCTGTTATCCCGCATAAATTGGGGCGGCCTGGTGTGTGTGTGTGTGTGTGTGTGTGAATGAAGTTTAGGCTGAGAGAACTAGAGTTCTTGTCCACCTATGTAATCCTCTTTTCCTGGTAGCCTGGTATTACCGAGGCACAGAAAGCAAATAGCTAGCTTCTCTTTTGGAGACTTGTTGCAAACATTAGAAATAAGTTGATGCAAGCTTTGTCTTCCTCTTCGGAAGGGGAAGACCTTGGCCCGCCTCGATTCTTGTGGATTGTGTCATACATAGCATTTGGACCAAGGGGGTAGGTTGCGGGACAGACTCCGGCGTGGTCGAAGTTACATGAGATCAGGCACCTTAAAATCATCATAAACCTCTGCCGTATATTTGTAAAGGCACGAACTCTAGAGAAAGGTTCGTCAGCCGATCTACCAATGGTGACTTCCAAGGAGATTTCCAGATAGATAGTCAGGGAGCCTAGCCCCATTTCAACCCTAATTCTCGTTATAATAGGCCAATTGAAAACACACTAAAATGAGTCACGCTGAGCCGTTTGCCAAAGGCCAATTAAAACCTATGTAACAGTGGAATCCGTGTCTCAAAGCGCTCAGCGGCCAAACAACAACCATTTTGATCCTCGGCCCTCCTCCCCCAACCCCAGAGTATAACATCACCATTTCTTCGTCGTTCTTCCTCTGGATATCACTTGTCCAAGTCTCATAGCACTTGCACCTACCCTCTCAAAAATTCAAGGCAACGCACCAGGGGCCCGCCTCGGCCCGACTAAAGCATTCAACCATGCCAGCAAGCACGTCCACCATCGTCACGGCTTTTGGCCAGGCCTTCACGATTTCCTGGAAGCCTCAGCAACTCCACTCAGCCTTCAAACGGTCTCGGAGGCTTTCCACCCCTCCAATCTAGTCATATTTTCCCTCCCCATCAGGCACGAGATCCCATCTTCACTTCTCAGGGGCCATCACTGGGATGTATTCCTTCCGCTTCGCCTTATAGCCAATCCTTTGATACATTTGCTACGCATGACTGGTATCTTTGGACCGGGCCGCATCTGTCCTTTGCCAATTCTGACGGGAACTTTCCATCTGTCGACCCCCCAACACAGTATCCTTCAGGCTCTGACGGCGTCCATGTAACCCTCCACGACGTGGATTATGGCGTACCCTCCACTTTTGATTTACTTTCGGATTCAGGATCCCATGGGCCTCAACCTTTTCCTTCATTAATTCTTAGCCCATCTAATTCTCATGGTAAGCTCCGCTCATGAATATATATCGTCCACTCTATCCACAAGTCCTTTGTTTCTGAAAACCTCCTATCAGATGAATTCTCGCATACTTCCCCAGACGCCCAGATTCCCGGCCTCATTTCGACGTCTCTGTCTAGCACTGCCACTTCACCAGGGGATGACGTTTTGACCCGTGCAGACTTATCTCGTGTCAAAAAACGTAGATTAAACACACTCGCGGCGCAGAGATGTCGCCAGAGACGGGTTGACCGAATGAAGAGTCTTGAAGACGAATTGGAAAGGGTGCGGAAGGAGAGGGATGAACTGAGACTCAAGGTCTCGAAGTTGGAAGGTGAAACGGAGGTTCTCAGAGGCCTTCTCACATGAAAGAGAAAGTGAAGCTCCATTGGGATCCCTTTTAAAACCTTTTTCTTAATGTATAGAATTTATGTTTAGTTACTATTCAAGAATGTTAACACCAGAGACGCAGCAGAAGTAGACCCATATAGCCTTAGAGTGATGATCGACGGCTAGCACCCAAAGGATTATCCTAAATGTATGCGTACTTGATAGACCTGGCCTTTCGACCTTGGCCTGATACTCACACTCCCACTTGTCGTTACTATCTATTTGGACCTTCAGTGAAAGTCTACGTTGTCGACCACTAGTGGATTTTAGTCATCGAGGTTAAGTCGTATCTCACCAAGGTAGCGAACTGGTCGCGGAGTCATTGGAAGATTACCCGGGTATAGCACCAAAATTCTAGCTCCCTTGAAACCAAGAAAGCTACATCAATGCAATACTTGCATATAAATGACCTCATAAAAAGTATAAAAGCAAGTCTACCAGGTTAAAATATACAAGTTAAGAAGAGATCAACTTCTTTCTCTTGCCTATCTTTCGCAAAGTTTCATTGCCGTAAGAGAGAAATGTTAGCCCCCTTCCCCCCACTGGTTATAACTCTATTATATGCAGGTAAAGCTGGAACGAAAAGAGTGTCCAGGGACAAGTTAACCGCTGCAACCAAATAGTGCTCCGTCATCTCATTAGAAAGCTTGCCGATGCATAGTTACTAAACACTGACGCTATCCCCTTCGGGAACGCCGCGTGCTCGACATACAGCAGCATGCCTCCCGTGATAGCGAAGGGGTCATTCGTACAAAATTTCCTTCTCTAGACCCTAACACAGGCAGTATAATGTCTCCGTGGGAAAATAGTTGCCCAACTGGAATGTACCAGTATTTATCGTTGTCGTAGTTGTGTGAAGAAGTGTGTAGATATCAAACCACACGGTGGGAAGCTCGAGTCCTACCCTCTTCTCCCAAGCCCGGCAAGTCCAGATGCCCTGCCATTGGCTAGAGCCTTTATCATCGTGTTGATGAGGATAATCTAGAAATACAGTCTGAAGTGCCGGCGCCACAACGACGCAGACAAGGATGACACCAGCCTGCGCCATTTTCACGCGGGGCGGTGCCTTGGTCCTTCAAAGAGGAGCTGTCTTTCTCCGCAGGACGAGTGGGCGGCGAAGGGATGGCGAAGGGCTCAGGCTCCATCTATTGAAAGAAGGCAACACCAAAGGGAGATGCCATGTACAATTGGTCCACAGCGCCGTCAAGCAGGCGATTTACGCTCATGGGACAATTCGCACGAACTGACCGGACCTTTCTATCGTAGAAAACTTCAGAAGTGGGAGAGTAAGGAGCAATGATCATTCACAAGCTCCAAATCAGCCTGCTGGCTGTCGATGGCCAGACCCCAAACAGTTTCTCCGGTGCCAGACCAAGCTGAAGCCCGAGCACTGTACATATCTTTCTCGTCCGGTTTGACGGCTCACAGAAGTAGCGGAATGAATAGGGAAGCTTTCCATAGGAGAGGCAACGCTCTTCTCCTCCATAGGATTTAGAGTGATGCTTTTTCGTCCCATGCTAACGCGACCACTTAAAACTTTCTCTCAGGAAACACTGGTCAATCTTGACTGCACCATGACAGCCAATACAAAGGTTGTTTTGCCGAAACTTATCTCATTGGCCAGAAACTCATCTGTCTCTGTCGGTTACTCCCATTTGAGTAGCTGATAGGCCCCGTATACTTGGTGTGACTTCAACTGTTGCTTAATCTCCTTGACACTGACGGGTTTCCGAGGTGGGGCCTGCTGGTTTTCTGCTCCCTAATGAGCAACAGCTTCCGTCCATCGTTGCAATGCAATTTCTTCGATCCGGATCCAAGATCACGGATACGAGCCATAATATCGCTGTCCATATCAAGTTCAACACGATCTTGCAGGTCGAAAGGAGTGACGGTAGGTGCTTGATGTATTGAACGTATTTACAAGTTCGCTCACATCTTTGTTCAAAGTCACGAAGGGATTCTATATCCCCTACTTATTGGATTCTCGGAAGTAACAGACATACAGCAGCAACCGCTGCATATGGATTCATTTGGCAGCGGTCTGGCTCGTCATCATCAACAGATCCTGTCATTCCACATATTCTAAGCAAGTTTATTCTGTGTTGGAGGCTGGGCTCCCTAGACTAGCTAGAGAATATAATATTAGTCGCATTATTAGCCCAAAAATTCATGAAACTTCTCTCGATCGACCTCGTTTTCAACGACTAGCTCTTCGGGAGCGTAGTCGACACTTATCCTGATTGCGAATGTATCTTCTCAAGGAAGTTTCTCCAATAAACATCTCTTCATGCGGCTGTAGAAGTGGCAGATTAAACACAATACTTGAGGCAGGTTATGCACAAACACAAGTCATCTCTCAAGGCGGCGTTCATATAAAGCTAACAGCTGTCCTGAGAGCAGGATACCTCGATCATTGCTTGACACTGCTATGGACTATCATGATGTTTCTTTACCACAAGCAATCTGGTTGTGAGTCAGATGAATATGAAACAGCCTGTCTTTTAAAGTATCGATGAGTGCATGAGTAGCACTAGCACTGTCAACAGTGACCACTGGCATACTAGTGGTATGAAAAATGTTTGTGTTCCGTTTGCGGAGTTGATTTATATATGCCCTTGTAACCGGGGTCGCAGCATTTGCTGGTGTCACTGTGGCAGTTACCACCTCTCGAACCTAATCAAAGTCTTTTTGCGCAATATTGAAAATCACGTCCACACGTTCTTGGGCTCGCCCACGGACTTCAATACCCCAGCTGGTCTGTGTCAGCAACATTGGGGTCTTCTCTCGGATGTGAGTATAGAGTATGCCGAGATTCATTTCAAAATCAACTCGTTAGATCTAACGCTTATGCTCCGGAATCCGCTTAACGAATCCCAAGCTTTACTTGACCAGGTATGAAGTTCACCTTCTTCGCAAGGACCACTGACATAATCCAGATCCACCCCCTTTTCTCTAAGTGAAAGGCCCACCTTCGGCAGAGCAAGAATATGTCCCCCGCTCAGTCTACCATAGCCCAAGATCGTACGGATAGACTCAGGAATGATCGCCTGATAACGGAAAGTGGGGTAGGGATCCCGGTTTGAACGTATCGAGCACGATCATGATAATGATCTTAAGAAAGCGGATTAGCCATTCACTACCCGCACTTTCGGTCCCAAGCTCTAGCATATCTCGAGGGGAAAACAGCAACCACGCGAGAGTGGGGGTTTCCACTTCTTTTGGCACATATCGCTATAGCTAATGGAAAGGACAAATGTTCTGGTAAACATCACGCTGTTAGGTGATGGCATTGCAGAAGTGCAACTTTGGTAAGTGGGTATGGGTAATATGCTGTTTAGAGAAATATTGAGACAATTGTATCTTCCCATGTTGCGATGCGGCTCTTATAGGTGTCTAGGGCTTAAGACAGCAAAGCCTACTGGGTGTTGGATTTGAGTTGGATCAATCAACGATGATCATCTAAGCATTCTCCTCACTAGTGTGCCATGTAGAAGCAGATGTGGATGGCAGTTATAGAAAGTGTTTATAGCCCAGTTGTTCGATATTACTGCGTGATGCGCATTGGCTACCCTCCTTTCAACGGCCCAGCACTTACAGATGAGGTTATTGAGCTTGCTGTTCGACGTAGACTATTGCAAGGTCCGGTCTGGAGTATGCTCCATCATGAAGGGGAGATACATATCCTCCACAAGTAAAACTCAACATTGTCTGCTCTTCCAGTGGCAGATTCATAAACTATATCGGTTCACGGAGTGTAGGGTATCTGTCGACCGGGTATTCTAACCTCCCTATTTCGAAGTTACTTCCTTGATGTGCTTTGCCGGGTTATCGGTGGGTTAGCTAGGGATAGTTCTCCTATAAATGAGCAGTATCTCCGGCATGTCGCTACCCAGGTTTTATCTCCAAATTCCACAATTACTAGGGCGTTCTCTCAGCAGACGCGATCCTTTGGCATCTCCATTCGCGTCGAAGTCAGAGGGGCCATTTCTTAACCCTTGTTTGTATTGAAATAACTAGAAAGGCGATTGCACACGAGGCACCGGATAACTTTGTAGGCTCGCTGGACATCATTTTTGAAAAGGGCTCCATAGCTTGTACGTAGATATGGTGCATGGTTTCTGGTAGAGTATGGGAGTAAACGCAGAGTTAAGCACACCTTCCTCTCGTCTCGTACAGGTAGATATCGAGGTTATGAGATCCTCAAGGACATTGAAGGTTATATATCGATGACCGAAGGAATAGCTAATCTGACTTCACTCCGTAATTCCATTCATCATTCAACAGCATACGTTTCTCCCATTACCTGTCCAGAGTTAATAAGCCTATACATTCCTTAGAACCAACCAGGGACAAGGGAATTTCCAATATGGCTTCAATCCCACCAAACCCCCACACCCAAATTCAATAATCACTAGATCCACTACCGGAATCAATTCCCAAAAGCAGCCCAAGCTTGCAAAGCCCCCATAAGCGCAACCACAATTCCATTACTCTTCACTCCCCGTTTCAAATACCACCCGGAACTAATCCCCACAATAGCCGTCATTAAAGCCGCGACAGCCCGGTTAATAGGGTCGTTCAGCAGAGCCGGGTTCTGCGACCAGTTGTAGTTTATCAAGGCTACGTAATTGTTAATTAGTATTTGTTGGATGCGCAGGAAGCAATAAGGAATTACGAGTTTTTCAGATATTGTCGGTTCTAGAGAGAAACGTACCATTCATAAGAAAGAACCCACTCCCCTGATACCAACCTGCTCTGGCACAGGTGTAGGCTAGATTAGGGAGGGTGCGGACTTGGGGGAGAGATTGCCAGTCTTTTGCGGAGAGCTTTTTTTTTTTTTCATGGTCTATCGTTAGTCTTTTTTTCCTTTTCTTCTTGGGGGATTATGTGGTTGGGGTTGATGGTTTGTAGGTGTGTATGTACCGTGTGGCCGAGGGAGATTAAGAGCCAGCCTGCGGCTGTTGACTGGAGGGCTGTGGGCATCTTGGTTTAGATCTTGTTACGGTGGATTGGAGTTAAAGAGTTGTTGGAGTGGATAGTTATCGTTGAGGTTCGAGAGGACTTAAGGGATGGATTAGAATGAATAAATGAATGGTGATTTATGCCAAGGCCGAGGAACTCGGTCCGTTAGTTGTCGATCTTTCAGTTGATGGTCGCTACTGGCTTTATGAGCTTGGAATAGATCACTGTTTGTTGATAAAATATTTATAGGACAGGAGAATCTAGTTAGGGAGAGGAGAAGTGTCTTCGGAAGTAACTGAGCCCTAACATGCCCGGATGTTTCTCGGTTTTATGCTGAAGCTGTGGCCTTTATCTCCAATGGTCCTTACAAAACTCGGCGTAACCGACATAGGTGAGGGTATACAAGTCAATCCAATATGCACCAAGCGCCTCAGATATCAATGTATGTACACCAGAATACAGCCTATTGTACTTGGGATATATGCTTCCAAAAGAGACCAACAAATGAACACCAACTACACCAACTCCGCCATGCAAGGTCAATCTGACAATGTACAAACAAACACAACCATATGTATATGCACCTGTTTCCCCGCAGTTATTTCTCTGTATACTGTTCGTTGCTGGTAGAGGCCGCCCGACGTCCCCATCCAAAGAAGCCGCCGCCGCCGGTAGCAGGCTCCGTAGACGCCTTATGGAGACTTCCCGCGGACGAAGGTGATCGAACGATGGAATTGCGGTCGCCGTTCTGCGACGGGGATCGTTGAGACGCTGCTATTAGCTTCCTCATTCCATCCATCTTCACTTTCATCTCTTCCAATTCCTGCTTGGCTACCGCCTCCGCCGTCTTCGCATTAACCAATTCGAGCAGCAAGGCTTCTTCGGCAGCCGGTTTGTTATTTTCTGTCGACAGGACATTCTGCAAGCCGAGACTGCTAGTCCTCTTTGTGAACGTGCTCTTCTGCGAATTAGTGCGAACCAGTCTCAACTCCCGCAGGCCGCCTGGGATACCCTCTCCCGGTTCGCTGACTGGCGAGCCGTAATCTGGTGGTGTCTCGGCACTACTTCGGGGGTTTCGAGCCGTGCGCAATTCGCGCAACATGCGTTCGAGCCGTTGCCGTTCCCGATATCCATCCTGAATGCGACCCCGCGCTTCGCGTACCTGCTCGCGCAGTGAGGTATTCTCCTTCTCGTGTTCGTCAATCCGGCGCGTTAAATCATGGCATCGGCCGGATTCCACAGAATGCATTTCCTTCCACCGATTGAGGTCTTCCAGAAGCTGCTGCTTGGTTTGGCCGATCGATTCTCGTACAGGGGCTTCGGTCGCGCCAAATCGCCCTTCCGCCTTGGTGATCAAATCGGTCGGGGGATTGTCGAGCTCCTTAATGTAACTCAGCATCGTTTTAGACAGTTCCTGATCTGCTTCGCGCTCTTCGCGCTCTTGTTGTAGTTCCCGAGTGAGGTCCGCGTGTTGTCGCTGTAAGTCGCTGAGTGCCATGAGCAGGTCTTCGATCTGCGTGTGGAGATCACGATCTTTGTGCTGCGACATCATGGACTTGACACGCGGCTTCGGCGCATCACTGGACACCTCCGTCGGAGCAGTGCTAGCATCCGACGTGGATTCAATCGAATTGAGCGTCGAAGTCATGCTTTGTTTGGAAGTGGTGCGGCGAATGCTGGCCGAGGAACTAGCGTGGTTGGGGTTGAGGGTAAACGGCTTGGCAGAAGTGTGAGAGCTTGACCCCGCCCAGAAACGGCCCAGAAACCTAGACGCCGCTGCTTGCATCTGTGGGAAGGAAATGCCGGTCGGCACTCCTTGCGACTGGTTGTAGCTGGCCTCCAACGTCTGGAGACTCTCCTTGGTGACCAGCGAAGTCAACGAAACGAAATCGTTGACGAAATCGTCCGCGTGGCAGGCATATCTATCTCTGTTAGGCTGAGATTCTCCCGGCGGAAAGAGACGACTTACGTATCCCACAAACTCCTCGATAGCAAAAGCTGCATGACATCTTCAAATTCCGCGCATGCCATAATCTTTTTCTCATTGCGCTGCATGAGCGATAGCGCCACTCGCATTAAAGTTTCACAGGCGCCTTCGAGGAAGATGACATCGTAAATCCGGAGAAGCATTGGCATCGGACACGCGACCGCAAAGAACGATAGGAACCATTGCGACACGTAGATAGGCTCGACATGCAGTGACTCCAGGTGCGCATATAGAGCTGGACGAAGACGGGCGAGAAGATTTTGGAACTGGTACACACGGAGATGGAGCCCGGAGAGATCCGGAAGGTAGCATGTACGCATGTCATAGTGGTCCATGAGCCTAATTCATCAGTCGATGGCTCAACTTCAGTGGAGAGCAAATGTTGACTTACCGTACAAGGACGCAGAACGCTTCAGCGTCTGTCATGTGCATCAACAAAGGACCAACCACAAACCCCAGGCCTTGGCAGTAGCCGATTTTCGTATCGTAGAGACTGAAGCACTTCAGCACTCGAGCGAGCATTTGCTGTCCCTCCCCGTTAGGATCGCGGAACATCTCTACATTGGGGAAGCTCCGGCCGATATCTTTCCCGATCAGTCCTTCGTATGGACTCGTCTCGCCGCAAAGTCGCTGGTACTCCGCTAACAGTGTCGTATCCCGTGCTCCAGCCAAGCTAGGCCATACAACCCCTCGCAGAGGAGGTGGGATACCACTACGGATCTTATTCGAGGTCAACGTCGGCAAGCGCTGGGCCGTTTGTGGGTAATCCGAGACTAGAGCCGCCCAGAACTCGAGCTCAGTCAACGGGGGCGGCGGAAGCTGGGAGTATCGCAGCGACCGAGGGTCATCGTTGATTAATTGCTTAACCTGACGCAATGACTGCGACCGGGACTTCCTCACTCCGCGAAACTGCTGTGCTTGCAAACCTGACTTGGGATCAGTGGCCAGAGCATTATTCTCCTGTTCCAGCCGAGCTAACAGGAGCGAGGTAGACTAAATCTGGTCAATTTCTTCCATCATGCTTTTCTAGCACCCATCAGCATCGTATGGTACGCACCTCATCAGAACCCTCCCCACGCGGTTCTTGTTCTTCAGATCTATCCAGTTCCCTCCAGTCAACACCATCGACCTCGCCTCGGAAGATTTCTTCGCTACTTCGTGAAACGATCGAGGCGCGGTATGTCCGTGGTTGCAGAATTTGTTGTTCCGAGTCTCGCGTGGGCGTGGTACTCGTTGGTTCGTCGGCATCTACGCTCTCTCCCGTCGGCGACGTAACTTCGATCGGGGTCTGAGGAATGTCAAGCGTCCGCCAATCGGGCTGTGTATGCTCGGAACTCGATTGTACGTCAGATAAGGGGACAGTCACCATTGAGTCGGAATGTTGATGAATCGGAGGGATGTTCTTCGGCACGCCGGGCGAATGAAGTTGCGCGGTGGCCGCCTCGGAATTGTCCATGGTGTCAGTGTTGTCTTTTTTTTATTTTTATTTCCTTGTATAGAATTGTCGAGATCAGTGACTCATCCCTCCGCTGAGTCTCTAGCGAAGGACGCGCTGATGGGATAACGGGGGTTGAGGGGAACGAGGGGCTAACGGAGAGCGAGCACACGATAAGAAGAGTGGCGGCGATCAATCGAAGCAGTGGCCGTCAAGAATGACAGCATTTCTGAGTGCGACCACAGTGAATAGAGACGACGATGATATCGTAGCGGGGTGTAGAACGAGTAGAGGACAAGTCAAGCACAAAAATTAAAAATTTCCCAGGAAAAGAGAAGGGGGGGGAAGAAAGTTGAGTGATCGGACTCCTGAGGAAGAAATAATAATGACAGCAAATGTAGAAAGTTGTTTAGCTTGAGTAATTAGTGTCGGCCACTACCACAATACTATGGAACCCACTAGTATTTCCATAGTCGTTAGTACACGGTCATGACAGCCCTCCCTCAGGGGAAATTCAAATTAGTATTAGCATTTTCGTCCCCTCCGAGTCCCTGAGAGTCTCGCCTGCCGATCGCTTTCAATAATTATCTCCGCTTCTCTCGTCCTGAATCTCCTCTTCTTCTTTGTGATTATCATTGTGCGGGACTGAAAGAATTGTGAGTTCGTGGACATGGTACCATATTGATCTGGATCAGGTACTCGGTACTTCCAGAGTACATCCAGGGTACTTCCACCCTGCACCGAACCATGGAATTTTCCTCCACTCCAACCCCGAAAATAGATCTTCTCTGCGACAGACCACGGATAGATCACTCAACCCTCACTTTCCTATCAGCGGTGTGTCAATCTATTGTATTAACGGGGGTAATCTCCGAATCCAAGACCAAAAAAGCCCTATGGACACACCGTGGAATTAGTGAGTGCCTTTGAATTCTCTGGATCCGGTCGATCCAGACCGAGTCTCCACTGCACTATAATCGTCCATAACAATTTTTAACGCTGCAGCTGATTATCCACTTCGATACGGTGAGGAGACAACTTGGAGCTTTGACATGGAACACCCGAAAAAGTCATTGCAACGATGATCATATCGTCTTTGACAATCGACTGTCGCTAACCTGTTTACGCTTCCCCGTAAAATCTATTCCATGAGTCCTTTGTTGCATACAGTACTAGTACAAGTAGTACTAATGTGTGTACTGTACCTGCATGCAGTCCCTCAGGGCAAATCCACTTCAAAGACAATAGAAATTCCATGACTGGCCCATTAATGGCGCCTTCCCCTGAATGTAATGATACAGCCCAATAACGAGTTTCATGCGTTTCGGGTATGATGGAGTTCAGATTGATTGGCTGGTCAGACGTCTGACACGACATCATTGGCCGCCATGTAATATAATCTGTATCGGGTATTGTATGCCAAGACCAGCCTGATGTTCCTTGTTCGCCGTTGGGTTCATATTAACATTAATCTATTTAGATGATTAAAAGTAAAAGGAGGGTTATAAGCATGTGGAAGTGATAACAATGGAAACTTCCATCATAGCTTTAGAACATTTCTCTACAGAGCTAACTTCAAATGGTTAGTGACTCGAGCATATAGGGTGCTTGGCTATAGCGTCGGCCGTTGGTAGTAGTCACTAATGCTACAAATATATATATATATCTTTCTTGAAAAAGGGGAAATCTCCGCCGAACCCACTACCAGTGGTCGCACTACAGGGTCGAGCAGTCATTATCGTTCTGCATATAGAAGTCCCCATCTGTTCTAAGACAGAATAAGGGCTGTTTGGTCAAACGCAAAGGACACATGGACACTGAATTGTGTAACATGAGGAATACTTCTGTATGGATCATACGTATTGATCGGTCTGGTTGTCTAGGGGAACTAAGCTGTAAAAGACTGTAATGAACCACTTCACTCTGTTTTCGTTTTTACACAATAAGTAAGAGAGGTGTGCAATGACCACAGATAAGAATAGTCATGCACACTCACTCTGTCATCGAAAATCAAGTCTGGTTCGTGTCCAGGCTCATTTCCCCTCCCCCGCGCCCCCTGGATGTTTTGGTCGCCATTTCCCTTTCGGGCGCAAGTGTTTAGGAATTGCCCGTTGCGGCCAAAACTCCGCCACCCCGGGGCGGAACAATGCTGAACCGATGGCGGAAAGACAGTTTCTGCCGTCAACCCATTAGTCGCATGGGCGCGTCAACAACAAAAAATCAACACAAGAGACGACAAAGGAGGAGTTTCTGACTGGGGGCCTTTACTGTGGTTTTGTTCGTTTATTCTCAACGCCACCTAAACTTCTTTTGCTTCTTGGAGAGCGCTCACATGCCTTCTCCCCTATTTCTTTAATTTTCTGTCACTCGTTGCGCACGTTTCCTATACTTTCTCCTAACTTTTCAGTTCTCTCACCATGGACGACTCGATAATGGATGATTCCGTCTTTGAGGACGATGGCTCTGACTTTGAGCCCGAGCCCGTATGTTGGATTGTCACGTCCCTCAATCCATCCGTACATATACTGACAGTCGCATAGAAGCCCAAGGCGAAGGCGGCCCCTAAGAAAGCAGCTGCGTCTAAGAAGATGACGCAAACAACTCTCACAGGCAAAGCGACCGGAAAGGCCGCTGCTTCAAAGAAGCGCGCCAAGCCAGACAGCGATGACGACGACATGTCAGACGGCGATCAGCTCGACGATGACGACTCCGTCCTGTCACATACACCCCCGAAGAAGGCGAAGAAAGCTCCCGCAGCGAAGAAGGGCGGCGCCAAACCTCTTGCAGATGTCGAAAATGAATCCTTCACGAATGATGCTGACGCCGGCCCCAAGGACTCGAACGTATCAGAGAAGTACCAGAAGGCAAGTAGGCCGGGACAATTGCCAAGTCGCTAGCTAACCAAAGATGCAGCTTACACAACTTGAACATATCATTAAACGTCCGGATACATATATCGGGTCCATTGAACGTACCTCGCAGCACATGTGGGTGTACAGTTCGGAGTCGGAGGGGATGGAGTTCCGTGAGGTCTCGTATGTCCCTGGTCTCTACAAGATCTTCGATGAAATCGTCGTCAACGCTGCCGATAACAAACAAAACGATGCCAACATGGACGAGATTCGCGTGACCATTAGCCGGGAAACCGGCGAAATCAGCGTCTGGAACAACGGTCGCGGTATCCCAATTGAAATGCACGCAAAGGAGAAGATTTACGTTCCGGAACTCATTTTCGGTCATTTGCTCACCTCCTCTAACTACGATGATACCCAGCAAAAGGTCACTGGTGGTCGTAACGGTTTCGGTGCTAAGCTCTGTAACGTTTTCTCCACCGAGTTCAGCATCGAGACTCAGGACTCGCGGCAGAAGAAGAAATACAAACAAACGTGGACCAGCAACATGACGAAAATGGGCAAGGCGAAGATCACTGATGCGAAGGGTGACGATTACACCAAGGTCACATTCAAGCCAGACTACGCCAAGTTTGGAATGGACGGTATGGATAACGACTTCGAGGCCCTTGTGAAGCGTCGTGTTTACGATTTGGCGGGAACCGCGAAAGTGGCGGTCAAGTTGAACGGTAGCCGGGTGCCCGTTCGCAACTTCAAGAAGTACATGGAGATGTACACCAAGGCGATCCGCCGGGAACGTGGTGACGATGGTCCAGCCGCTAAGGACGAGATTATCACCTGCAGCCCTGATCCTCGTTGGGAAGTCGGCTTTGCAGTCTCAGATGGCTCCTTCCAACAGGTGTCGTTCGTGAACTCCATTGCTACGACCTCCGGTGGTACCCATGTAAACTATATTGCCGACCAGATATGTAACAAACTGGCCGAGCAAGTGAAGAAAAAGAACAAGAACGGCGCCACTCTAAAGCCTGCTCAGATTCGGAATCATATCTTTATTTTCGTTAACGCTCAGATTGTCAACCCGGCCTTCACCTCTCAAACCAAGGAGCAGCTGACCACCAAGACCTCCCAATTCGGCAGCAAATGTGTTCTGGAAGAGGACTTCTACAAGAAGATCTTGAAGACGGACGTCATGTCAAATATTTTGCATTTCGCTCAGCAAAAGGCCGACCAGATGCTGAAGAAGACTGATGGTGGTCGCCGTGCTCGTATGAACAATCCCAAGCTGACCGATGCAAACAAGGCTGGTACCAAGGATGGCCATCATTGCACACTAATTCTGACAGAAGGTGACTCGGCCAAGGGTCTGGCCATGGCTGGACGTTCCGTGGTCGGTCCAGATCTCTTTGGTGTTTTTCCCCTCCGAGGAAAGTTGCTCAACGTCCGTGATGCCACTTTTGAACAGATATCGAAGAACGCAGAAATCCAGAATATCAAAAACTTCCTTGGGTTGCAGCACAAGAAAGAATACACGGATACCCGTGGGCTGCGTTATGGACACTTGATGATCATGACCGATCAGGATCATGATGGTTCTCACATCAAGGGTTTGCTCATCAACTTTTTGCAAGCTCAATTCCCGAGTTTGTTGAAAATTCCGGAGTTTCTCATCGAGTTCATCACGCCCATTGTTAAAGTGTGGAAGGGTGACCCGAAGAATCCTACGAAGCAACGCTCGTTCTTCACCATGCCTGAGTATGAGGCCTGGAAGGAGGAACACAAGCACGAACGCGGCTGGGACCACAAGTACTACAAGGGTTTGGGTACCAGTACCACCGAAGATGCACAAATCTACTTCCGGGACCTTGACCGCCATCTTAAGGAGTTCCACACCATGCAGGACAACGAGGTGGGCCTGATTGAGCTTGCTTTCTCCAAGAAGAAGGCCGACGAGCGAAAGGAGTGGTTGCGTCAATTCAAGCCGGGAACTTTCTTGGATCACTCAGTGTCCAAGATTTCTTACACCGACTTCATCAACAAGGAACTTATCCTATTCAGTATGGCGGACAATATCCGTTCGATCCCTTCGGTCGTGGATGGCCTCAAGCCCGGTCAACGTAAGGTTCTCTATACCTGTTTCCGCCGCAACTTGAAGAAGGATATGAAGGTGGTCGAGTTGGCGGGTCACGTTTCTGGTATGACCGCGTATCAACATGGTGACGCCTCCTTGCAGCAGACCATCGTTGGCCTGGCACAGAGTTTCGTCGGGTCCAACAATGTGAACTGTCTGGAGCCTAGTGGTAACTTTGGTAGTCGTCTTCAAGGTGGATCCGACTGTGCCAGTGCTCGTTATATCTACACTCGCCTGTCGCCATTCGCTCGACGTGTCTTCCACGCTCATGACGATCCTCTACTTACTTACAATGAGGATGATGGTGAAAAGATTGAGCCGGAAGTCTACGTGCCCGTGGTTCCCATGATCCTGGTCAACGGCGCTGACGGTATTGGCACCGGCTGGAGTTCATCCATCCCTAACTACAACCCCGAGGACATCGTGGACAATCTCAAGCGACTCATGGACGGAGAAGAAATCCGACCCATGCAGCCATGGTTCCGCGGATTCACCGGTGAAGTCACCGATGTCGGTGGCGATCGCTTTAAGTTCAGTGGTATCATTAAAGAAACTGGTGAGAAGGAAGTTGAGATCACCGAACTTCCTATCCGGACCTGGACTCAGGACTTTAAGGACAAGCTGGAGGATATCATCAAGGCTGAGAAGACTCCTTCGTTCATCAAGGACTACAAGGACTACAACACCCATACCAAGGTACATTTTGTCATCCAGTTGGATGAGAAGAACATGAAGGGCGCTCTGTCTGAAGGCCTGGAGGAGAAGTTCAAATTGTCCAAAACGGTGGCGACCACTAACTTGGTAGCTTTCGACCCAGAAGGTCGCATCACAAAGTATGCGGCCGTTGATGACATCCTTAAGGAATTCTATACCTATCGTCTAAAGTTCTACGAGAAGCGCAAGCAGTACCAACTCTCGCAGCTTCAAAAGGAGCTCGACAAGCTCAGCAACCAGGCGCGCTTTGTCCAGGAGATCATCGATGGGAAGTTGGTCGTCTCCAAGAAGAAGAAGAATGTCCTGGTCCAGGAACTGAAAGACAAAGGCTACAAGGCATTCCCTAAGGTGGCTGAAGCCGTCAAGGCTGGAGAAGAAGAGCGCGTCGTTGAGGAAGAGGATAACGAGTCTGACTCTCAGGACACCGAAGTTCTTTCCAGTGCCTACGATTATCTTTTAGGTATGGCCATTTGGTCTTTGACCCAGGAGCGTGTCGAAAAGCTCCGCCGCCAGATTGGCGACAAAGAGGTCGAGGTCGACGCGTTGATCAAGATGTCCAAGGAGGATATCTGGAAGCGTGACCTGGAAGAGTTCATCGCTGAATGGAGATTCCAGCTCGAGGATGAACATCGTCGCCAGCGTAAGGTGGCCATGATGGGTCGGCGCGGGTCCTCGAAGCTCATGACGACGGCTGGCCGTGGAGCGGGAGCGAAGAAGCGCAAGGCTGCTCTTGGAGATGACCCGGATGATGAGGACTTTGCCGCCCCTAAGACGAAGAAGTCCGCTGCGGCCAAGAAGGCTGAACCTAAAGGCGGCCTCCTCAACTACCTGAATAAGCCAGCAACGAAATCTAAGTCTCCGCCCAAGGACGAAGACAACTCCGACGAAGACTCCGATGTGGAAGTAATGCCTAAGAAGAAGCGTGGAGCGTCCAAGCCTCCCAAGGAGGAGGATGAAGATGACGACTTCGGTCTATCAGAAGTAGAAGAGATTATGCCGAAGAAGAGTCGTGGAGCGTCCAAGCCTCCCAAAAAGGAGGATGAAGATGACGACTTCGGTCTATCAGAAGTAGAAGAGATTATGCCGAAGAAGAGTCGTGGAGCACCTAAAGCTGCCGCTAAACTCGCTTCCAAAGCGAAAGAAGTGGACGAGGATGTAATGGAAGTCGAGGCACCTCCCAAGAGAGGCCGCCCAGCGGCTAAGGCCAAGCCTAAGCCTACGGCTAAGCCTAAGGACGAGGAGGACGAGGACGATCTTGATGATGATGACTTCGCTGAGATCACAAAAGCTGAGGCGGCCAAGTCGTCCGCTCCCCCTAGCCGGTCTCGCAAACCTATCAAGTATGCTATGAGCGACTCTGACAGTGACAACGGAGATGATCTCCTGGGCGATGTCAGCCAAATGGTCAAGGGCATTGGAGCCAAGGACAGCGCTACGTCCGACTCCCGAGAGCTTTTCTCCGAGCATAAGCCCGGAAGCAGCTCCGGATTGCAGACAAGCCCTCCGAAGACATCGAGGATCTCATCTGATTTCGACGATGAGACTGATTACGGCAAACTCTTGCCTTCGAAGTCTCCGCGGCGATCGTTGCAGGTCAAGCCTAAGGAAGTGAAGGTCTCGGATGATAATGTCGCCGAAGAGGACGATGAGGAGGAGCCTGTGAAGCCCGCCGCCCCTAAAGCTAAGTCAGCCGCAAGGGCCAAGGCGGCAGCCACTGCCGCGAAGCCGACCACCGCGAAGGCGCGCGGTCGTCCTAAGAAGGATGCCACTGCTGCTGCTAAGACGGCTGCGGCCACCAAGCAGACCACCTTGTCACCAGCTGCCAAGGCCTACGCTTCCAAGCAAGCCAAGACCACTACCCGGAAGAAGAAGTTAGCCGATGACTTATCCGATGACGATATTGACGCTATGGCCAATGATATCTTGGACTCCCCCGCTGGGGGCAAGAAGGCGGCCGATTCGGAAGAAGAGGAGGTGCGTCCTGCTCGGAAGCCCGCTGGTCGGCCTGCACGGCGAACTGCAGCAGCCAAGAAAACCTACGTGATCGACGATGACAGCGAGGACGGAAGAGATGCTTCGGAAGATGATTTCCAGGAGGACAGCGAGTGAGGCGAGAAGTGATGCACCGGGAGACGTTGAGCGTCTAGATTTCATTTCGTGATGGTATCAAACTATTGACGGCCATTCTCTATTGTGTTCCATATCTCTCTCTTTTCTCTTATGTTATTCTTGATTTTGTATCTTGGCGTTGGGTCTCGGAATTGACTCGGCCTTAGGGGATAGCAGTAATTTAAGGCATTTACCACCGAGCAGAAAATCAGTCACTTAGGGCATTTGTAAGCCGGCGTGAAGTCCGAAGCCCCACATATTGATTGACAAGCTTTTTTCTCCGAGTCGGGAAATCGGGCGTAGGGTGCGGGCCCGATAACCCATTCAGGTAGTCTTTCAAGTGTTTCCATGCAGCAGCAATCACCGTCTAGATTCTATCACCATCGTCCCTGTCACTGGCCCCAACCCACTAGAGCTCCCGAATTGCTCCACTGTCAATCCGAGATAAGGAAAAAAAAAAAAGAAAAAAAAAGAAGGATCCTATTATTCAGCAGCTCAATGGCCCTATATTGACTGTGCGATTTCCCTCGTTTTCTTCTTTCCTGGACCGTAGTCAACACTGACTCTTTACCATGCAGTCCTATCTTCAATATCGTCGCATCGGCCAGGCCGTGCGCAAGCAGCTTGCTGACCATCCAGAATGGGGCCAAAGCGTACAAGGCGAAAGCAAAGATGCCAGCGGTAACACCAGCGAAAATGACGAGACGGTCTGGGAGAAGAGACCTGAATCGCGACCACTGGCGCTACCCCCAGGCGTACAGCGCAGAGACATCACAGCCTGCAGTAGTGGGACGCCCTCGTCAGTCTTCCTTGTAGGCTGGGAGCAGGACCAGGATCCCATGAATCCGCGCAACTATAGCATGACAACACGAATCACGGCCACCCTGATCGTTTCCGCCCTCGCCTTCGCGGTCGGTGCCGCATCATCAATCGAATCCGCCGTGATACCCCAAAACGCCGCTGCCTTCAACGTCAGCGAGGTCGTCGCCTCCCTCGCAACAGGAATCTACCTCCTCGGCTTCGCCGCCGGCTCCCTCGTCTCAGGACCCTTATCCGAAATCCTCGGCCGCAACGCCGTCTACATCGGTTCCCTCACCCTCTTCATGATCTTCATCATGGCCAGCGGCCTCGCACCCAACATCGGCGCCCAGCTCGCCTTCCGCTTCCTCGCCGGCGTCTTCGGCTGCCCACCTCTCACCTGCGCCGGCGGCACAATCGCCGACCTCTGGAACCCGCTCGAAAAAACCCTCACCTTCCCCCTCTATGCGATCACCTCCTTTGGCGGTCCCGTCTTCGGCCCCGTCATCGCCTCCTACATGGGCCAAGGCACGCTCTCCTGGCGCTGGACAAACTGGATTATGCTGATAATGTCCGGTCTGGTAATGGGCCTAATCCTCCTCTTCCAACCAGAGACCTACGGACCCCTCCTCTTAAAATGGAAAGCCGCCCACCTGCGCCAGGTCACCGGAGACAAACGGTATCGGTCCGCAATGGACGTACAGAAGATCGCCCTCTTCGAACGGATTCTCGGGGCTTGCAAACGCCAGTTCTCACTTACGGTTCACGAACCAATTATCCTGCTCATTTCGTTGTACATGACGGTTATTTATATCGTGTTGTTTACGTTCTTTGACGGCTATCCGTTTATCTTCCAGGATGTCCATGGTCTTAGTCAGGGTCTGACCAATATTGTCTGGGTCGCTATGTATGTTGGTATTGCGGCGGCCGGGTTGTGGGTTCCTGTTGTTTATATTTGGACTAAGAGGGAGTTTGAGGCTGCTTCTTCTTCTTCTACTACTACTACATCTACTACCTCGGGTTCGGTTTCGCAGTCAGGGACAGATCCAAATTGCAATGCAGAAGGTGAACAAGAACAACAGGAAGAAGAACAAATTCCCAGAACCCCCCACCCAACAAGACCCGAAAACAGACTCTGGTTCGCCATGCTCGGTGCCCCATTCATTCCTATCGGATTATTGTGGATGGGCTGGACAGACTACGTAAGTCTAACTCTCCCCTTCCCCAAACAATACCATCCTCAATCCAACACCCAACCCCTAAACTCAAACCCTAATCCAAATACTAACAAAGAATAAAAGGAATGGATCTCAATCTGGTCCCCAATCATCGCCTCTGCAATCTTCGGCTTCGGAACCATAACCGTCTTCATCTCCAGCTACATGTACGTAATCGACAGTTATGACATCTACGCGGCTTCAGCGTTAGGGTTCATGACTGTCTCGCGGTATTGTGCTGCGGGCGGGATGACGGTTGTCGGGATCCCGTTTTATAAGAATTTGGGCGTGCAGTATACGCTTACCATCTTGGCGTGTATTAGTGCCCTTATGACGCCTGTGCCGTATGTTTTTTGGTATTGGGGGGAGAGGATTAGAGGGTGGTCGAGGTTTGCGGTTGATTCTTAGGGTTCTTTCCTTTTAAGGGTGCTCTTTGGGGGGCTTGGGTTGGGTGTGGGTTTTGTTGGCTGTTGGGGGTTTATTGGGTGGTTAGAGGGTAGAATGAAGGAAAGGAAGATGGGGTTTTATGTGTTGCAGTGTAGGGGATGAATGTGTGTGTGTGTGTGTGTGTGTGTGTGTGTGTGTGTGTGTGTGTGTGTGTGTGGATGGACTAAAAGATAGATATAGATATAGATATGTTAATCATAATAGAATGTCAATGCGATTAAAATGACTACAGAATATAAAACCTAACTCCCCGACCTTGTCTATGGTATTCGTTTCTCATTTCGGTTCTTCGCTGTAAGTTCTCCATCATAGAAAGACCGACTAAGCAGACGCCCTGCGTCTCTTCCTTCCCCAGTCCACCCAGACATACTCCTCGTCGCTGCCGGTTGCATCCTGCATGCACAGACTAAGCAGAGCATGTGCAGCCTTCACCTCCCGGGCGAAGAGCGCCGATCTGTACTTTCGTCGGGCGCACGTCTCAACATTGTATTCGTCATCATCATTCGTTGAGGTATTTTGCGGCTGGATGATGTTGCTGATGGCATTGCCATCGGCACCGTCGCTAGCATGATACTCATCATCAGAGTCAGATAGACACTCAGTCGGTGTGTCCATACTCTCAGAGTACGGTGTAGAAGAATGGGTCACCTCGGAACTACTATCGTCGTTGGTTATGCCGCGCACACTCGAAAGAGAAGCCAGGACCTGCCGTGGGCTCGAAGATGCTGCTTCGGTGCTGCGGGGTGTGTTCACCGGGGTGAATGTGTTGTGGACCGGACTGGTTGGGGTTCCATGGTATATGTCTGGAGTGCTGCGCTCTGGAGATGAGGTAGAGCGATCGGGCTCGCCATTATGGAGTTTAGGTGGGTGGAAGATAGGTCGGAGGGAGGTGACTACCGGAGCGCGGAGCTCGAGCATTCGGTAGTATTTCGCGGTTTCGGTGGCTTTTTGCACGATCTCCCGATCTATGAGCATGTGTCCGTATTGACTAGCGTTGGTGGGGGGCACGCATAGATATGGGAAGTCGACGCCGAACAACGGTGTGAGCGCGTGGCGGATATTCCAGCAGAAAGTTGCGGCGACGGCCTTTGCGGCTTCAAAGGGCATCCAGTATCCTATCGAAGGTTAGTTGGTTATAAATACTGGGTGATGGAAAATGATCGGTACCTTGTGCTGCGATCGCCCCGCCTGTGATACTGTGACAGATGTCGCGAAGACCGGGGTTCGCATTCAGGACTTTGGCAGGAGTGGTCTAAAATCCTCCGGTGAGTTCGAGCCCGCGCCCGTTGTCATGGGCATACACATACCTTGGAATATTGTTGGCACTTGAAAAGATGTGTTGTGCGGACAAGCCCGATGTTATAGTCCCACGTCACGGTCCATTGCTTCTCCTGGCCTGGGATCTTGAACGTATACTGAAACACTGTGGATATCAGGATCGCTGTCTTTGTACGTAGATAAGCACGACATACCTTCAAAGCTTTCTCGTCCCGTCTTCTCTTGGAACGACTTCTTGTCGCTGTTATAGGGTATGTGTCTAGGATATTTGATGATATCTCCCATGGGATGGAGTTGGAAATCGCGATGCGCTTTAATTAGTGCTTCGCTGCGCTCCTCACAGGGTGGATACCGCAGCTCCCCCCTAATTTTTCCCCTGTGGAAGATCGGAGCATCCTTCGCGATCTTTGGTCTCTTCTGACGTGATTCACTGCAAGGAACCGGGTCGGAGCTCGTCGGAGCCGGGCTTGGGAGAGAGAACTCTCTTGCATCAGGAAGCGGGTTCAGAAGTGATTCTATGGATGCCATGTCTCGATAGAGTTTGTAAGCAGCAAGTGTTTCCAGGTACTAGTGAAGCATGAAAAAAGTGTCGCCCCGACTAAAGCAGTCGGTGGAAGGTGGCGAGATGATAAGGGAGGGATTTATCTGACTTCGCAGGACTAGCGATCCTTATTAGACCCTCAGCCACAGAAAACGGTTGTAGAGATTCTAGCCCGCATCAGGGATGTGCGAGACAATGACGGAGGCAAAAGGAAGCAGATGGATATGAGGGTAGATACCCAAGCTTACCGCTGCTCCGGGCATTCGTCTGAATCTCTGACAACTTGGAAGACAAGAAATATAAAAATAAACCATAGATTTACAAAAAATAACAAATATTAATGTGTGAGGTAATCAACGCCACAACATCTTCTTTGTCAGGTACATCCAGCGGCGCAACCTAGAACCATGGAGTGGATACTTAACGACATCCGACAAAAAGGATTAGATAACTCCACTGTTTGCCAGAAGCCGTCTCTGCTCGAGGCAATGGGCCATCTAAGGCAGCGGTGAGCCAGACTTACAGCTACATCCCCCACTGGACAACTGGGCTGGGTTCATGTCTTAGAGTTGTCGACATAAGAAACCCTCACCGGTACCTGGCCAAAGGGGCATCACGAGGCACCCATCAGATTGGGCAGACAGCATTGGCGAACCCATTCTGCCATACCTCACGCTAAATTGAGTAAGTACTCTCCAGGCAAAAGTAGAAATTGACTCGGCAACGGGCTCTGGATCTGTGCAGTTGCGATACCAGCAGGCGACCTTGCTAACGACGATTTCACTTCTCTTCGAGGCTTCACTTGTTCCACCTTCCGACCTGCAGCTACCCCCTCAAGATGACGCAGAACCAGGAACGAAACAGGGTAGATCAGTTTCAGACACTTTCGTCCCATGTGGCGGTCTTACCTGGTTGAGCAGGACTGAAACCACACTCATTGCTTTTTCGTTGATTCTGATCTCCGCGCCATGCAAACAGACGGATACGGCGGTCTGTTAAGCATAAACCTAAACGAGAAGTGGAACCATGGAACCTGAGGATGTCCATTTGTATCGCAATCAATTGTGCGCAATCTTCTGCCAGTCTTTTTCCATCATTGCGATATAGTGCGAGCTACTCCGCGAATGATATAAAGTAACTGTGTATATGAGTTCGTTCCCAGAAAGAGCGAGGGCTAGGGTCACTGAGACATTAACCCCCATGAGTGTACGGCCAATAAACGAATGGGTGCCGGGCTTGTGAGGCCGTCATTGGGAGGGTCTCACCTACGGATACCTGCATACTTTCCCAACGAATGATTCATCTCTGATGACCAAGCCCCTATCCAGTCGATTTAGCGTGTGCGTTTTTGGTAAGGGCACGTAGAGAAAGCTTAGGATAAACCATGTGAACCTACAACTGTTGACCGCTTGCCCATGAGCGAAGCCCAAAGTAGCCCCGATACCGCGGACAATAATTACACAGAGCGTTACTGAGAGTACTGAGATCATTTCATTCTCCATCTTTGTCAGCCAACGCTACGTCACGCCATGAGCGATGCCTCTTTGGTAACTTGGTCTAAGTTCAGCTGAAGCCTCACCTCTCATCGAGCGTAACACCACTCCACGCACTAGGCTGGCTGCTCGGTATCCATGAAACCAACTTCTACATTGGTCTGAAGGTTTTGTCCCCACAAAGCTATTTGTCATAAATGCATCCAATGTTTAAGACAACTTGGCTATGGGCATCAAAGAACCTTCCACGCAGGCTTCTCTGCACGTCCCACTCATGGTGGCGTCGTTTCGCAGTGTTTGCCTTGCTAATTTCTTGATTCAGGATTTCACATTGATGGAAATCCTCTTTTTTCTTTTCATTTCTTTTCATTTCTTTTTTTTTTCTTTTTCAATTTCGATCCCGTTTGCTGGATCCTTCAGGAGTATGTTAACCAACAGAATGTATGAGAACATCGCACTTCTTTTTTTTTTCGTTTTACCCCTTTCAATAACAGCCCTAGGCCTTTCGACAAGGATCGCCTACCTCTTGCGGGAAAGTCAAGCTCGACAGTAGTCTGCAATCCGGGACTCAGCGTAAACCAGCTGTTCTGCAGGGGGTGCTGACTTCTAGCTCAGGGGTAGGGAAAGCACAATACAGAGAAATATTAGAATGCCTTTGGCCAGTCATTTGATGAGTAGCTCTGGATTGAGACAAAATGTAGGCTGTAGAAACAGAAAGGAAGCCCAATATCCGAACCATACGGTTCCTGGTTTGGAGTGAGACTAGAAGCATGAGTAGATTCAGGCCGTTCGTTCCGTGTCTTTACTTGGAAAAGACAGCATATCAAACGAACAAGTCCCAAATTGAAGTGAGTTGGATTCGAAAAAGAGGCTTAAACATAAGACACCACGGCGTGAGTTGTAAGACACTCTTTCGTGTTTGAATTTGTCTGCTGCAATCACACGTGGACCTGGCTTGCTCTGTGGTACAGCATTTCAGTTACGAACAAACGAAGCACCCAGGTAAAAGGGAGCGATTGAATGGATTGGCACTGTTGTTGGAGAGTCGTCAGACTAGTGTATAAGTGAACTGTTTTGCTGCAAGTTGGGTCCTGTTACCCGATTCGGATGCCGCCGCTTTTATGAGGGCAGTATGTGAGTGCTCTCTGTTTCACTCCGGGCTACGTACTTACTAATTACTAGAGTTGCACACGGGTCGGGTTTTTGATAGGTCTCCACGCACCCGACCCAAAACCCGCTAGGTTTAGGCCTCCCCGACAAGCGGGTTCCCCGCCAATACTAGGCTAAACCTAATTAAGTAAGGTGTTGCTTATTAACCATAGCCCTTACCTAGATAGGCCTAGTATAAAAACCTTTTAAGCTCTATATCTCTACCAATTCTATATATATAGAATTAATATTAAAAATACATATATATATATATATATTCTAGCTCTATATAAAAATCTAGAAAAAATCTAGAAAATCGATATTATAATACCAAGAAAAACCCGCTCGAGTTCTGCCTTCTATCCCCGCCCCCGACCCGGAGCCGGGTTGGGGCGGGTTCGGGTCGGGTCCAGCGGGGAACCCGTGCCACTCTAGCTGCTGTACAACACAAACTTTTGCGTGTATATAACCTATACAGGGGGTTGAATAGATACCTATATTACAAATAGCTTCTGTATTAAGTATATTATCTAGATATGTTATGTATGTATCTACTGTATAGAACTTGTCCGGGACTGATTCTATTGTGTTGTTCTGTATTTTATGTCATTGTTTTCCTGTGGGCGCACATTAACCCTGACTATATTTACCTAGAGTGGAAAGGTACTGTTGGTCTTTTTAATGTTATGACACTTCTCTCTATAAAGAACGGCTTGTAGTTTATAAGTTATGATCTCTAGAACTCAGTAGTATATACTGGCGCCTTTACACAATTATATGCTACAGGTAGTATTGCCTAACAGGGGAATATCGGCCACTAATAATCGATATGACGATCAGCATAAGGAGGCTGAGCTGAGCCACATGTAATAGCAGCGCCACACTACCCTCTCTTCGCCATCCGCAGTCGCAAAAATTGCGAGGTAGTCAAAGCAAAATGGAGGGCCATCGAATATGATAAAAGGTAGATCCTATCGGAGATTGCGACCGAGGTAATGTTGATCGGGCAGGCGTGAAGGACGCAGTTTACGTCATGTTTCCATTCTGAGGACGTTAGGCAGAGTTATCGAAATATAAAATGACAACCACCATTTGCCATGCTATTCCAAGTGGCCCCGTCGGGTGGTCTTGGGAAATGAATCGGCGAAGTAGATAGGAACAGAACAGTCAATAGGATCTTGTGCGGTAAACCATCCTGGTGACCTCCGGTTTCTAATCTAGATACAGCAGTAGAGTTTGCCTCAAGAAATCGACTAATATCTCATGCTCATAAATTCCTTACGCGGTTGTTTCAATGTAATTGAAAAGAGAAACAAACGGAAAGACTACAGCGGTATAGAATAATCCATGCGGGCCTTTGTGTCATACGAGTGCCATACAATGACAAAGGTATAAGAGCATTAATTGAGCTTCATCATCTCTAAGAACACAGACATGCCTGTGGAGGGGCCCATCTGTGCATTCATTTCATCCATCATTGACTTGGCCTCTGCAATCAATGAGTTCAGCTTCTTGTAGCTGTAGGTGAAGCTTCGCGTCGAGGTGATGTAGTCAACTGCATAGGCCTTCAGCGCATCATCATCACTTTTCTGTCTCAGGATATTCACAAGCTGCATGTTCTCCGGGTCACTGTTGATGCTGTGGATAATAGGGAACGAAAACTTCCCCTCCGCGATATCCTCACAGAAGCCTTTATTCTTGGCATACTCGCTGGACTTGAGATTAAGAATGTCGTCGCGGATCTGGAAGATCTTGCCGAGGGTGTTCGTCAAGGGTATACAGTCACTAGGTTTACTTTGTCAGTCACGCTTATAAAATGATATTCGGCTAGACTGGCGTACCATGTATGATGGCTTTCCAACTGCATGAGCTTGACTGCGAGTCGGAATAACCCCCCCGTCTTGTCTAGAACCATGCCAATGTATTGTTCCTCCGTAGGGCACGTCAGAGTGTCTCGCCAGTACAAATCCATCCCCTGGCCCCTATGAAGATTCAGAAGCTCCTCGACAAAGACATCATTAGCACTTGTGCTATGTAGAGCGGACAGCTTCTGCTGTGCCAGGAAGTATGCGTAGTTGGCGGAGTTAATGGTCTGAGCCACACCAAAGATGCTATGGGCGACTGGTTTCCCTCGTCGAAGCTTAGAGGAGTCTTGGATATCGTCAATCCTGCAGTACTCGAATTAGCCACGGTTCACCATAGAATAAAGGTATCTTGATCAGGAGGTAAATCTTACAGCAGAGATGCTGTGTGCAGCAGATGCACAATATCGCTTATAATTTCCGCCTTCTCTGGTGGAATCCGGAGCCACTCATTGAACGCCAGCATAAGCTTTTCTCGGATGT